TAAAAATCTTGCGATTCTACCTTATAGTTGCCATGGGAAGGATGGAAAAATCTATATAAATTTAAGGGGCAAAATATTTAAATTCACGAAAACCGGACGACCATAGCATATAGCTGTCACATTTACAATCGTTGAAATCAAAGAAAATTAATAACAAATATTTGTATAGCTTCGAAGTTGTAAGACATTGATGCATTTTGCTCGAAATTAAGAAATTAGTTTCGACAAAAGATATTTACAAGTTACTTCTGCAAAGATCGAACTAGAAAGTTAATGGGAAATTCGCAAGCCCAAAGATAAACTTTATAGTATAGTATTTTATCGCTGACGTTGTTAGGATCGAACTAAGAATCGTAAACAATAGGAAAAGATGCTTGTTTATATTTTATTATAATTTTAAAGAAGGAAGTACTGCAGTAATTTTTTGGTTTTGTTTTATATTTTATTATGATTTTAAAGAAGGGAGTACTGCAGTAATTTTTTTAACTCTGTTTAAAGACCGTCAAAAATCGGTTATCAACACAAGTTTTTGTGTGAATCATATTTCGTTGTTGCTGAACTCATTTCTTAAGCCACCCAGTGCCTTGACAATATAAAGGCTGGGCGCCCCCTTTCTTGCTTCCCCCTCCCCCCTTCCCCCCTTCCACCCATTAACACAACTGCGTGACCGTGTGAAGTCTTGCGGACAGGCGATAAGGAGAACGACGCTTTTTTATGTCAGCACAAAAGCAACTGTTGCCGCACACACGCTGCCTGCAAGGAAAACCTATCTGAATTTGAGAGTTTTCTTCATCTCAGATCCTTTTGGGTGGTGGAGTGGTGCCAAGTCGTTTGTGTGGGGAGCCTATCGACATCTTGAGCTGTAATTGTTGGAAAAGTAAATGTAAAAATATGAGTTCTTAACTTGTTAACGATTTTTCTGTAAATAATGGCCAACATTTTCAAATATTATTAAAAAAAAAAATTACATTCTTTGACTCCACCCGGGAGCATAGAGCCTCTACAGTTTTGAAGAGGATTCATTTATCTTTGGTTTTCGATCGTAGTGGTGATAAACCAGTAGCGACTTATCCTAGTGGTGGGGTTGCCACCTGGCGCCATCTATGAGTGACAATAGGTTCTATTGTTGGGTCCATAGTCACGTGGACGAGGGGGTGTGCGGGTCCGGGGAGCCGAAATTTGTTACTAATGTTAAGTGAGCGATAGAGCATAGAAGCGGTGGAGATTTGGAAAAAGAGACCGTTTCTTTTTCTCGGGGAGCCAGCTACTTGCTGGGCCACCGTCCCCCCAAATATTATTAACAAACGGTCAAAATTAAGGAAAAGAGCTAGCTCTGGTGTTTTACCCTTTCAGTTATTACAAATCTATAGTAAAAAGATTTTTTCCTATTTTTTACTATTGTTGGTTTGATCCTAATAAAAGCAGCGATGAAGTCTACTTATTCGAGATTTTCAATTTTTCCATTAATTTTCTCATTTCTATGCCATCTATATGATATAGTAGTTCAATCTTTATAAAATAACTTGTTATACCCTTGCAGAGCAAAAGGGTATTATAATTTCAGTCAGAAGTTTGCAACGCAGTGAAGGAGACACCTCAGACCCCATAAAGTATATATATTCTTGATCAGCATCACGAGCAGAATCGAAATCCGTCTGTACGTCTGTCCGTCTGTCCGTCTGTCCGTCTGTCCATCTGTCCGTCTGTCCGTCTGTCCGTTTCCGCGCAAACTAGTCTCTCAGTTTTAAAGCTTTCGTGCTGAAACTTTCCCAAAAGTTGTGTAGCTATTGCACGCAGTATATAAGTCGGAACGAGCCAGATCGGCCGACTATATCGGATAGCTCCAATACAAGAGAATGAAATAAAAAATTCTCACTCTGTTGTTTTTGATCAGATCGACTTGAATTCTTCAAGATGGCGTTTTTTAACTGTTATTGAATTTCGGATTAAATTTGAACCAAATCGGATAACTCTATCATATAGCTGCCATAGGAGAGATCGAAAAATATATATAGAATTAATAGAAATAAATTGATACCATCGTTGTTTTCTATCCCACGAGCATGATTTTTTGAACTTCAAGTTTTTTAACAATCCTTATATTGAGAAAAAAGTTTCATAAAAATCGGACAACTATATCTTATAGCTGCCATAGGAAAGATCGAAAAATCTATATAGAAATAACGGAAATAAAATTATAACATCGTTGGTTTTTATTTGATAAGCATGATTTTTGAAATTTAAAGTTTTCTAACGACTCTTGAATTACGAATTAAATTTGATGAAAATCGGACAACTATATCATATAGCTCCCATATGATCTATAGTCGAAAATATGGAAAATGAATAGAAAAATCGTCTTACCTTCGATGTTGTTTAGCCTTTATGTATTTTTTTCGACATATTTGACGACTGCAAGGGTATATAAGCTTCGGCTTGCCGAAGCTAGCTTCCTTTCTTGTTAATACCTATTGTCGGTAAGAACTGCTTACGAGTTTTGCGAGTTTTCTATTACTTATCTATAATATGAACGATTGTTGAAACATTTTGAATTTGGGGACCTATTAATATTATGTAAACGATTCTCTACGGCAGCTGATTTTTTTTCTTTTAATCGTCGTACAAAATCTTGATATTCTAATTATCATCTTCGTAATAATCAAGTTATAATTTCTTTACAGATTTTTAGATCTTTCGGTAAAATAATAAAACATTTGTTTGGTATTCATGCTTTTTTCAATTATTTCTTACTACAATAGATAATAAATATGAAAGCAAAAATGGAAACAGTTAAAGAAATGTATTGGTTACATTTATGTTAAATAAATTATTAACAAGAAAGAAATCTAGGAACAAGGATGTTATCATTTCTTTTTCCGATAATTCTATATAAATAAAAAAACTCGATGTTTCAAAAATCATGCATGTGGGATAAAAAACAAGAGCGTTATAATTTTGTACTAGTTTAATATAAATAAATATTTCGATTCAGACCGTGGTGCTGCTCAAGAATATATTATATATACTTTGTGGGGTATGAGATTTCTCTTTCACTTCTGACTGAAATTATAATGCCCTCTGCAAGGGGTTTTTATCCCTAGTTATTAATTATTTAGCACATGAAAACACATTTAAAATAAATAAAGTTAGGAAGCTTGCATTTTTTTAAAACTAATAAATGGTTATAAGCCGTCCCAGAATGAATAACTCTGCGATATTCTGCCTTTATTAATATGTGTCTGGGCGCTGGGAGGAGGTCTGTGATTGCAGCTGAAGCAGACTAAGCTGAAGCGGAAAAACTTTTCACTTCACGAGCATGTGCCGTGTCGCTGGCACGTGCCACGTGGCGATTGCTCGAGCTGCGTTCCAGTGCGGAGATAATATGATGATTGCAGGCTGATTCAGTTTCCTGCGGGGGATTTGCTTTCATGTGCTGCCATGTAGCCTAATAAAACATTTGCTTCCTCAACCTTCAGGCGTTCCATGATGTAATCTGTGCATATTGAATCTTAAATATAACAAAAGTATCTGACAATTAGATAGTATCAAATTGAGTAAGTCTTACCTGCGAAAATGAAACTTAAAATTGCAAAAGTATACGATACCTATATGCCCTAGTATATGATACCTATCCGTGGGGTAAGCAATTACACAAAGTAAAAAACGAAAGTTATATAATACAATATGAACATAGAACTTTAAACTTTAACAAACATTTCTTATTCAGCATCAGCATCTTTATCTATAAATTTTAAAAATTTCTTGTGTTGTTTTAAAAATTACGCTTTTATGACTAGAAACAACGGTGCTTGTGTTAGTTTTATATTTATATATTTTTATATTTGACATGACAGTAATATGAAAAAGACGTCCTGTTCAATTTTAAATCGTATTGCAAAAATGACTAACAACATTTTAGTCAAAAAATCATTAACACAAATAATTCCTAGAAAAAATGATTTGAAAAGTGAACTAATGGCTGAAAGTAGACTAGAAATAACCCAATAGGCTGTCATAATAAAAATATTGACCAGAGGATTGTTCTTGAATTTTGGTCAATACATATTAATCGTCCACTGCAGTTATGTGTGCTGATGTGTTGGTTTTTTGTTTTCTGTAACATTCCCCCTTAGCATTTTGAAACAAGCTAACTTCCGCCACTCAGTCGGCAGTCAGCACTCTTGTTGTCCTTTTCGGGCAAGTGAAAACTGATAGGCTTTCGCTGGCGCAAAGTCAGAACCTACCTTTCTTTTACTTCAGCCTCCAGCTGCCACATGTGAGCCGGTGGGAGTTACCGTGTTTAAGCTTGTCGACATTTTGCTAAACAATCAAACGCCCACACTCACGCCCACTCCCGATTTGTGCGTGTGTGTGTTCGCGTTTGCTTATAAAGCGGAAACGTGCGGGTAGTTAACGGAAATGTAAAACGCTTTTTGTATCGGAATGAAACATTTCTATTGGGCGGCTGTGGCTGTGGTGCCTAGCTACTTATTATCCAATTCGGAAAATGCGAGTTCAAGTTAAATGCAGCATGTAAGTAGACACTGTGAGTGTAAAACCTGAGGTCCTTTTTACAGAGTAAGACGTAGCAAAAGAAATTTGGAGTCGTACTTCTAAATCTGTTCCACGGGCTTATCAGTTCATAACTTTAAAATAATATATGAAAGTGATACAAGAGTCCATGCAGTCCAGCTTCGCGCTAAATTAAAGATTCCGTTGCAACGATATATTTGTCATATGCAAACGCAGTTGTAAAATTGCAGTCTGCCGAAAGAGCAGTCCTGTCCCTCTCTTTACAATTGAAAGAGCGTGAGTGAGAGTGCGACAACCGGTGTGTGTCGGGCATCAGCCAACCACAGCGGTTCCCCGTGGCAAATGGTGGTGTGTCAGCCGGCCACACTGCCCTTCGCCAATCACAGTCGGCTCCCTCGAAGCAATCACGGCTTTGTAAACAGGCGACGCCTGCCTGGCACTGCGAGGTTGTCGGTTTGGGTTTCTAGAACGGATTCGGGCAGGCTGGTCGTCACATTATTAGTGCGTTTTGCGCTCCAAAGGCATATGCAGTTTCGCCGCGTGTGTAAATCCTTGTTTGAGTGTAAATCTATATCGTAAAACCACCTCTACAGAAGAGTCCATATATCGGCACATATTTTTATATTTCGTGAATAAAATATAGTTGATATCATAATACAAATATGTGCAATCAAAAGTGCTTACCGAAAATGAGCAAGTGAACTGAAACAAAGGCGGCTGCTCAGATTAGTTGTGTACTCTGTGAATTCGTGACTCTGTTGTCCCCCTGAATCAATAGATCCCGCTGAAAACAATAGATTTCTGATCGCCACAGGACGCGGCTTGCACCGTCGACATCTGCACATTTTCGCTCTGAGCTTGCTTCGACCTGCAAGAGTTCGCGCAGCGTGTATTCGCCGGAGAACGGAGAGTCTTTTGGATAAAACTTGTATAAATAAAGAAAAATCGGTCGTGATAAGCAGATCTGGTTATCGGAACTCCGCCAAAACGCACAGACCAAGTAATGTTTACTCTACAACCAAACCCAACGGCAATAGGCACCGTAGTGCCGCCCTGGACGGCGGGCACATTGATAGAGCGTCTCCCTTCCTTGGAGGACATGGGCCACAAGGGTAAGGCCCCGAAGTCACACGGCTTTTTATTCCTTTAAGAACGAAACAGCTTTTTATTGGTAACCTTTAACAACCTTTAATAACTACATACAAATGGTGGTGACCAGTTCACCGGTGACCATATATAGCAACCTCAACAAAATGATTGGGAAAAAACCGAACTAGCTGCGCAATTTTTCTTAATCTATTTCAAATTTGCCACATTAATACCCTGATCGAACTTAATATTATTTAATGATTTAAAGCTCTACACTTTCAACATATAATTCTTGGTTACTTATCAGTTCCTAAAGAGTTTTTGGCCGTGTAAACCCCGTCTAAAACTACTTAATTGATATTTTCAGACTTACCAATTACAGGACTCTTTTTTCGGTAATGTAAAATTGATTACTGACTCGCTTGGTGCGGCAAATCTGCAACTATAAGACTTTAGTACTGAAGTAATTGTTAAAAAAATGTATTAGGGAATCGCTTTCCATCTACAAACTCAGAAGCATTCTATAACTGCTTTATCATAGATATTCGATCTTGAAACTCACTTGGTGTCTTTAGAAGTAGCGTCAGAAAATATTTGCTTTTGTACGAGGAAGATACCGCCTACATAAGGTTTAATGCAGATGTCTCATGTTGAAGATCTTCACCTCGGCTCAGTCCCCTTGATCATTAACACTATATACATATGTTGATCTGGACTTCCAAGTCCTGTCCTCCTGTCTGATTCTATGCAAACTAGTCTCTCAGTTTTGAAGCTACTTGTTAAAAAGTTATTGAATAAATTTCTTGTATTATATGGTCGGAACGTCCAGACCAGAAATCGGTATCTAGACAGCTATTATAGCCTTGCAGTTGGAAATCGACAAGACTTATTACAATAATATGTTAACGAGATTTTTCCGATTGTTAACCTGATCCCTACAACGTCAGCAATAATATCAAGATATGTCGCATTTTCTATTGGATTTTGAGTTTGTATACCCTTGCACAGCAAAAGGGCTTTATAATTTCAGTCAGGAGTTTGCAACGCAGTGAAAGTATATACATTCTTGATCAGCATCACGATCTGAATCGAAAAACGTCTGTCCGTCTGTCCGTTTCTAAGCAAACTAGTCTCTAAGTTTTGAACCTATCTGACTGAAGCTTTACCAAAAGTTTTGTAGTCATTGCGCGCTCTATATAAGTCGGAACGAGCCGAATCGAGAGACTATATAGGATAGCTCCCATACGAGAGATAAAAAATTTATTACGCCGATGTGTTTGATCGTATCGACTTAATTTCTTTCGTGTTTCGTATTTTGTCAAAATCGGATAACTTTTTCATATGGCAGCCATAGAAAAGATCGAAAAATTATATAGAATTAATGGAAATAAATCGTTTTATCCCACGAACATAATATTTGGAATATCAAGGTTTTTAACAACCCTTGAATTGAAAAAAAAAATTTCATAACAATCGGAAAACTATATCATAAAGCTGCCATAGGAAAGATCGACTATATAGTCGCCCGATCCAAGGGTATAAAAATGATAACATTGTGGTTTTTCATCAAACAAGCACAATTATTGGAATATAGAGTTTTCCAATGACTCTCGAAATTGGAATTAAATTTCATGAAAATCCGACGACTATATCATATAGCTGTCATGTGAACCATCGTTGAAAATATAGAAACTTCATAAAAACCTTGCCATAAATTCGATGTTGTTAAGCCTTTATGTATTTTGTTGACATATTTTATGACTGCAAGGGTATATAAGTTTCGGCTTGCCGAATACGATACTATATAGAAGTTCGATCGTGCTTATATAATACAAAACAATTATGCTAAATTCATTACAAATTTTTGTTGATTTTTCGGTATTATCTTTGGATGTTTTAAGCCTCGACATTTAAAAATTCGTTACAATATTATTTATTAAAACATTATTTCTATTAAGATCGGACTACTATATCATATATCTGCAATAATAAAATGAAAATAAACTTCGACAAAACTCGATTAGTGCTATGTCTTTCACTTTATCGCACTAAATTTGTGATAAGTCATTATTTAGATTTTTATTGTTTTTTTTTTTTTTAATTTTTAAAAAATACCGATGTTTGTTTATTAAATGTTTTATCGGTTTTTAGATCTTTTGGTGTTAGGATGAGTAACAAGGACCTACATATTGAATTTAACTCTTTAGAAACATCCAATCCTCCAACATAATATATGAATTCGAATTCTAAATGTGCTCTGTTCTTTTTTTTAGACAATGTGATTGCAATGAGAAATTTGCCCTGTTTGGGTGCGGCTGGTGCTAACGGACTGGGCAGTATAGCCGGAAAGCCTTCCCCCACAATGGAGGTCGTGGAGGCCAGCACAGCATCCCAGCCCCATTCGACATCGTCGTACTTCGCCACAACTTACTACCATTTAACCGATGACGAATGTACGTTTTATATCTATCGCAAATCCATTTCCGTCCGCTTCACAGTCTGCTTGGGTATTTAGTTACTAAGTTACAAACAAAATAGATCACTTAAAATACCCTTCAAACTGAAAAGCTAAAGGCTGTCAAAACTATAAACTATATGTAAATTGTTGTTTATGCATTGTGTTTTTTGTTCCCTAAAATTTTTGATTAAAATCCCAAGCCCTGTCGTATTAGCTTTGTTAGTAGGTGTATAAACATATTGTAACGAAAGTTGGTTTCAAATGACTTGACCAGGTGACCAGTACCAAAGCGGACGTCTGGCAACCCTTGGACAGGCCAACGATCGGTCACTCTAGGACCTGTAAAAAGCCTGTGAAAAAGTTTAGGAAAGTTGCGATCACACTGATCGATCTTCTCTCTCTCCTTCCGGTTGTCTGCCAGGCTGCATGCCTGTGTAATTAAGCGGGTAATAAAAACCTAATATAAATCTTAAGAACTCTTGCTTGGTTGTTTGAACGGCGTTGGCATAACGAGGGCTGACCCCCCACCTATTAAACAGTATCCGCTCGGCTGACAGTGGCGAACTTGGAAACCTCGACAGGGCAACTAAGTTTCGTTACAATATGTACCACTGAAGTTACAATTCGAACGTTTCTCTAAAGAACTACTAACTCATTTATACATCTTTTGTAATCCTTATTTTGATAATTTTTCCGGTAAATTCCCAGCCCTTGAATGCCGGAAAACCACACACTTGCCAGTAAATTGTAGTCCGATCTAAAGATAACTCTTTTGTCCATCTGCAACTGTAAGAAACTTTTTAACAACTCCGAAGGTTCAACCTCTTTGATTGCTGCAAACCCAAGAAATAGAGACATTTTTGTAGGGAAACATAGATGACTCAAAATTTCATGGTTGGTGCAAAAGCGACTCGGTGACAGGGTAAATAAAAAGTATACAACTCAATGCCATCGGCAGGGCATTGTTTGGTCCTGACTCCAAATCGCGCACATGCTGCCAATTATTGTGGCACAATGGAGGGAACCGATCATCGGTGACAACTGGGATCGGCCGACTTTCGAGACGGTCATCGAGCGAACAATATTTTTAAAGTAGCTTATAGGCATCCCTCAAATCCCATTGCCAAAGACAAACTCATCCCCAGTCCCAGGCCGTCGAGCTGCTAAGCACTCTCCGCCAGGCTGTCCATTATTTTGCTAAAGAATCAATACAATCATTTTCCACCTTTAATGATCATGAAGTGTGTTTTCGTTGTCGGCGACTGTTTCGTGTCATGTCGTTACAAATGGAAACAATTAATGGCACTGAAAGCCGAAGTCGAGTTAACACAAACACACACAATGCACTCTAAAATGCCAAAATGAGCCTCTTTAGCGGCTGCAGGGACTAGAATGCATTGAACGGGCATTGAACGCGACACCCGGTACTCAGTCTTTGTTAGCACACCCCATGTATTCCATGTATTCCATGTACTCTGCCCCTGAATGAAGTCCCCTAGACGGTCCGGCCGTCCAAAGGGACGGACCCATTGTTTTTCTCGCCGACAGATTTGTGCTGCAATTACATTATTAATCCCAAGCAATGGCAAGATGTTTTGGGAAACTGTGCGCCTCGTCACATTGGCAAATTACATTTTCGGCATGCAATCCAATTTCGCAGGGGATCTGGGCAAATGCATGTCAAATATTTTTACCCGTGTTCATCGTAATTTAGATATCTTGCTTTCCCGATTATGCGATTCTTTTGACCAGTCACTATAGTTATACTACATCGATCCACGAGTATTGTAGTGCTAGTGCATCCATCCCAGTCCCTGTGCTTAAACTGCAAAGGACCACCAATCCTTATACCCTTCCAGAGGGTACTATAACTTCGGTTAGAAGGAGGCACCTCAGACCCCATAAGGTATATATTCTAGATCAGCATTAACATCTGAATGGGTATGAACATGTATGCAAGTCTGTCCGTCTGTCCTTGTCGTGAAAAATATGAACAAACCTATATAAAAATATTGGACAATTATGATAACATTGTGGTTTTTTTTTATCATACAAACATAATTTTTGGAGCATCCAGTTTTTAACGACGATTGAAATAGGAATAGGGTTAGAATCGGAGAGATTGAAAAATCTGTATAGGGGCCGTCCCTCCCCCCTAGGAGCGTCCGAGGTGTATGGACGGCCCAATAAAGTTAATGGATCAAAATGATTACATTGTTGTTTTTGTGATGCAAGCATAACTGTTGGAATATAGAGTTCTCTGCACACTTTAGATTTTCAAGTTAAATTCGATCGAACTGAGTATAAGAACTATAAGAAAATATCTTGTCTTGTGATGACTGCAAGGGCATATAGGTTTCAGCTCTCAAACAAACTCTTTCTAGTGACCACTCAATTTTATTGAGAGTTCAAACAATACCGGTTGGCGATGGCCCATCGATGCTCATCGTTGAAAATCTATCATTAGACGCATTCTTATCCGATTCCGATTCCGAAAAGCAAAGAAGTCAGCCGGATTAGCCCTTTGTCAAAAGTGACTCTCTGATGCATGTATCTAGGTATTGCTGCTGCTTCGCTGATTTCCTTACCAATAAAACAGTAAATTAATACGTAGATTTGGGGATTTTGTTTCAACAAGACCCAATACTCGGAAATCTGTATAAAATCCTTTCGTTCTCATGCTTGACCTAAACTCCGAGTGCCCCTTTTTCCCCTTTTTCCCCGTTTGATTTTGTCTTTTTCTTTTGGCCCTGATTCGTACTCAGGGAAAATACACATAAAAAAAAACCGAATATAGAAATATGTTCATAAAAAATGCGACACTTGTTCTGAAGAAAATCATGCAATCAGTTATCCATTTATTTCATGTTTTTTTAAAAGAATTTTAGTTTTGTTATCTAACAAAAAGTTGTTAGTTAAAGGAGGGAATTCTAGTTTTTTGTAGTGCATCATGGACAGTTATGTAAGGGATCGGCTTATTAACACAAAGTTTTTCAGGCTAAGCAAGACCCAATCTGGTCATCAAACAAAAAACGAGATGCCAAGTCCTGACTTAAACGCACAGAAATTGTTGTCAAAGTGGAAGGGAGCCCTTCCACATATTCATCTCGAATTTGGGTCGACGAATGTATTGTGACGTCTTTAGAAGCGTGACAAACCGTATTATCCGCCTCATTGCCACAAGCTTATATGTGCACATCGGCAGGCAGTCACATCCGAACATTGGCGTTGCCGATTTAATTGAAGCGATAAAAATATAGCTTGGATACTATTAAAATTAGACGACCTCATACTCATACTCGCATAGTGAAAAAGCCTACCCTTCGTTCTATTTCCCTTATTTTTCACAGGTCACAGTGGAGTAAATCAGCTGGGCGGCGTTTTCGTGGGCGGAAGACCATTGCCAGACTCAACAAGACAAAAAATAGTAGAACTAGCCCATTCTGGAGCACGGCCATGTGATATTTCCCGTATACTGCAAGTCTCCAATGGATGTGTGAGCAAAATTCTCGGCAGGTAAGTTCAAACATCCTTGGATCTATGGATGATCCATTTCATCCTGGGGCTTAAACATTAGCAGAACAGATTGTGCCATATAACGTCTGTATTGCCTTTTGGGAACTATCATCCGTCGAGTTAATAAGAATTATCCTTCTACATTGCCAGCCATTGCCTTAATTAGTTATTGCCTTAAATAGACATACTAGCTTATATAGTTTGAAATCGGTTATTTATTATAAAGCTAAAATAGTAAAATAAATAGTAAACAAGAAGGGAAGCAAGCTTCGGTAAGCAGAAGCTGAACTACCCTTGCAGTAATATATTTATAAATTTATGGTAACCAGATTTACTTTTCTGATCCATCGGGCGACTATATCGGGCGGCTTCCTTACAAAAGATTGAAACAAAATTATCACCCTGTTGATACATGATTCTCTTTTTAAAATTAATAAATTTAAAGGTAATCAATGTAATAATATTAATACATATTCTCGAATTTTACCTCTTCTAAAAGAATAAACTCCTGAAAATAATTTTCCATGTTGACTAAAAGAATATAAATATAAAGTATAAGCAGCCTTAAAAAATGATAATAAAGATAGTATAATTATTGAAACTCAAGATCAAGAAACAATTCTATTTTATAAAGAAATTTCTCCTAATAAATTTAAAGTAGGAGATTCACTGCATTGCAAAGTTCTGACTGAAAATATAACACCCTCTGCAGAGGTATAAAAACAACTACCTAATTTTTCGATCTTTCCTATGGCAGCTATACAATATAGTCGTTCAATTTTCATGAAATTAAATTCGCAATACAAGAGCGTTAAAAAGGATTTCCCGTTGTCTACTCCATATTTTTTTAAGACCGGACGAACCTAACATATTAATGGAAACAATATTTTAGTCGTTATTTTTTATCATACCAGCATCATTTTTAGAAGTTTTTGAAGTACTTTTGAATAACAAATTTGTTATCTTTGTTCGTTTGTTATCTAAATAGGAAGGCTTATTCCTATAGCTGTCTTAACTTCGCTGTTGTTAAGCACTCATGGAGTTCGCCTTTACCATTTACCATTACGATTTTTAGATATTCAAGTTATTTCTACCTATACCGGAAACTCAACTTGCCTAGAAGGGGTTTCCAAGGGGTTTCGAACCTTGAGGTTTATAACGAGCCTTTCCGAGCTAACTCAAATAAGCAAAAACAAATTTTGTTCATCTCCAGGAGTAGGTGGTTAAATGTTTACAATTTTGTTACTAGCTTTTAATGTATCATATTGGAACATAGGAGGATACTTCTTATATAACTTCTTATTCATACTTCTTATACTTCTTCTTCCTATATTGATTGTGTACAATGTATTAAATATATATGAAGGTATTTTAACGAAAACAAAAACCTCACTTCAGGTACTATGAAACTGGAAGCATCAGACCACGTGCTATCGGTGGATCCAAGCCGCGTGTGGCTACGGCCGAGGTTGTAAGCAAAATTTCGCAATATAAACGAGAGTGTCCCAGCATATTTGCTTGGGAAATCCGGGATAGACTTCTTCAGGAGAACGTTTGCACCAATGACAACATTCCAAGTGTAAGTGTTATTTTTATTTAGTATGAAACAAACAATACAATATTCCTGTTTTGTATAATTATTAAGAAAAAATATTATTTTATAATGTGTATACATATTTATATATTTCCTTATCTGATTATCGTCTGCAATTTGTAGCAACTCCGTTCCTTTGATTCGATTCGTTTTGGGTCACCATTCACATTTCTCTCTATTCCTCTCTAAGTTTTTTGCTATATTATTTATTAAGTAGTCGAAGAAAGAAAGCCAAATGAATTGTGACAGCGATGCTCATGCCGCCTCCGTGGCCGATGTCGTTGGCTCGGCTGCCTTGGACTTTTACCATTGACAGTTGTGTGGAAAATGTGCTCGTTCGAATGGAAGGGAAAATCTTTTATGCACATTAAGCGACTAAAAGGGAAATCAGTGCTAGAAAAATGTATGAAAAAATACAATATTAAATAAATACGGCCCGCCGCCACCACAAACCGTTAAGCGTTGAAATTCACGCGCCAGTGCAAGGGGGAACTGCTGAATCACGTTTACATCTGGAATTGGATTCGGGTCCTTCTCGATTTTTGGGGTGGGAATCGACCATTTTGAGCACGAATCCACGCAAAGGGATAATACGACAAATATTTTAGTAGCGACTCTGGTTATTGTTTGCCTTAAATGATACTTTTAATAAGTGAGAACTAAGATTAGTTTCTCGGGAAAATAGAGTTAGTATGATTTAAAAGAAACTTATTTGTGGTTCGGTACAGTCAGCAGTCCCAGGCTGAGGCGGAGCCCTTTTCAAAAAAAAAAATGAGTTTGAATGTTGTTCGCATACCCCCTGGCAAAGGACATTCTGCCTAATTTTTCCACTCAACTGCACTTTTCCTTCCTGGCCGTTCTTCCCTGCTCACTCGCTCATTTATGTGTTTGCCCGATTATTCTTTTTCTTCTGCCTTCCTTTTGAATTTGCTTGAAAAGCGTTGTCAAAAGCAGGCACAGCATTTGTACATTAAAAAACTGAATAAATTGCAATCCAAAGCAAAGCAAAAAACGTGCATTGTTTCTAAATGAAACTTTGAGCAGCTCATAGTTTTCGTTTCGATTTTGTTATACTAGCATCTATTGTACGGAAACGCTAATCAAATACAAACTCAAACCTCTAACTTCAGGTATCATCAATAAACCGCGTGCTGAGGAACTTGGCGGCCCAAAAGGAGCAGCAGAGCACGGGAACCAATGGCGCCAACACCTCTTCCGGCAACTTGAACAGCGCCAAAGCGGGGACCACCAATGGATGCGGCAACATCAGCAACGGATCCAACGGCTCCGGCGGATTGAGAACCTCCCTGACCACCTCCGGCGATCTGATGCAAACGGCCACGCCACTGAACTCCTCGGAGAGCGGTGGAGCCAGCAACTCCGGCGAGGGAAGCGAACAGGAGTCCATCTACGAGAAGCTCCGCCTCCTGAACACCCAGCACGCAGCAGGAGCCCTGGACACGGGCATAGCCTCCCCACTTGTGGGTCAATCCCACCCAAACAGTCCGTTTGGGGCCAACTCCAGCAGCTCACTCAACCAGTTGGTGCACGGCAGCCAGCAGGTCCTTCAGCAGCAGCAACCGAGCTGGCCACCGCGTCACTACTCACCCGGCTCCTGGTACCCTCCCTCGCTGGGGGCCAGTGAAGTCCCCCTTTCGTCGGCGGCAACCTATGCCGGGCCTCCTCCACTCAGCCAGCCCTTGAGTCCGCCCAATGACGCCGCCAGCCTGGGCAGCGGCAACCACCTGGGCAGCTGTCCGCCGGAGGACATACACTTGAAAAAGGGTAAGCCCGGCGCACTTTTCCTGCCCTTTTTTCCCAAAACTTAAAACGCTTAAAACGTTTTTCGAAAATGTTTTGAAAAATACCCAAAATCATTCAAGACAAGATTGTATGTTTATGTTTGTCACTGATGAATATTGTCACTGATGAATATTTCTTATACGAAGACTTTTCGTACTCTTTCAAAGGGATATACATATATTATATATATATATATTATATATATATATATTATATTATATTATATTATATTATATTATATATATATTGTATTCTTGTTAAGTATTCCTAAAACAGTTTTGCTGAACCTTTGCCAAAATCTTGTTGCTGTGGCGGGTAGTAAACATTTCGGCATCAAATGGTAGTGGTAAAAACGTGAATTGGTTCTTCATGAAACATTGAGTAGCTTACAGTATCGGGAAAGATCGAAAAATCTAAAAGGAATTGGCGGAAATTAACGGACAAAAATTATAAAATCTTTGTTTTTCATCAGAAAACATTATTTTTAAATATAAGGTTTTCAAATATCCCCTGAATTTCTAAGCCGCAGCTGGCTTCTTTTCTTGTTTTATAAAGATTTGTATCTTTCCTGAAATTTGAAATTCAAGAGTCCTAAAAACTGCAAGTCATGTCAAGGCTTTTTTATTAAAGCTTTTTTATATAGTCGTTCGATCCGGTCGATCTTATCTTATCTGTTCATAGAAACAGGCGACAGAGGCACCGACGGACTGACGTTCATGTCTGGATCGGTTGAAACGGTGATACTTTTTGGGGTCAAGGTGTCTTCTTCTCTGCGTTGCAAATTTCTGAGTGAAATTATAAAGCCTCTTCAGGGTATAAAAACGTATCACCTTCAATCAGAATACGGTTCAAATATTTTATTGTATTCCCAATACGCACGAGCGAACTTCTTGGCATTTGCAAATTTTTTTATTTATCAGTTAGAAAAGTCTACATCTACCCAAAGGTTGATGCTTCGTGCGTAAAAGCGACAAGCACGTGACCAACCTGCTCTAAACTTGTTTCCGAGTGCCTTTAATACCTAAAGTTTAGTTCTTTCCTTCAAGTAACGATAACTAACTCTTAATGCAAACAACAAACATGCATTTCGTAAGCCTGCGCATTTATAAAATGGTTTTAAAAAACTGTTAGCAATTTTGAAAAAATAATCATTTATTACACAAGTTGTTGTCATACTATACGAGTTTTGATCACCATAAAATTAGGGTTTTTAAAGAAACTTTCTAAAAAGGTTTGGCTGCGTATTTATTATTAAATTCTGCACGCTCAATTGTATTTCGAAATGAATAGCTTTCTAGATATCGAGGTTAATAGTTGTCAAGGCAAGTGAATAATTTTTGATAGCCCCATTCGCTGCATATTTATAAAAGAATCTCTACTGTTGTACCACTGAAACTGACAATACTTGGATACACTGTATTCTTAAGCAAGTGAGTATGTAACAGGTCATAAAAAGGACTTGCGGCCTTAAAGAATACCTATGACTGGAGTATCTAGGGATATCCTTGCCGTTTGTACGCATCGCAACACAAACACCCACAAACCGCGAAATTTCGTTTTAAGGGGGGGTAAGGTTTAAAAATTTTTGTTTTTTGTTTTTTTTTCTGAATGACCAATGTGTCGAGAACATTGTGTAAAAATTTTGAGTCAATTAAAGTCAAACTAACAGAGATACAGCGTTTTAAACAACCGTATTTGTACATATTTTCACGTATAAAAATACTACTTTCCGATCTTTCCTATGGCATCATAGTCATTTGATTTCCATAACATTTAATTTGAAATTCAAGAGTTCCTTTCGCTCTGCGTTTCGATACTGCAAAAATTTGTTGCTTTTTTTATGTAAATGATGTGTAAATACAATGTGCAGGAGTCCCGAGAGGCCGAGTTCACAATCATCCACGAGCAGGGCTACAACTTGGCCGTTTGGAAACTAATTGATCCGAACTAATTGAAATCCATCTGGTACAAATCATGCCAATATTAAAGTATATCATGGTTACTGAAAGTATAACTCACTCTGCAAACGAATAAAAATCTGAAGGGCATATTTAGATTCTACTCGTGAATACGAAGCGAATTATCTATTACTCTTGGGAACAAGCGTTCGCCTTTCTGCCTAGGCGTAGATATCTTAAAAACTATTAGTGCTAGATTATTTGGATTATAGATTTGCGTAGTGAATATACAGAAAACAAATTTCAGAAAAGTGCCACGCCTAGTACGCCCACAAACCGCGAAACTTTGTAGCACCCACAGTTTTGATGGCACAGAAACTTTGTTTGAAGACCTGCATCCTGGTTACATATAAATTAATAATAGTCTCTCTTTTATTACTCTGATAGTTTTCTATGGCGATTTAATTATATAGAGATTCACCATATGTAAATTAATTCAGAACTACTATACTCTGGTAAAACAAGAAAGGATGCAGTTAGAACATAAATGTAGAAAACAACTACACTTATCAAAAATCTATAGAGCCTTTTCTGATGCGAAACTACAATGTTTTTTGTTTCATTAATTATATAATCAGCAATATGATAAAGTTATCAGATTCTTAAGCATCTGTTTTCAATCGTTTTTGAAATACATTCAAAAACGATGTTATAAACGTAATTTTAGTATGATAATCAAACAAGAAAAGAAGCTAGCTTTGGAAGGCCTATAAATAAATATTATTATAATAATAATAATAATATAATAACAATAATAATAATAATAATATAATAATAATAATAATAATAATATATTATTATTATATTGCACGCAGTATATAATTATATATTGATTTCTTCCAGTTGGTGTTTTTTAAGTACTATCGAATTTCGAATTAAATTTTATAAAATCGGATAACTATATCATATAGATACTATAGGAAAGATCGATATATATATATTATATATATAATACAGTTCGTTTCATTTGGATAGGACACCTAGCAACTTTTATGGTTAATCGGTCGTAGCGATGACAAAATCGTTGAAAGCTAAATTTTTTTTTAAGTTATAATCTCTGTTATATTGCGATTCTAAAATGCAGTTACATTTTTTCATTTATTTTATTTTAATATTTTTTAATGTTTGGATTATATTTTTCGATGAAAAAAACTTAATTTGAGCCCATCCGGGCCATCCAAATATAATCCAAACATTAAATTTTTGATGGCCCCAAGTGTTAGCAAGTGTGAAAAGTCCGCAAAATGGGGTTTTAGACACCTTGTTGGCCTCATAATGAGCCAAACCGGGGCAGGACATGGGGAAATTGGAGGCCCTTTTCACTAGAAGCCGCTTATCTCGAACGTTTAACTTTGTTTTTTGGAGCCCTTTATAATTTTTTTTATAGTTTTCATTATCTGTTAATAAATTGTGTACAACATTTCGCGATTTTTTTTTATTTTCGTGGCGATTTGGCTCACATTAAGGCCTGAGTCCAAATATGCATCAATTTTCCCCCATAATTTTCCCATCTTTATCCTGGAGTGGCGATCCAAGGCCTATTTTAGTTTCATTTGATCAATAATAGCATAAGATTGGAAAAAAAAACGTTTTAAACAAACTGCGCACTGTACACAAGTGATTTCTGACAAGTGTCCTATCCAAATGAAACGATTTTCAGCATGCAAAAAACCATGCAGCAGTGCAAACGCTTAAATAAAAAAGTGGGGAAAGCAATAATGAAAAAATGTAACTGCATTTTAGAATTACAATAGAACAGAGATTATAACTTTAAAAAAAATTTAGCTTTCAACGATTTTTGTCATCGCTACGAGCGATTAACCATAAAAGTTGCTAGGTGTCCTATCCAAATGAAACGAACTGTATATAAAGAAAATTATAACGTTGTTGTTTTCTACCCCATGAGCATAATTTTTAGAAGATCGATTTTTTACTACCCTTCAATAATATAAATAATATAATAATGGAAAAAAAATTATAACGTCGTTGTTTTTAATCCCACGAGCATCATTTTCAAAATATTCAGTTTTATAATAACCCTTAAATCAAGAAAAAATTTCATTAAAATTCCGACAACGTTATCATATAGCTGCCATAGTAGAGATCTAAAAATATATATAGAAATAACGGAAAGAAATGAAATGGAAAATTAATTGAAAAGTCGTCGTAGCCTATAGCTATAGTATAATATATTGGTCGACATATTTTATGACTGCAAGGGTATATAAGCTTCGATTTTAGGTAGAAGTTGGATTAGAATTTTTAAGACTTTATGATTCACTCCTAGATGGCGCCAGGTGGATAAGTCGCTTCTGGCTAATCACCAGTACGATCGAAAACACCAAGGATCAACTTTCGCCTCTCCTAGATGGCGCCAGGTGGAAACCCCACGACTAGGATCGCTTCTGGCTAATCGCCAGTACGATCGAAAACACCAAGGATCAATGAATCCTCTACAAGTTGTTAAGGACCCTTTGCTCCCGGGTAGAGTGAAGAAGGTACATTTTATAAAAATATTATCAAATAATTAATTTAATTGTATTCTGCTTATTCAAGTCTCACAGTGTTTGAATACACCCAAAAATATTTTGAAAACAAAGCAATAATTACCGCTGCCAAAATGAAATGACATGATATTGTAATTGTTTCACAAATTATTTGTCTTTGATTGTTAGAAGAAATTGTTTGTATATGGGAGTATAGAATGATGTTGATTTTATACTTTTTCAGGTTTTTTTTTTCTACGTATAAATTCAAGACCAAAATTAGTCAAATCGGTGAAAGCGTTGTTATGTTATAGCATAACAACGAAAGTTGATTTCTATATATATATGGATGGTAGACTCGGGTCAGCAATGTTCTGTTTAAAAAGTTGCCTAAATATTATTCTAAAAAACTCGATATCAGGGCAAACCGTCTGGCCAAGAACATGTGTGTCAGTGCTATGGCAATGCCGCCCCTTTGATGCTCCTTCCTCCTGAGCACCACCAAAACCACTGCCGCGCCTGACAGGTTTACCCTTAACCGTGTAGTTTGCTATAATGCGATTTACAGACTCGTTTTACAGGCGATGACACTTCATTAAACGACAAACCGAGGGGGTGGTTGTGGTTAGAGATGGATTCATGGTCGTGATTTGGGTTGGACGGGGTTGGGGGTTGGGAGTTGGATGTTGGCGAAGATGAGGGGGTGTATAAATAGATTACAGAAAATACATATTTATAAAATTGTGATTTAAGTCCCCGCTCTAGAGCTGTGGCCTAACCAAGTATTGTCTTGAACGCATTAAATGCAAGAGTGTCACACCACCGGTCTTGAACTCAGTTTGGACCTCATTCGCCTAGCACACCCATTTCCAGTTTCCAGATACCGTCGCAGAGTTAGTTTGCTGAGCTCATGTTCTCCTGTTTTTGCTGCCTCACATCTGACGCCGTCTGTCATTCGGACGCTGTTGCCGCTGTCAGAACATTGCAATTTGCGGGCTTGTGACATGTACTCCGGAGAGATACAGATACAGACAGGGTCTATCCCGCGGCACATCTCTGGGCTATCAGCATCTATTTGCTTTGTCAAATTCAGTAACATTCAACGTCAATTACACGGCACTGTGGAATTGTTTGGCCCTACCTGACCCGAGCTGACACACAACTAATTATTCCTTGCTGCGGCTTGTGATCCAAATAAAACGGTTGTATTATATCCATACGGTTGTATATCGCTTTATTTTAGAGGGTTTGGAGTTTATATATTCTTAATCAGGATATCCTTTTGAGTACCTCTAAACATGAACGTCCGTCTGTTTCTCTGTTGCTCTCGATGAAACTTTTCTAAAGGTCGTGTACTTATTGCATTCTGGAATATCATTTTTAAGACTTCAATTCCAACTGTTCGAGGAAAGCTTTTATATTGCCTCGAAGCAAGCTTCATTTTTTATTTAAATGACTACTTAGTTTCCAATAGAATAAAAATCATTTGAGAAGAACCCCCAACAGCATTTGTTTTATTACAACTTTGCTGGTTTGAATGATGTTTTCATATGTTCATACACTACTGACGCGCGATTTGCAATGGCATCGAAGGAAACCACAACAACTACTCCGTTTCCCAGCCTTAAAGTATTTGGGAAAATGTTTTAAAGCCAGAGAGAACGCTTTGGCGAAGTGACCCGACAATCAGATAAGTTAGATAAAAGGTGATTCACTGTCCGCTATTTAAAATCCGGCACCTCGTCCGAACCCTATTCTGCACCTTACCCCTTCTAGATAGTGCCTAAGGACCCGGGTAGGGTTCCGGATTTAAAAAATTAAAAAAACAGAAAAGGAAGCTAGCCTCATTGACCCAAAGCTTAAGGCCAAACAATATCGAGACGATTTTTGTATTAATTTTCTATATTTTCACCGATTTTTCCTATGACAGCTACATGATGTAGTCATCCGATGTTCATGAAATTTAATTTGAAGGTTAAAAGTTCGATCTCCCCTACGGGGGCCACCCGATATACCATATAGTATACTGCGAGCAATAGCTAGCCAGGTTTTGGTAAAGCATCTATTGCTTCGATTGTTGATCCTGATCAAGAATGTGTTACATACTTTTTGACAAATTCAGCTAACCTCTCTATAACTCTACGATTAACGGGTATAAACTCACTCATAGCCCAAGTCTACCAATCATAACCCGGAGAGTTGTAATACGTTTTTTATATTTATTACCATCCTCATGCTTGCTCTTACAATTGATTAAACCAACCGACAAACCAGATAACTTTTTAAAAATTAAAATTTTCTTATTGCTAGAAATCGATGGGCATCAGTCCGATGAAACGGGCTCAGCCGAGGGTGAAAACTCCAACGGTGGCGCCTCGAATTTGGGAAACAATGAGGATGACCAGGCTCGTCTTATACTCAAAAGAAAGCTGCAGCGCAATCGGACATCATTCACAAACGACCAAATAGATAGCCTAGAAAAAGGTAAGGACGGACTAAGTTTTATAAAGCCTGCGACAATTTCAACTTTTCTGATCTAGGAGATAAGCAATTTAAGCCTTTGGAGTCCATATAATGAAACATTAGAAAACTCTATATTCCAAAAATCATGATTGTCTGATGAAAAACAACGATGTTATATTTTTATTTCCCGTATTTCTATATAGATTTTCCGAAGCTAGCTTCCTTTTTGTTTTCTATATTTTCGAGGAATGTTCTTGTGATAGCTTGAAGATATAGTCGTCCAAATTTTTATAAAAGTTAATTTAAAATTCAAGAATCGTTAGAAAACTCTGTATTCTAAAACTCGTGCTTTTTTTGATGAAAGACAACGGTCTTATAATTTTATTTCTGTTAATTCTATATCATTTATTCGATCTTTTCTATCGCAGGCTGCGATTGTAATGTTAATGATATGATCAAAAAGATCAACAATATATATACATCAGGTGTCTCCTTCACTGCGTTGTAAACTTCAGAAATTCTAATAAGGGTATAAAAATTGTCATTTCTTCGATGTTGTTTATTCTAATGTCTTGCTAGGCATTGGTGATGACTAAAAGGGTAAATAAACGTCGGCTCGCTGAAGCGAACCTTCATTCTTGTTTCCAATAATTATACATACATATATCTCTCACTTCGATATTTTCTATGGCCTCTATTTAGTATAGTCATCTGATATTAATGAAATTGTATTTAATATTCAAGAGTTTCAACAAGATAGCTTTCAAACTGAGAGACTAGTTTGCGTGGAAACAGACCTACGGACATTCGGCTTTAAATTTTAAGGGCATATTCTGGCTTAGATATTATTTATCGAATGAGAAAATCAAAAACCTCCCTTAAGTGTTCTTTACAAGCATTTGGACTGGTTTCTCGTTGTTGTTACATATTTTCTCTTATTGGAGTTGCCAGTCCGCATACTTAAATGGCTATTTAATATTTAATATTAATATATATTAATATATTTATTGGACAATAAAAACTTAATTTGTATTATTTACTCAAAAGTTGTATACATAGTTTGTTGGGTCAGTAAGCTTTTTTACTAACCATTACCTTTGGTGGTGCCCAAGTAAATAAACCGTACAAATTTCACTTAAATAATGCACTTATTTATTAACTGGCACCAAGGCCTTAAATTTACAGAGTTATTGTTTATGTAGGTTTGAATTAGGAATTAGGCAGGCAGACCGATTTGTCTGTGCCGTTTTAGTCGCGAAAAGGTATTTTAGCAGGCAGACCGATTTGTCTGTGCTTTAGACGAAAGTATATAAGCCGAGAGTTGGCAGGCGATCAGCGATCGTGCCTGGTGGAAGCGAGTATCAAAATCGAACTGGAATGAAGCTTGCCGTGGACTAAGGCCAGGAAGCGATAAGCGAAAGAGTGCAAAAGTAGTTAGAAATGACAATTAGAACAGTGTTGCCGCGCAGGGCAAATAGCAAAATAAAGCAAACTTCGAGAATTTACTTTTACGTTACGATTTGAATATAATCATTGGATTTAGGCTGCGGCATGACCAAACATAGTTATTGCTCGCAGTTTTTGTGATGGCTGTAGATAAGCTTCGGGTGGCCGACGCTGTTTTTTTTGTTGTGATTGATATTAACCTTGAAACATTGCTTTTAGAGTTTGAACGAACACATTACCCAGATGTTTTTGCCCGCGAACGATTGGCTGGAAAGATTGGTTTACCGGAGGCAAGAATTCAAGTTTGGTTTTCAAATCGCCGTGCGAAATGGCGCCGGGAGGAAAAACTTCGAAACCAGCGAAGAACACCTAATTCTGCGGCAGCTAATGGAGCCTCGTCATCAGCTTCAGTAACTGCTTCCCTAACAGATAGTCCCAACAGCCTGAATGTTTGTTCCTCTCTGCTGCCCGGATCGACGGCTGGTCCTTCAGTCAGTAAGTACACCATAAAATGTGGAAAATACAATAAGTAGTGTAGAGTGGAGTGGGAGTTCTTAAACACCGTCATTGCTGCCCCACAGAACTTTGCGGTTTGTGGGTGAAGTTTGACAATATATCAAACTTTCATACTAATAACAAGAGTCTTATAGGTCAAGAGATCTTGACGCTCATACGGTGGGTCACACAGACATAAATCAACTCAATTGATGATCTTTATCAAGAATATATTCCTTTCACCTGTTACAAGTATAGTACTTTATGCTCTACGAATAACAGGTATATTTACTGAACTGAACATTGTTGAGATTACACAACTGCGAATTAAAATAAATAAAATATATAGTTTTCATTAAACAAATAGTGAAAATTACCTAAGAGATTATTGCAAGGGGAGATGATATCCTCATTAGCCCTGTACTACCGCATACCCGTTTCTTAGACGACCAGTTTGAAAAATTGTAAATTGTAAAAGTATATAAAATTTATCACAAGGATCAGGATCCCAATGCGAAATGCTGACTCATCCAAACTGTATTGTTTGGGCGTTGCATACATTAAAGAAAAAGCTTCTACAAACTGAAAATCAAAGTCATTAAAATAAAATCTAAGAAACGTCTACTTTATCTACATTGTCTTTATCTAAGAAACACCGCTTAATTGTAGCTTATTCTAGAGGAATATGGAGCTTATGTTTTTATGACAACAATATACCATGAAAAAGAAGGGAAGCTAGATTTTGTTATGATTTAGTTATAGTTAGTTATGATTTCAGTCTATTAAGTTTTTTTGCGCTGTTTTATCTACTCATACCACGTCAGCAACAAGGTGTATTGTGCAGTACTTCTTTGATTATTTGGTTTTGTTTCTTTTTTTCTATGAATGTTATATGATATAGTAATGCGATCTTTATGGAAACATCTTCTAATAACTATACTGCGTGCAATAACGACACCATTTTTGTTAAAGTTTGATAGAGATAGAGATAGCTTAAAGCTGAGACCAGTTTACACAGAATCTGTCAGTCGGTTGATCAATAATATTTATACTTTACGGGGGTCTGACTATAGTTATAATACCCATTTGCAAGGCTATACAAATTTTCTTTTTGTTCAATCAATATTCATATTACTTGATTGATAAATGATCAACATATAGTTGGTGTTTGTACAACTTTTCACGCTACCAACAAAACTATCTATTTCTAAATATCTATAATCTGAGAGACTTGACTGCATAGATACGGGTAGACGAGCAGGCAATTTTAGTTATCCTTAAGGGGGGGTAAGGTTTTAAAATTTTTTTTTTACATTTTTTTATATTTTTTTTCTGAATGACCAATATGTCGAGAACATTGTGTAAAAATTTCAGTCAATTAAAGTCAAACTAACGGAGTTACAGCGTTTTAAACAACCGTATTTGGACGTATTTTCAAGTATAAAAATACTTTGAATGAATTTTGTCGAAGACGTTATTTTGAAAGTCGGTGAAAATCAGAACTCAAAATATACTGAACCGATCCCTTTCAAATTTTTAACACAAATTCTCAACATAAATACGCTGGTAATCAGGAAGAGTTTTTTTTAATTTTTAATTTTTTTCTATTTTTAAAAAATAAATTAACAGCGATTTTTTAAGCTTAAATCGCACTTTTCACTTAACCCCCCCCTGAATTCTTTTAGCGCGAATTTCTTGCTTACCGTTTTCAATAACTTTAACAACTCTTTGTTTCCCATTTAGATACTGTCAATGGTTTATCATCGCCAAATACATTGTCCGCCAGAATAAGTACCCCGGCAATTGAGAACACTGGCAGCTCAACACCAACTCTCCCCATTCGATCCGGCTGCACTTCTGATGCGATTGCTGGACGTCACAGTGAAGAAAGCAGAAATTCCTGCTCCCCATGCCCGCTCGGCATTGCTGGCCAGCAGAATACACTTCAGAGCAATGGTCATAACCATGTCCACGCACATGCGCTTGTTCCTGCCATTTCTCCGCGAGTCAACTTCAACAGCAGTGGCTTCGGCGCGATGTACTCCAACATGCACCACACGGCTTTATCGATGAGCGACACGTATGGGTAAGCTTCCACTGAAGACAAATTTAAATGAACATGAAATAAGAAAATAGTGTAGGATTTCCAACGCATTCATGACTAGTCAAACAAGAAATAAAGCTAGCTTCAAGAAGTTCAAGCTTATATTAATAATACTGATACGATCTTCAACTACTATTGCTCCGCGAACTATTATACAATATCGTATAATTCCCGTGAAAAAATAGAAAGGAATATAAAACTCGACACTAGTTAGTGTTTCATTTACAGACAAATCTGATAATATACTTCTGCGGTAAAACCAATGCTCTAAAGATGTTTCTTTTCCAGAACTGTTTCGTCGATTCCAAACTTCAACCACTCATCTGTCGGTTCGTTGGCCCCACCATCGCCGATATCGCAGCAGGGCGACCTTACTCCGCCCTCCCTGTACCCGTGTCACATGACGTTGAGACCACCGCCTATCCCACCGCCACACCATCACATCGTGCCTGGCGATGGGGCCGGTCCTGCCGGAAGTGGCAACGTGCAGCCGGCCAGTCTGGGAACAAACTGCAGTGGATCGGGATACGAGGTGCTCTCCGCCTACGGGTTGCCGGCGCCCCCCGTTGCCGTCGGGCAGTACACCGGCCTCCAGCTTCTCAACTCCCTCCAGCTCCATCGGTGCAAGCTCTCACCACCCCATTCCGCAGGAACAATGTCCCTCGCCGTGCAGCTCCAGCTCGAATCACATGGGAGTAGGTCACAGTCACAGTTCAGTGTTTGCGACCGAACCCATTTCATCGTCGGTGAATTCGTACGCACATATGAGCTACAATTATGCGACAGCTGCCAACAATGTAACACAGTCCTCCATCAGCGGAACCACTGCGCACGTGGCTCCGGGAAAGCAACAGTTCTTCGCATCGTGTTTCTATTCTCCTTGGGTGTAGGAAGATCACAACAATCCAGGGTCACTTCATAACGATAACGGACTATTTACGTATTTGTAAGAAGCCCTCTATCTATAAGGAGGACACAATAAATCGAATTTACATATCTCTTTACAAACAATAGAGGTTGTAGAAAATGCATATGTATGTATAAATTTTATATTTCCGCCCATTAAAACCAATCTATAGTTTAGAATAATTGGTGTAAATTAAATGATTTAAATTTAAAATTGTACCACGTTTTATTATTGTTCCCACCCTTATAATAAAATGAACACCAAAAACAAGGTATTAAGAAATTATTGTCTTCAAGACAAGCTCACCAATAAAATTTGAGGTACAATTTTCATACAAATTATTAGGTATTATTATATTTTTATGTTTATTTTTCGCTTTTTAAACGTTTTCGTGATCTTAAATGTAGAGGATAATAAAGAAAATCATCATTCTTATTGATAAACTCAGCTTAGTGTCTCATCGGCATCACTCACTGCTTTATTGATAAGTCATGGCAACGATTTCAAGAACAATATGATTTTTAGTTAAAAAGGATGGATGGGAATTGTAAAAATTTATTCCGAACTAAAAAGGCTTTCAGCTTCTTCTTAAAATTTACTATAATTTATATTAGATAAGCTTTGAAGGGAAGGCTGCCGTTTCTTTCTTCCTTTTCCCTAATGAGTCATCGATGATATGCTGCAGCGGTGACTAGGACTGCCCCCGCTTTGCACTTCATTTATTATTTATTTTTTAGATGTGGGAAAGGTTAATGAGAAAAATGATGGTATTATTATTTTCAATTATTGCCGTCAAGCCAAGTAGAATGGGAAAAAGTTTAAAAGTTTGAATTACACAAAATCAGGTGAGTATATTTTGGACAATCATTTTTACTTCACTTTAAGGAATTGTAACATTCCCTAGAATAGAGAAAGCTATATGATAGAGTTATCCGAAATGAAAAAAAGTTCCCTTGACTTCGCAAACCAATTTAAGCAAGCTTATCATAAAATTGCAACTGCTGGTTTCTCCTTCTTTTCATTACACCTACAATTTTTATTCTCTTATGAAGGATTGACAAAAGGAACGCAAATATGCGCAGCAGCTTTAACTGTTTCCTTGATCAAAGCTCTCTCGTAGGATTTGCCTCTCTCTTTTTGTCAGTCAGTTTTCATCCCTTGCAAGGAGCATCACTTAGCCTCCGTTAAAATGTATTTTAATTCAATTTCCGGTAATTGTTGTGTCAATAAGTTATAAAAAAAAAACAATATTCAGTGCAAGTGAAACTTATACTCGGTTTGGGTAATAAGTTTTATCAAATTCCAATCGTTTTAAAAGTGAAAATAAGTGTTTTTCGGCAATTCAGACCAAGATCCGTTTTTCTTCTTCTTACTGCAAAGCATCCGCCATTTTGTGACGCGCCCCCACGGAATTAAGTCTTTTAATTTATTTAAATCGATCTCTGCAAATGCTAAAAAGGCAATAAAGATTGTAATTTCAAGTAAAACTCGGGAGTTAAATACATTTCGGTCAATGTTTCGCGTTTAAACCAACATTTTCGGTGTTTCGATGCAAAGGTGCTCCTCGGGACAAGTACGTATGTATGTACATAGGTGCATGTGTGTGCACTTGGTGATTTCTACGCACATATCGACATACATATGTACATATTTACAAAATGTTCTTTACAGGGCAAAAAGCGCCAAAAAGGCCAAAGTGTTTATAATATAAAATCCATTAAAAGATGCATTTAAAAACTTTAAATCTATAAAACCAAAGGAAACAAGTGGTAAGTGAACAATAAACAAGAACTATTATCATATGTGTAATTCAATAATCATGCTTGTCTGATGAAAAACAACGATGTTATAATTTTGTTTTCGTTATTTCTGTATAGTTTTTTTATCTTTCCTATTTTTATGAAATTAAATCCCATTAAATCATTTAGTTTAGTGCATAATATTCATAAAACTGTGATTACCTCACGATCACACTTTCAATGGGTATTTATTTCGGAAGGCATGTGTATGGACTTATTAATATTATTTGTTGTTGTGAATAACAACTCGCGTCTGCGCAGTTGTAAGCAGCCAGCTGCTGTTTTGTAGCAGCGCAGTCGTATGTATTTATGATCTCAAGAGCACAATATCTGCAGACCGGCCAGTAATAGACAAAAGCTCGTGGGACTCGCTTCGTTTTCGTAGAAGGTTCAATTTCGTGGAGCGCTCGTTCGTTGTTACCTGTAGCCTTGTTGTACGTAGCAACAGTGTTTTTGATACATACGTACATACATAAGTTAAATAAAGACAAAGTAATGTAAATATGGATATTTACATAATTAATATTCTACATTTTGACAAAGGATCTACATTTGCCTTAAAGTTCATACACACACTCATACATGCGGCGCATCGGGATACCTAATAATTTCATACATATATAAAGTATATGCGTTTATGTAAATACACACGTACATAATTATATACATATGTACTTGAACCACGAAAGGATATGGATTCAAAAAATAAATTCTACATTTTGTGTATAAGGTCAAAAACTGTGCAACCATTTAATAGTTATTTTTAAAGTGAAGTGAAATTAAAACAATCAGATTTTGTATAAATCTCTGCTAACTTACAACTAAACCAAAAAAGGACTAAATGTTATTATGATTTAATTTGAATGAAGGTTTATTTACACGTATGTACGTAACACAAGTAAATAATTGTTATATTATAAATACATATGTACAAAAATGTTGAATCTATTCATGGCATTGTGTAACACGTTGTTGTTTATAAAAATAGATTATGAAAAACCCATAAAAACTGTGATGATAAAATAAGAAACGGTATATATACTATATATATATACATACATACTCTTTTTCTAAAATCAATTTTATTTCCGAATTTCAAAACAATGTTGGGTTACTACATATGTGCAAATAATTAACTTAAAAAAACTTTTAATGGACTACTTCCTTTTGACCTTTTTTTCAATTTTACCCATTTGATTTGTGCAAATCCTCTTAAATGTACATACATATGTACTCAATACGTATGCAGATAAGTACATATTTATATATAGAAATGTATCTATGCATAATTAAGTAAAGATAGGTTTGTTTGTGTGTGTTCTCTATTTGTATGTACAGGTTTTTTTTTTTGCAGCCGGTGACTGCAAACGACTAAAAATAAACTCTCAATACATGAATTTTCGGTTATACAGTAAAATGTTTTCCATCAACAACATTTATGCTGAATGAGAGAAAGGCGATCGAATTTCCAATTTCCAAAACGTGTTGGGACGTGTGCAACTCAAAATACTTAAAACTATGCGTGTGTATGTATGTACATACGTAAATATGTATATTTTCGTGTCACTGCTATTCGATACAGTAAAGTTTTAGTTTGAGTCCAAATAAATATATATTTTTTAATATTTGTTCGATGTTATGTCGATTAGAGTATGTATGGAGGTCTGTTTAGTTTTGGTAACAAAAAAATTCACAAGTTCACAAAATTTAGCCAAAAAATCTTTCACAACCAAAGATGATTGAGCAGGGAAAATATTGAAATGCAAAAGCCATGAAATGTCAAATGTCAAATGTCAAAATTCTGGACGTCATAGCTTCCAGAAAGCACTGTTTTTGGTCGTACGATCACATTGTAAGAACTTCTGGTAAAAGATGTTAATCGAAGAAAACAGTGCACAAAACTTTGACACCCAAACAAAAATTGACATTCACTTGAATTTGGTACAGATGCAGATACAGAAAAGAGTTTCAGAGAGTCAGAGTTACATACATAAGTGTCCAAGTGTTGCCTACTTTTTGAGCACACCCCGAACATACATACATACACATACATATGTAGAATATATTATTATAAGGGGATTTCCCCGTAAATGTAGAGTTCTTTTTATTTTTTAGGAGGACTTTAGGGGAAAAAAAAATTTTGAGGGAAATATAGGGGAATGGGACATCAATCTGCTTAATTTTGAATTTAGCATTTCTTGACAACATTTTACAACAGAAAATCATGATAATATATGTATGCTCTTTGCTAGAGATATAAGTATATTTCATGTCGTGTATGTAACATAAATATTCTTCTGTACGAGAACCCCACAAGAATATTCATATTGTGATTGTTTATCTTGTTGTGTGATTAGAGATTTAAATAGTGTCGCGAATAAAAATATTGCAAAATAATTTTCGTACCATATTAGTGCTTTTTTTTTATTTAGGGAAAAAGGTTTGAGTCCAGGGGGAAATGCTGAACCATTGGGGGGAAGACGCGCTAACGACTTGGCAACACTGTTTTAGCTAGAAGAAGAATTATTTTAAACTTAAACACGAACTTCGGCTTGGCAAAGCTAAATTTCTAAATAAATCTGCATTTTCAACACAAATTTTTATATTTTAGAGCCATAGAGCGATAGCCGTTGAAGACGAACCTTAAGGTAAACCCTCAGCATGGGGGTGGCTGAAGATTTCGCTCCCAGCTTTGTTAAAAAGCCACAACTGCATCAGGAGGATGATGGCAATCGGTTAATATTTGAGTGCCAGTTATTGTCATCCCCGAAACCGGACATTGAATGGTTTCGCAGTGACAGTAAACTTGCAGAGGATGAGCGAACGAAATTCAAAATACAACCCGTTGAAGATAATAAATACACGGTAATATTAGAGCTTGACGATGTTGTTGAAACGGATGCCGGACTTTACAAAGTGAAAGCCAAGAACAAGTCAGGCGAAGTCTCTGCGTCTATTAATTTAAATTTCACGCGTAAGTAGAAAATATTGAAATAGCTGTACTAGTTTTTGAACAAATAAGATTCCAAAATAGCCTTATTTGGGTGTTAAATACATAATAAGCCACCTTTTATAATGAAGACTAGCTCAAGATATTCTAACGGCATAGTGCCGAAAGAAATTCTAACGGCGTAGTGCCGAAAGATATTCTAACGGCATAGTGCCGAAAGATGTTCTAACGGCATAGTGCCGAAAGATTGATTCAAATGTATGTACATTACTGTTCTTATTTATGATATAACCTCCAAATAGTTGTTAGATATGAAAATATAAAGGCTAAACTTGAAAATAAATAAGATTTAATATGTATATTTAACTCCCAGAAAATTGTCCTCTAATGAGTAAAATCTCTTAATAATTCCCTTTTTCATCACTGTATCGTTGGATACATTTTTTAGCTGCTGACGAACCAAAAGAAAAGTAAGCCACTTTTGATGTTTATGGTTCTTTGCTTTTATTAAACAAATATACGAGCCCAAATTAATAAATATTTATTTATCTGCATTTGATCTTGCTAAAGAAAAAAGCGCCTAAGATTAACACCATTAGAATTAAACATTTTTTTTTAACTATTTAAGAAAAAATGCATGTTCAATGCTTAAAATTTTTCAACCGCTTCAATTTTTCTTTCTATATTTTCTTATGGGGTTTTAAATTTAAAACAGAGGGAAAGTTTGTACCTCTGGAAAGCGAAGGGTAAGTAAAGCTTAACACATGTCCTGCTGTTTTATGTGTTCGGCTAAATAGCACACAATATCAATGAAAATCAAATTATTCTTTAACGTTAAGAAACAGTGTGTGCCCTAAAAAAAAGTTTAACGTAATACAAACGTCTAATGTGTACATTAAAATACAGTTATAAACAGAAAACCTAAATATTTAGTGAATACAAAATAGGTATAATTGTAATTGTGGGTGCAGTGAGCAGGACATTTTGCAAAATAAGCAAAATAATCCTTTTTAGTCTCATATTCTGAAACCATTATGTAGATTCTCAGTTCTCGACGTTAATTTCGACAGACAGGACCAGGGTAATCGGCATAACTATATTTTATTTTTTTTTATACCTATAAATGGTCACCATATCTGAAGGTAAGTATTAGCTTACCAAAGCTTATAACTTAGTATTGCAAGTCAAAGAAAAAATGTCAAGATGGCACACTTGACTTGGTTGTTAGCCATGTTTTTTTTTTTAATATTGTAACAAACTTTTTTAATTATAGCTTTTCCACTGTATTTTAATGCTTATGCCGCTACATTTATATTTAGTGTTTGATTCACCGTCTGTGTTTATGTTATGTTTCATTTTGTTATTTTTGAAATAATGCACAAATAACTTTATATATACATTCGACGTTGCAGACAAATCGACGGTTTCGCGCCGACATTCGCGAAAAAACCCGCTATACGACAGGAAGAAGATGGAAAACGATTATTATTTGAGTGCCGCGTTAACGCTGATCCGATGCCAAACATTATTTGGTTCCACAATGGAGTTGCTGTTAAAGAATCGGCCCGACACAAGGTATAAAACTTTCTAACACAACACTGGTGTCATGGGATTCCATGATTGTTTTTATATGGCTTGAAAAAAAATGTTCTGTTTTTAACCAAATCCATTAAATTTAAAAGTGGGAAAATTCTCCAATGAGATTTAATTTTCTTTGGCTTGCTAAAACGATTTAAGGAGTAAATAATATTTTAATAATATTTTGATGATTTTCAGCTTACTGTTGACAAAGAAGTCCACTCATACTTTGCAACACTGGAGATTCAAAATGTTACAGTTGAGGATGCTGGCAAATACAAAGTGAATGCAAAGAACGAATTGGGCGAAAGCAACGCAACAATAAGCCTAAATTTCGACAGTAAGTAATAATTTAATTTAATTTTTCTCTAATTTCGTATTTGTGTTCGAATAAAACTTTTGTTCGTTACCTTACTTAGCAATATTTATGCAAACATTGATGACTTTGTTATTTCTTTTTTATTTATTTTTTATTTATTTTTAATCTTGATTATACACACAAAAAATATAATGATTTTAAAAACAGACAGTTTCGATTCCGATCCATAGAAATATTCATTTACGAAACGTATTTATTCTTAGGAAATGCGGTAACATGCATTTATACTGTAGAAAAATGCTTTTTTTTTTTTTGAAATGTTAATAAAATTGCAAAAATACTAGTGCAACTCAAGCAAACAAATACTTTTTTAAAGTTTTACTAACGGTTATATTTTTTATAAAAGTAAGCCTCGAAGTTAAAATGTAGAATGTTGGAATATGAACAATGTTGTTTATTTCAAATTGTTTCAAGATTCAGCAACAACTCACAGAGATCACGTAATAGCCATAATAATTATGGTGAACTATACTATAAAATTATCAAGACAAACAATAACAACACACAAGTACTTCTATTTTAATGTATGAAATGCGGTTTTTTAAAATGTTAAGAAATCGTGCACATTGGACCAATTTTGAACCCTTTTTATTTTGATTGAATATGAAGGTTGTTTTGTATTTGAACATTGTGCTACATCGATATTTAAACTCTATAGGCGATGAAGCTCCCGTGCCGGAAAGTTCAGAAGGCATTAAGCCAACTTTTACCGAACGACCAGTGATTCGTCAGAGCGAAGATGGCGGAAATGTAACTTTCGAGTGTAGATGCGTCGGAGATCCAACGCCAACGGTCACATGGTACGAAATTTATATAATCAACACATGTATTCATATAATATAATATACCTGATTAACCAAGGAGATCGAAAAGCAATCGAACGGCTAGCATTTGAGCCTACATCAGTTATATTTATAAAAAAAAATATAAATAAATCCCACTTCCACCGGGTTACCGGATTCGATTCACTGTATAAGCTTCAATAAAATTCCTTTTTTCATGTGCAAAAAGGTCACATGGTGAGACTATACTTAGCGAGTCCAAACGCTACAAAATGTCACTGTCAATGGATCAGAAACTATATCACATGGCGTGTCTCGAGATAAGCAGCGTGGTCTCCTCTGACCAGGGCGAATATCGCGCGCAAGCGAAAAATAAGCATGGTTCCGGCGTCGCAACCATTAATCTTAATTTCGAAAGCGGCTCGAAAAAGTAAGACAACCAACCAAGCAATATAAAATTACCGAAAGTTATACTCCTTCCAACTCAATACAGAATTCCGGATGGAAAATCGCCGCGCTTTCCAAAAAAACCAACGATCCGCCAAGAGGAGGACTTGCTCATCATGGAATGCGTGTTGGAAGCGCATCCGGTCCCGGACATTGTCTGGTATTGCTCAGATGCGCAGATCTCTGATAATCAAAGAACAAAAATGACCCGCAAGGCCATAACTAAAGACAGCTACATTCTCACTTTGGAAATTCAAAATCCCACGAAAGAGGATGGCGGCAACTATCGCTGTAACGCAATTAATATGTATGGCGAAAGTAATGCAAATATTGCGCTTAACTTTCAAGGTATTCTTCCTTTCCTCCTTATATCGTGATCTATTTGTTATACTCGTAATCTATAATATATATAAGCATGATGGTAGGATTGCATTCAGCATAGAATTTTTTTCCACTTAAAAAATATAGGTTTTTCAAATGACACTTGACACAAAAAATGATGGAAATGCATTTCGTAAAGTGCCCTTTTTGATTTTACTTTTTAGAAAAAGAAAAGTTAGGGATTCACTTAAATTTATACACTTTTAACCCGAAAATTACTTCTTTGTAAAAATAAGAGTATTATGGCAATTTTAAACCATTTCTAAATCCGACGCTTTGAAAATATTGGCATCTAAATCGTAAAATTTATATAAAATCAGTGAAACAAAGTTAAAGTGTCGTTGTTCTTCGGCTCGCCGAAGCTAGCTTCGTTTCTTGTTTTATTTCAATTAACTCTATATGAAATTTTCGATTCTTCCTATGGCTATATAATATACCTTCTGTCAAAAAAGTACCGGGACTGGGTTAATAACACTCACATTTTCTATTTATTCATCCAAATTTATTTTGTCGCCTTCAAAGTAGTCCCCATTAGAGGCAATACACATATGCCAGCGATTCTTCCAGTCTTCGAAACATTTTTTATAAGCGTTTTCCGGGATAGCCTTCAACTCCCGTGCCGAATTTTGTTTAATGTCTTCAATGGTGCTAAAACGGGTTCCACGAAGCGGCAACTTGAGTCGAGGAAACAAAAAGAAGTCGGACGGAGCTAAATCTGGCGAATACGGAGCTTGTTCGATGGTATTTATCGAGTTTTTGACCTTGTATTCGTTGACAATGGTAGCTCGATGCGGCAGGAAATTCAGCTCTTTTGGAACAAGCCGTGCAGCGACTCGTTTCATACCCAAACGGTCAGTCAAAATGGTACGAATTGACTCGTGAGAGATGTTCAGGACTTGTGCTATCTCTCGTAAGCTGACATGATGATTTTCAAAAATAAATTCCTTCACTGCCTCGATGTTAGTGTCGGTGAGAGAGGTGGATGGTCGTCCCGAACGAGGCATGTCTTCGACAATCTCACGACCCTCTTGGAATGCTTTGTACCACTCAAAAGCACGTGTTCTCGATAAAACTGCATCACCATAAGCCTTCTGCAACATTTTTAACGCGTCAGTACAAGAAATTTTGTTCGCAACACAAAATTTAAGACAAATTCTTTGTTCAATATAGTTGTTCATTATAAAATTCGGCAAGCAATCAGAACATAGACTGACGTAACCAGCGACTGTAAACAAACTACTTCACAGATCGCGATCAAACTTTACTTAGTAATGCAGAACAGTGTTACCAACATAACAAAAAAAAAATTTCCGAAATCGGTTTAGCACAGGCGTTTTAATTAATCCAGTCCCGGTACTTTTTTGACAGAAGGTAGTCATACGAATTCAATAATATTTAACTCGAAAATCAAAAGTAGTAGTTAGTTATCGAAGTAGTAGTTATCGAAAAAATCCGATATGATAAAAAAAAACGGCGTGATAGTTTCTTTTCCGTTATTTTTTCGATCTCTTCTATGGGACCTATCCGATGTAGTCGCCCGATCCGTTCCGATTTATACCCTGCATGATATAACTACACAACTTTTGGTGGTTTCAGATGTAAAATTAATGTAGCAAAAAATGTAACGTCGTTGTTTTTACATAACAAAACTTACATACATACGCTTGCAGTCACCACAAATGTCGAGAAAAATGCATAAAGGCTAAGGAGACTAGTTTACATATGTAGAAACAGACAGACGGACCGACAGACAGGAGTAAATGTCTAGATCGATTCAAATGGTCAAAGAATATATATTATATAGAAAACTTATGACTGAAATTATAACTCCCTAATATGTATGCAAAGTAGGGTTGGTTTTTTTAATGCTCGATTTTAATAATAGGTACTTTAATCATAAATGAATCATTTCGGAAAAAATACTAGATTCAAATACGTGTGAAACCTATTTCTGATATATAAATATCAAATATTGTAAATATCAAAATTTGGTTTGTTGTTACCTGTTTTTGGCCAGTAACAAACCGTCAACTTTTTAATTACACTTTTTGAATGACTTTGATGTGCTATAGAACTTTCTTAAATTATAGTTTTGCTTCAGCGTTTAACTAACTCAACAGGGAAAACTAATTCAACCTAAATTCTTTTTCAAATATAGGTGCGAGCGACGCGAACGGGTTTGCACCATCTTTCATTGAAAAGCCGAGGATTATACCGAATGAGTCTGGCACACTGATCACAATGAAGTGCAAGTGCAAGGCCAAGCCAGAGCCGACAGTCACTTGGTACAGGGGCCAAGATGCTGTTGAAAAAAGTAAAAAGATAAAAATAAACACTGTAGTGATAGCAGAGGACACGTATGAGCTGACGTTGGAAATAAAGGTGATGTTCTTTTGTTGGCTGTAAGCCTAATCGCTGGCTAACAAATGTATTCCCTTTCTTTAGGATCCGGGAGCAAACGATGGTGGTACCTACAGATGCAATGTCAAAAACGAATACGGCGAATCGAACGCCAATCTGAATCTTAACATTGAGGCAGAACCAGAGCCCGAGGGCGAGGGGCCGACCTTTGTGGAAAAGCCACGAATCGTATCGGAAAACAATGGCAAACTGGTGATAATGGAGTGCAAGGTCAAGGCAGACCCGAAACCCGACGTCGTTTGGTTCCGCAACGGAGAAGTTATCAAAGAAAGCAATAAAATTAAGACCTTTATTGAGCAGCGGGGTGATCAGTACTATATCAAGTTGGAGTTATTAGATCCGCAGTTGGAAGACTCAGGCCTCTACAAGTGCAACATAAAGAACACGCTGGGAGAACTGAATGCTAATCTTACACTTAATATAGAAAGTGAGTATTGGTACTACAGGAACAAACTATTTAAAAATGCAAATAATCTCTTCAATCATAAATATTTTTCTTTTTTTTGCAGTTGTTCCTGTTATCAAAGACAAACCAAAAATTATCAAAATCATAAAGAAGCGAACTGTAGTGATCGAGTGTACTGTGGCATCGAAGTTCGAGCCCAAATGTACCTGGTACAAGGAATCGAACACAGTGAAGGAGAGCAAAAGACACGTTTACCTTGTGGAACAGACAAAGGACGGGGAGTTTGCTGTTAAACTGGAGATCAACGAGGTTGAGGAGAGCGACAAGGGAGCTTACAAGCTGGTGGCCAGCAACGAAAAAGGAGAGGCGGTGTCTCAAGTGGTTAACCTCGTTGACATTCCCGAGGAAGAACGCAAACCCAGTAAACCGGAAATCTCCAGAAAGCTCGTTGATCAAAAGGTCACCGAATCAAAGACGTTTGAACTTCTGATCAGCCTCGCGCAGTCAGATCGCAAGTGCAAAATCGAGTGGTACAGGGGCAGCACTTTGTTGCGCGAAACAAAGGACGTCACCACCACGTTTGATGGAACAACAGCAAGACTTACATTTAGCTCTGCCAAAACGGAACACACTTCCAACTATAAAGTTGTTGTATCTAACGAGGTCGGCAAGGACGAGTCATCTTGTAAGATTACTGTGGAAAAAGGTACCAAGAAGCCAGTTGAGCAGCCAAAAGAAAAGGACAAATTAAAGGAAGAAAAAGAAAAGGAACAAAAGGTAATAAGACAAGTCTGAGCCCACATATAATATATACATTTTTACGTAGTACTAAACATTAACATTAATTTAATTTAATTTTTAATTTAAAATGTACACTGGCAGCTAAAGATTGGGTTTTTTATAGCAGTTTGCAACGCAGTGAAGGAGACACCTCAGACCCATGATGGTTTTTGTAATATAGTGTAATATGTAGAATGTAATATGTAGAATGTACGACAGCTGTACGATGTAGTAGTCCAATCCTTACAGAAGAATTTTTATTTTATTTTTAAACCTATTACGAGCAAAGTACTTAATTGTTTAAATACATTACATAATGGTTTAATTATGTACTTTGCTCGACTCTTAGCAATTCGTATTATGTAAAAACTTCGAAGTTTTGAGCACTTTTTTATTTATAAATTTAATACAACATTCAGGAGTTGTTAGAAAATTATACAAACTGTATAAAAAAATGTACCTATATATATATATATATGTACATTGTACATAAACTTTGATTAATACAATTTAAGCACAACAATTATTTTAAGTAAATCAACAAATTTATTAACGTAGCTCTTTTTTACCGTGCAGTCTGACGTGACTTTATTTCAAATACCAAAACTGAAAAGGAGAAGCACACAGAACATATCTCTGGATATAGCTCAGTCAAATGCATCTAAAGACATTTTTGGTGTCACTTTAAAGCCTGTTGGCAACTTTGATACCATAGAGGTTTGCAGTATATTCTCTGATATTCAAATACTTCACTATGATATGGACTCCTTTATTTAATTATTCTTCACTTGGTTTAACGAAATCCTGCAGCCTATCTATATATCTTTACGGAAACTTTTCTAATTTCTATCTTTTTTGTGGTACACATCTCTTAATCAAGGTCGAACACATTTTTATTATTTATTTCAAATATTTTTAATATACTTTCTTACTAATATATTTCTAATATTTTCACGAATTCTCGTTTTGGTAAATAACAATACACAACACTACAAAAACTCAAAACACAAAACACAAAAGGACTCTGAGGAAGCGGAAATTCCTTCAGATCAACCCACTAAAACTGATAAGCAAAATGAAGAAGAACAAGAAAAGAACGGTGTAGAAGAAGAGCCGAAGAAAACTGAAGAAACTAAAGAGCCGAAGAAAAAAGAAGAAACTAAAGAGCCGATGAAAAAGGAAGAAACTAAAGAGCCGAAGAAAATTGAAGAAACTAAAGAGCCGAAGAAAAAGGAAGAAACTAAAGAGCCGAAGAAAACTGAAGAAACTAAAGAGCCGAAGAAAATTGAAGAAACTAAAGAGCCAAAGAAAATTGAAGAAACTAAAGAGCCGAAGAAAGTTGAAGAAACTAAAGAGCCGAAGAAAGTTGAAGAAACTAAAGAGCCGAAGAAAGTTGAAGAAACTAAAGAGCCGAAGAAAAGTAAATCTGAACCGAAAAGTGAGCAACCAAAAACGAAGTCCATTGACAAAAAGGATAAGTCATCTCCACAAGAACCTAAGGCGAAAAAAGAGGAATCAGTTTCAGATTCAACTCCTACTGAAGAGAAAAAGGAAGAGGTAAAATTAAAACATCCTCTATGCCGGGCAACTTCCTGCTTCGAATTTACGCTGACAGCATTAACACTTTAAAACAGAAATACAACACCTAGTACACCTAAGCATGTTTTTACTCAGTTACTATTTTTATCGTTTCTAAGAATTAAAAACACGTTTCTAATATTAATTTAAATTTTTATCAACAGAAACAAACAACTGAGCAGATAGGACTAAAAAAAGTGGAAAGAAAGGTATGAAAAAAAAACAAGTACAAAAATATTACATTTTAATCTTAATATAATATAAATACATATGTATAATTATTACTAAAATTAATGACAAAATAGTATCTATCCAAATCGAAATTTTACGTTACTCCCTTACACGTACAAAACAGAAATGTAGAACAAATGTAGAATTTAAATACTTCAATTAGAAATGCTGTAAAAAATGTGTAAAGTTATTTGTTTTAAAGTAACTATTACGATTTTACTTGGGAATTAGTTACCTGTTTATACGTCTGTTTAGATATATATATATAGTATATTAGTTAATATTACATGTTTTGTTGTTACTTAGGCAAGTATTGTGTCTGTTAAAGAAGAAGTCTCAGAGACACGCCGTCAATCAATCATCGAGGCTCGTGAGGAAATCACAGTCGATAATACGAAGGTATTGTCAAGAAAGTCATCCCTAGCGGTAAGTTAGAATTTTAAATTACCCGTTACTCGTAGATTATTAATCTATAATTTTAAAAATTAAATGCCTATGCGAATCCATAAGGTGTATGGTATAAGGTATATCAACAAACGAGTCAAGTTAGCCATGTCTTTTTGTCCGCACAAATATATCGGGAACTTTAAGAAATAATTAATGAGTTTTAAAAATAAAATTTTTTCAATATTTTTCATTCCTGATTTTACGCCATTACCAGCATCTTCGGGGCTTCAGCCATGTTGTCTATATTATTAATTTTTATTTATAATTATTAAATTATTCTAGTGATGAAATTAAAATTCCTAATCTGAGAAACGGATATGTTATAGTCGGGCATTCGACTATAGCGTTCTCTTTTGTTTTTTTCTTTTACTTTTGAACGTAAAATTTATGTATTATGTGTATTTTATGGTCCAATTAAAAGGTTGAAGAATCTAGTAAAGAACGGCTAAGGTCTTCCGTGATTGATAAAACCCCAATGGAGGTAAGTATTCAAGAACACGTAATGGAATTACTGAAAAGATTAACGAAGTTGACGTAAGCTATAAACTGTTTAACTAAAAACATCTTAAAATGTCATTTACGTAAGGCTAGACTTAATTGCTTTAATCCCAAAAAATACACCTATAAGAAAACAAATTTCCACCGTAGCAGGTTGATAGTAAACAAATTGACGCTAATAAAAATCCACAAGCCCTAAAAGAAGAGATCCCCAAGCTAAAACCTGCTGAAAAACGACGACCTTCAAAGGTGAGCGCTTAAAAAAACCATCGAATGCTCTATAACTATTAATCATCTCTGTTTTCCTTGATATTACTGTTTGTAATTCAACATCTCTATTAATCATCTCTGTTTTCCTTGTTAACACAATTTGTAATTCATTATTTATAAATTAATTAAAGCATTTTTACTCTACTTCCGTTCAGCAACAGATTCCAGGCTCTATAAAGTTTATATATTCTTAATCAGGAACACTACCTCAGGCGATCTAGAAAGATACGAAAGTCAATATAGAATTAATAGAATCCAAATTCGGCTGCCCGGGCTAACTTTCTTTTTTGTTTAATTTTGTTCCTTTTCTTTTCGCTGTCTATAATATATTTTATAAACATTAATTGTCCTAATTGTTGTATAATTTTAGCCAGACTGTTTTATTTCTCTTAAAATATATATAAAATATTTTTCTATTAGTATAATAATGGGTAGACAGGGCCTTACATAATTGAATTGAAAGTTTTAACAAGTCCAAACAAATGTCAAGAAAGATTGGAGGACCAATAGTTACAATCAAGAAAAGAAAATAAATGCCCCGGATCTAAAACTTATATAGCCATACGTTTATATGGTTAAAATGTTTAAGTACTTAAGGATTTTTCTCCGATCGTTCTCATGGATAGAGAGATAGATAGGTTAAACTCAGGTGTTTAAAAAAATTGTATAAAAAAGTTCCAGATGAATAGTTTTTTATTTAGGAAACGGAAATAAAATCAGAGGGACAAGGGTATACCCTCATTGACTTACTAGTGATTCCGATTATAACAAATTTATAATGCCGGATCTCAGCTCTTTCCGATCAAGAATATAGAATCTTTATAGGGTCAAGGAAAAAATATTATTAATGTTTATCATAAAATCATTTTTGTTTTTCTATTAACGCAGTTAAAATATCTTTCTACAGCTTGCAATAAAAATTAGTTATTTTTGTTAAACAGACTTTCAAAGTCTGCAAACAGCCTATAAATCAAATGAATTTCTTTTTCTGCCTATTATTTTTTGTTGTGTACCTATGTTTAAATTTTTTGTTATAATGTTTGTGTGTCCATTTTTTTTTAATATTGTGTTTATCCATGAAATGTGTGGAGCAGGCTATTGAAGAGGCAAAACCAGCTGAAGAACTCCCAAAGCTGCGTAAGACATCAATTGCACAAGCAAAAGAAGAGCCGAAGCCAGAGGTGGCGAAACCAAAGGCAAAACCAAAAGCCAAATCGAAGCCCAAGTACGAAGAGCTTCCAGAAATTCCAGACTACGAGCGTCCGCAACTTGAAAAGTATGAGAAATCTGATTTCACGCCATCTGACTTTGCTCGTGAACTCGACATACCAAACAAAATGGAAAAGCCCTTGCTAGACAGCGGAAAGAAGGAGTCTGAGGCACCTGCCCAGAAGAATGGACTTCCCAAGGTATGTACAGATGTGTTTTGTCCATTGAATTGTTTAGTGTTTCATCACATTTTGTTTAATCACTGTGTATGAACACAGAAGGCGGAAATTGTTGAAAAAACTGCGGAGGAACCAAAGGGCCTAAAATTGGGCAAAGGTAAACTACCCAGTGAAGATGATAGTCGAGATGGCGCTGTGCTCAAACCAGTCATAATTGAACCTGAGGTAATTAAAATATGTTTGTACCATTTTCGAAACAGTGTTACAAGGTAAATTTGAAACTTTTGATGTGCATAGGATAATATTTTGTATGCCAAATGCTTAACTCCTTTTTCGTAAATTTGTCCTTTTGATTGCAATCCTTTTTTACGACGTTTTTCAGGAGAACACCTCGGAGAGCAAAAACAAAAAGAATTCCGAGGTAAGTTCATTTAAAAAAATAAGAAAAACTAAGAAGCTTGAACTAACAAGATAAAATGAATACGAATGCTCTACATTGAAAAGTACCCTTAATAATACTAATTGTAAAAATCCCTTGTAAAAATGCACTTAGCAGGCCGATAAACCATCTGTACTAGATATTATAAAGCAGCGACGTCGATCCTCAATCAGAAATCTGATGACTAAGGAACCAATTCGTAATGAATCATTCCTAGGGGTAGTTTTAAAGCCCGTGATAAAGGATGCTAAAGAGCAGGTTGCGCCTCAGCAAGCCATACAGTTAACGAAGGTAACAGGTTTGAGAACTTTCGTGCCAAGCGACTCTCTTCTAAAAGCGTCTTTACTTTACTGACTAAACAATTTCAAGTTTTCAATATCTTTTGCACTTTTAAAACTCGGGTGATCATTCAACCTGATGAGTGCATTTCGCTGGCTGGCTCAATTTATATTTGTCTCCATTCTCAATGCCATTCTTTCTTTCCCTACTTCTTTTGCTCTATCTCTTTTTTATTTTATACAACGCGTGAAAACAATTTTCTAAACACTCTAAAATTCAATCCAATCAAAGGCAAATGCAGTGGAACAATTCTCTCCTACAAAGGCAACTAAGGCTCAAGTGTCTGACTTGAAAAAGCCTGAAGTTCTGTCTCTTGAAGATGACTATAAGCCGGCTGTATTAGAGAAATATGAACCTGTTAGTATTGATAAAGCAAAACCAGAGAAACACACACCAGCCATTGTCACACCGGACACTAAACCCGCCGAACAAAAGCCGTCTCTAGAAGAACCTAAGGTAAGCAATTAACACTAAAATCAAATTGTGTAAATATTCTGAAATAAAGAAGAAATACCCCGTAAGTTGAAGTACTTCGTATGTACCTAAAAATTCCATGTATAAACACAAAATTATTAATATGTTCACATATTAATTTCTAAAAATTCCTTAAAAATCAAAAGTGTAGTAATGAAAACCCCTTTTAATTAGAATGTGTATGTTTCCCCCATATTTTAGAGGTATTAAAATTTTTGTTTTATATTTATATAAACACATTGTGTACATATATGAATATATAGTTTATTTATATAAATATATATGGTGTATAAGTGTGTGTTTATAAATATACCTTTATATTTAATGTGTTGAAATAAATTTTGTCTGAAATATGCTACGGTTTCTCATAACCTTCTTGATGTTTGTCTCTTCTTGTCGTTCTGTCTGTCCTAACGTTTCCATTTAATTTCAATTTGAATAAGAATTTTGTATTGCACTATATTGTTATCTGAAGGAAATGCTATGTCCTTTTTAGCATTCGGATAATGATACATATACTCTAAAGAAGTCTTTAAGTTATGCCATAAAATGTCAGCATTTAATTTTACAATTACGGTAGGTACATTTTATAATGGATAGTTGAAATCTTTTCAAATATAATCTTATACCCCAACGAAATTTTTAATCAAAGTATGTTACCCAATACATTTTCAAGACAATATATGACAGCGATATAAGGTAGACAGAAAGTAGATAGATAATCATTTTTCGTCTCCTAAAAATTATTTATATTTTTTCAATTATTATTTTCAACAGGAGGAGAAAAAGGTTCCCAGGATGCAACCGCCTGCTCCAGGTGAACCACCCAAGATCGAAGTTATCCGGGAAAAGCGGCCATCCCTTGCTCCGGAGCCGCCAAGTCGCCGGGGATCTCTGATACCACCAGCCGATACAGGTCGCAGACCATCTCTGATCATCAACGACGAGGTAAGCGGTGAAAATGAGGTAAAAGGGTTGACTTCTAAAGGGTGGAGAGAGGTGGTTTTACATATATGCAAGCAGAAGCCGTTGGGTTTTAAAAATTAAATAATACTATTTAGTTGCCACCTTAGTAAATATGCTGTCGGCATTAACAACTTCAAATGAATTAAGTGATGTTAGTCATGGTTATGTTGATCCCAACCGTAGGCATATAGTAAATATGAAAATATAAAAAATATAAATAAATATAGTAAATATAAAAATTCCTTAATATTGGTCATAAGGAAAAATTGAACAAAAGGTTATATTGTTTGAATGTATCATGTGTGGGACGGTTCTTGCATATATGTAAAACACATAATGTTAAAAATATAACTTACAAGTTATATTTATTGATCTTTCCTTTTTATCAATAAAAATATCTTTAAAATATTCATATTTTCATTTAAATACTATAATACTATAAGTCTTTTCTATATGCAAACTTTTAATCTTCATGTATGGGCTTTTTAATTTTGGAGATCTAATTATTGAGTGGCTGGGTAGTTTTAAAAAATTAAAATAAATCATATTGATCATATTTTTTTTTGCCCAAAGTTCAAAAAACCCATTAGAAAAAAATTAATTTTTTTTTAAGTCGGATTAGAAACAAGGAAAGTTACCCAGGGGTGGGATGTTTTTATATACAGATATATTCTTTAATTTGTGGATGCATGAATTAACGTTAAATATCAGTTCGGTTTCAAATCTTTCTCTTTATTTTCATATTGCTCATGAACAAGTGCCCATATCTTTTCACATGCAATTAGGATTAAAAAATTGTTTTCGTGCTTAAAAACCCTCGAAACTAGAGTTTTAAATTAGTTGGTATGTTTAGTGTCCACTTTCAAGCTTTTTGGGTACCCTTAATTACATATATATAGGGGAATGTCGTCAGGGTTGGACACATTTTCGACCCTTGCCCATAATTATCGTTTTAATAAGAATTAAGATCATTTGCGTAAATAGTTTGAAAGGTAAAGGCAATAGGTATGTCTGACAATGAACATTATGTTGTGAAATGAAAAACATAGAAATGGCGAGTATTTAAAAAAAAAAAAAAATGTAGTCAGGCTTGGACACTGTAGTCATGGTTGGACACTTGAATTGCTACTTCAGAAAAGTAGCAATAAAAGAGGACATTATCCATGGATCAGGTGTATTTTATGTCTTTCGACTCTTTTTCATTATGAACAACAAATTTTACAACCAAGTATGAAAAAAAAATTAATCAGATTCGCAATTAGGACAAACAGGACAGCATTATGCAAGTCGACTTTACCTCTTTCCGTCGTTCGCTTGTAGCGTGAACCTCTTCAAAGGGAGAAAATAAATTATTACTCAAAGGATTTATTTTTTTTACTTACTTACTAATTAATTCACTTTTTTTTTGAATCAAGTAATTAATTACCAAATTTATTTATTCATCCAACTCATACTTTATTTTTAGAACTTTAATATATTTCTTTAATTAATATGTAGGTATATTTGTTCACAATATAGAAAACAAATTATTTCATTGTTTGTATTTACATGTTTTGTAGTGAATAACTGTAAAAAACATTGGAAAAATTAAAATATCCTGACAAAAGGGGAAAAACGAAGGGTGTCCAACCTTGACAACAAAAAGTGTCCAACCCTGACAACATGAGTCATAACTCTACCGCACAACATAACTACCAAATCGCTTTATTTAGAACAAATTTTTTTTTAGGATTTTGTTAAGGGGGAACCACTTAACGTATTTTTAAACTTACCCTGCGGATGGCATATTTTCCGCTGAATTATGCCACTTTTTTAGCGCGTTCTCGAATACTTTTTTCTTCACTATCACGACACTATGTCAACAAAACAGGAAAATTAACAGTTATGGGATGCGGCTAGGGATGAAAAGTTTCCCACAGTGATAACCATTAATACCACATTCGCACACAGATGGCGATAGTTGGTTTATTAGAAAAATTGCAAGTGTCCGACCCTGACAACTGTCCAACCTTGACGACATTCCCCTACATATATTTTTTTGAAGTAGTAAAAACTCTTTATTTGCTTTGTCCATTAACTAAATAATCTCAGGTTGATGTGTATGCATACATTTAAAAGTGTAAATTACTCCGACGTAGCTAATTATTTCTGTATTTACTGTGTTCCCTTTTATGTATCTACCATATTGCCATATGTCCTTCAAACTAAACAACAATCAACCCGAACAAACAACAAAAACATTAAATTATCCAACCCTACACATTAAACAACAACATTCGTACACCCACTACGCAAATCCTCCATCAATCAACAACCCAAAACAGAAGAAACTCCGTCCTGGCGAAGTAATGGACACGCGGGTAAGAAATCTCTATATACACCGCCGATTAAAAAGTGGCTTCGCAGGCTATTAAATTCTATAATTCTATAATTTACATGCTAAAAGCGCTTTAAGGGGCTTCAACAATATTTTTATAATCCGTTTTTTGGTCAGGTCCAAGGGGAGACCCGATTACCGATTACCTCATGTGCCATTATTTTATTTTGGGCACTCTCATTTGCCCTCGATCTCGAAAATACATAAAAAATACAAAAATAAATCGCACAAGTGTCGAAAATAGGTCACATGAGCCCAGATATACCCAGCTTCTATTTATTTTTGTGCTACAGTGAAATGTTGACAAACCGCAAGGAATAATAAATGTTTATGGAAAATAAATAATTCTTTATTTTCTAGAAGTACTCGATGTCTTATAGTAAATGTTTTTTTTATAACTAAAAAATGTTGTAATGCTTGTACACATATATACTAAATATGTTTGTACTCTTCATGCAAGGTGATTCTATTGAATGTTCAGCTTATAGAATATATATTTTGGTTTCATATCGGCCATTTCTGCTGCTTAGGTCTACTATATTCTTTTATTAATTTATTGCCAGTGGGCAGACAACATCTAGTTCAATTCTGATACATTCAGAATTCGGATAAATAAAGGCATTCGTTTTTTATACACTCGCAAAAGTTTGACATTAAACACAATACAAAATCACGTTGGTAAATGAATTACCTACCTACAAGTCGTATTCATTCAATGTTGTATGCTAGAGTGAATAATTCCATGTCCAGCATTATAATACTATTTAATAATATTACAGTTGTTAAGGCCAGGCGAGGTCGGTGAAGGACAGGTGAGAGTTAGTTACACGTAGTTGTTGCACAAATAGTTTTACTAGTACAAATTATTGTTACAAATTGGTGACTTGCATTCCATCTCCAAACAACACAAACACATTGTTAAAGAGAATCTTAGAAGACATGTCGAAAACCGATCCTTTGACTTACAACTCGATTAAAGTTACACTAATCATGTTATACCGCTCCCTCATCCACGCACCCGTAGAAGTAAATCGAATTTGTAGTGTTTTAAATAATTTTAAATACCTTTACTTCAAGATTGACCTGGTAAAGATTGTATTGAAAATTCTTCATAAATCTAATCCCTATTGCATCCATTATTTTTAATTGTAGCCGATTAAAATTGTAGTAGAGATCATTGATTTGTTATTTTTTATATCCTAACAATAAATTCATTTTTCATTTAGTTATTGCTCCAGCATGTACACATTTAGAATGGTATCAGAATGGTATCTCTTATTTTTTCGCAGTGTATGTTACTGTTTTACATTTCCGTGTCAGTTTGCATAGCCACACTATATTAATGACAATGCAATTTGAAACAAACGATTAAAATAATCCTCTCTCAAAGATTCAGGTCATTTCAAAAATATAAATATCATTTTAAAAATATATAAATTTGCATAAATCAAATGAAACCAACGTGAAGTTCAATGGCGTACTCACATATTTCCCACTTTTATTTTTCTCGAATACGTTAGCACAAGCAACAACGACCCGGAGATATGGGTGACACGAAACAGGTCTCGAAACAATGGTCCAGTTTACTGATCATTATCTTTTTACTATGTGTTCGCTTGCATTTTAATGATTATGGAGCTGAATGGAATTTATATTTATTTGATAAGTAGGAGTTAAATATTATATATGTGTAACATCCGGTGTAAATACTCATGTTTTTCTTAAATCGTATGCCAGATCGTATGCCATATTCTCCAAGTCCGTGTACCGAAGGATTTTCAACAATTTTTGATAGTTTAAAATTATTTCAATTAATATCGTGGACCTTAACCATGATGAATTTATATGAATACAATATTTCTATTTTAATAAAAAAAATATAAGTTCAATCCAAAATTATATTTGCTGGTTTCTACGTTATAAGAGCAAATAATAATTTTTAAAATTCGACATTTACCATTTTCTGATGAAGTGCGAATTATTTAGGTACAATATTTATTATTTTTATGTGTGCATTGAAAAGGAATTTATGCCTTTACGTTTTTTGATTGAACAGACTCCAATCCTAAGCATATTTAATATGTGCTTAACTATCCATTCTTTAATGGAGTACTGAAGTCCACATGACAAATAGTAACTTGTTTAAAAGTCTGAAGTATAAAAAATTTCATAAAACAACTCGAAAAAAATCAATTATCCATTATTTTCCCATATCCTCAATCGGGACCTTAATTTCAATCATTTAAATAAATAACTCATTTGCTCTGTCAACTATATATTATATTATATATCAGTTAGTGTTAATTTCAAACAAGTAAAAACTGCTTCCAAAGTGGAACAGCTACATACCAATCCAGACTTTTCACCTATACTGCATTGCATGCGTAATCGACAGTGCTGTTTCTTATTTTTTTTTTGTAATTATAAATAAATAATGCACTGGGTTTATGTAGATATATATATATATATTCTTGCCTGGTCTTCATTAATGTACTACACAGTTTTTCTAGGACGTGATTTTATATTTATTTGTATTAACAATGCTCATTCCTTTGTCTAACCTTCTACAAAAAGTAGTATAAGTTCGTAGATTTAACGTTGCCTTGAGAGTTGCTCTACAGTATGGTTAATTGTTCGGACACTGTGAGCGGAATGCCTATTATATTCTTATCTTTTATGTAACAAATAATATAAAAGTCTTATTCAAGCCTTTTCCGATTCCTACAAATTCAAAAATGATTTTTTAAGAATAAATCGGAACATGCCTGACTATTTTTCAGCCTCATTCAATTCAAAGTTACACATATTGAATGTTATCCAGACATTTTAAAATCACAACCTCCTCCCACCATTAACACTTACAATTGTTTTCCTGTTTATATTTTTTGTGCATCTATCACCGTCTGTGTCAATGTAAATGTGTTCGCCCAACAGCGGAGAAGACCGTCGATCGATGTGCGCCGTCCCAGCGTGCAAGATCTAGAAGATCTTATAAACAAGCCTTCTACCCCATTGCGCGATGTCGGTGATGGCGGTCCTCCCTCAATTGTCGATGTCCAAGAGTCGTACTCTGTCGTGGAAGGTATGCATACATAAGTTAAAAAAAATCACTTTGTTGGTGTTAACAAACACAAGGGCTTGTGAGCAAAATTATTTTAATTTTTACTGAGCAGATTGACGAATCTTTATTTGATAAATAAAGTTAGTTTAATAATTTCACCCAGATTCGGCGAGCCGAAGCTTACATATATACCCCTACAGTTAGATCTTAAGACTATAAAACTAGACGTACAACAAATCTGTAGTATCCAAGTGTTTTCCTAATGTTAGTCCGATCCTTACAGAGTCGACAATAAGGTCTACTGTTATGTACTCCTTCGCTACAAGGAAACGACGTTATAATTTCGTGATCTTAATCATTTGTTATATTTTTTGCGGTCCTTCTTCGGATATAAACCTTTGATTTTTGTGATTTTAAATTCATATGAAGGAGACACCTCTGACCTCGAAAAAGTTAATATTAACTCTAAACTGATCATCATACTAGATAAATAACTAGCGGTATTATAATTTCCTATGACTTTATCAATAAAATTCGTTATTTTTTGTGCTTGATATATAGAATATTTTTGATCTAGATCTAGATAGGTTCAGGCGGTGATGCAGATCAAGAATAAATATACTTTATGGGGTCTAAAATGTCGTCTTTACCGCGTTGCAAACATCTGTCTAAGATTATAATATTCTCTGCAAGGGTAATAAGAAATTATAATTTTGTTATCACATAACTAAGATTCTCAGATTATCAAGTTTTGTAACGACTAATAATTTGAGAAACATTTATAAAAAAAAAAGGTGAAGACGAAATTATAATGTCGTTTTTTTTTCAAATTAAATTGTGACTAAAATTTAAGTCACAACTTTTATTCTAAAAATGAAAACTGTTGATTTTTTATTACCTTTGCCTTTCCCAATATATAGAAATTTTCTAATATTACTATACTAATACTGAAATCTACACATTCTGTGATAAGTGACTAACCATTTTGTATTTGTTAACGTGTGCATGCTTTGTATTTGTTTTTTAGACTCAACTGCCTACCTCACGGTTGGGGTCGAAGGCAGTCCAGCACCCACATTCAAGTTCTACAAGGGAGTTAGTGAGATTCTCGAGGGCGGTCGGTTTAAGTTCCTCACGGATGGGCAGACAAACACAATTACCTTGTGTATGCGTAAGTGCAAGCCCAACGATGAGAGCAAGTACAAGATTGTTGTGTCAAACATACACGGGGAGGATTCAGCCGAGATGCAGCTTTATGTATCAGATTCTAGCGGCATGGACTTCCGTGCCATGCTCAAAAAACGACGTTATCAAAAATGGGACAAAGACGAACAGGACCCCAATTGGGGTGACCTAAAAGAAACGGAAAAACCGTTGCCGGCCCTTAAAAAAGTCGAAAGGGTAAGACACAGATTATATGGTTTTATACGACTCGAACGGTGTGGAAATCTCTATCATTTATTGGCACTTCAATTATGGTTAGAATAGCGTTGATTCCTTATTCCTTAGTATGCTCCTCTTTTTTAAACACTTCTCATTTGCTAAAGCTTATACACTGAATCTATACAAATTGCAAACGAACTTTGCCAGCAACCTAAGGTTCATTCTGTCTTTTCAATAATGAACAAAATTATATACAAAAAAATTATTTGAATTCGGATAGCGATCTTACGAGTAAGTCAGTTATATTTCCTTTATTTATTTTAGTAGAAGCAACATTATGAATAAGGTCTTTTAAACTGAAAAATGTATTACACGAATTTTCAAATCAATATGTAGGGTCCAGGATCGCGTAGACCATCTTTAGCTGAACTGATTCCCGATTGGCCGATATTACATCCTTTTCGGCGAGAAGAGGTGCGCTTCGTTCTCTTTTTCTAATTACTTTTTATTTCAAAATAATACTTTTATACATTTTCAGTGACCAAGTCAATTATTGAATTTTGTTGTTTTTTTTTTTAAGAAATAAAACAGTTTTTATTTCGTATTTTTGGTCTTGATTTCGATGTTAACCACAACAAGTTGTCCTACAAAATGCTCAGAAAAAAAGAAGCGATTTCTTTGTATAGATTAAATTTGAATTTTGGTTTCTCGAACTACGTGTCATACCATGAAGAGTTTTCCACGACAACATTTCATCTTTATTGCTTAGTATTTTATTTACACAATGTGCTGAAAATGGTTTCAAATCGAATGCAATTTTTTTTTTTTTTTTAAATACAAAACATTGTACCTAACACCTCGAAATTCGAGATTTTAAATTGGTTTAAGTTTTGTGGTTGGTGATGGAAAGAATTTTTGTCAAAATCATCTACAACAATCAACTGGAAATATAAATTTAACGTGTATTTTTTTTTAATGATTTTTGTTTTGCCGATTAAAAAAAAATATAAAATACGAACCACAGATCTACGTTCCAAAATTGTTATTTACTATTCAAAAATATTTGCCAAGCCGATGATACCATCATTTGTTGATTATAAAACTAAAAAGGAACAGAGATATACAAGAAAAAAATTTTTAATTTAAATTTAAACTTGCGTTTACTATCCTATAAAGTTACTTTCGTTATATATTTTAGTTTATCAACCTTTTACTTGGTGGATATATGCTTTTATTTAATTTCCCCTATACTTTCAAATAAACTCAGATACAATCAATTTACCAAGTGAATAGATAAAAATTAAATAGCGTGGTATTCTGAAATATAGTTTTATTAAGCAATACGTGTGCTTTCTATAAAGTCTGATTTCTAAAAGCATTTAATTGTAACTCCAATGCTTTGCTGTTTTGAATATTTATATTTATGTATTTAAAATACATATTTTGTTTTTTGGAAAACAAAAAGGTTTAACAAAAAAGTAACACATTTTATCAATGTATTTCGTTTATATATATGGTTCTGTAATTAAATCACAAACCTGTATATACCCGGAGTATCTTGATTATTCAAATGTATAATGGAAAATACCGAAGACCGTTTAGTAATCGTATATCAAATTTATATAACTTTTCCCATTTTTGACAACGTAACTACTTACAATCGGTGAGCACAGAAGGTTGAGTCATTTCTCAGCCCACTTATCGACCAGTTTGCAAAAGAGGGAAAGGACAAAAAGGTTGTGTTCGAAGCCCGATTCAGCAAGCCCAATTGCAAGCCCAAGTGGCTTTTCCGAAAAGACGTAAGTATAGGCCCATTTGAGATGAACATCACTGACACTTTTCGCAAAATATATTTTCCAATTTATAACAATTCAATAATTATAGGAGGTGTTTACGGGCAGTAAATTTAAGTTCAAACAAGAAAATGATACTTATCAATTAATTATAACGACCCCGAAAGTCGAGGACACCGGAAAGTATACTATTGAGATCGGTGGTGTTTCAAGTACGGCATTTTTGAATGTCGAGGAAGCTGATCCCACCTACACCTTTACCAAACCTCTTAAAAAGAAACTGGACGGCTTTACACAGCACGAGACCACTCTGGAGTGTTCTGTAAGCAGCAGTATGGCCAATGTGCATTGGTTTAAGGATAACACGAAAATTGAGTCCGACGACCCTCGCTACCTTATCTCCAAGGACATAAATGGCAACCTTAAGCTTATTATCAAAGATTCAGTTCTCGAGGATGCCGGCCTTTACAGATGCCAGTTGGATAAGCAACCTGATAAGACTGAATGCAACCTAAAGGTTACGGAGTACCCATACAAGTTTGTTAAGGTCTTAAAATCCCAGCAGTGCATAGAAAAGGATACCGTGACACTCGCCTGTGAAATAGATGATGCAATGGGTGAAGTGCAGTGGTTCCGCAACGGCGAAGAAATAAAACCCGATAAGAGAATTCAAATTGTAAAGGACGGTCGAAAGCGAAAGTTAGTCATTAAGGACTGTAAGGTAACTGATGCTGGACAATTTAAGTGTACGACAAATGCCGACTCCACAGAGGCAGAAATAATTATTAACTGTAAGTCTTTACTTATCGCAGTTATAATTTATTAACACTCTATCTATCTGAAATTATAATAACCTTTTGCTATGCAAGGGTATAAAAATGGAATTTATTTCAACTTGTGGGCCAGAATTAACTTTATTACGGGTTGCCAGTTTCTTAACAAATATGATTTAAGCGTCGCCTATAATAATTTATTGTAATTCATTTTCACGTTTTTTCATTAACAATTTTAAAGATCAAAACCGTTTCAACAAAAAACTCAAGGACACCGATGCAGTTGAAAGGGAAAAGTTGGTTCTCGAGGTCGAGCTTCAGGATCAGACGGCGCCTTGCGATTGGAAATTCAACGGGGAACCCATCGTACCGAGTGAAAGTGTTGAGATCAAAAACTTGGGTGGCGGCAAGCATCAGTTAATCTTCAACAGCCTAGAAATGTCTAATGAAGGCGAAATAACTTGCGAGTCTGGCCAGCTTAGCTCAAAGTGCAAGCTTTCTATTCGGAAAGGGGAAAGTAGACCGAACATTGATTGTCCTGATGAATTTGCCGGACCTATCAGTGCACCTGTGGTTGTAGAAGTACCATTCAAAGGTAAGAACACTTAAACACTTGAAAAACGTTACGAGGTACACTGCAAAAAAAACTTTCCTGTTTCTATGCTGAAGCACTTTTTTTGGGACCAACAGAATTATAAGTTAAATCACTGATCGCGCTATTTTCTCTAAAATTTTAATTTAAAACAAATCATTAATTTTCTAATGTTAGTTAGAATTTAAACATAACAGTCAAACTATATTATTTACTATAATGTTACTTACATATGAGTCTTTCTATTATTCGTGTCCTGAAATAGGTATAAATTGTTGTCAATCAGAGCTAAGTTCTTAAATGAAGGAAAACTTTTATATTATAGTTATATTTTTCACAAACACTTTCAATCCTTTTTGATACAAAAGTAAATAATTTATTTTCATTATTTAGTTTCTGGTACAAAGCAAACACCGGTAGAGGCAAAATTATTGAAGGACGGCAAGCCATTGCCTATTAAAGACGTAGAAGTTGCAGTAACTGATGACAAAGTCACATTCAAAATAAAGAAGCCGTCTAGAGATTTATCCGGTCCTTATCAAATTAAAATTTCCAATGGCCAGGGTGAAGATACTAAAGACGTACAGATTATTTGCCAAGATGTTCCACAGCCACCGCAGGATATTGATATTACAGACGTTTATCAAACATCGTGTGTAGTTAACTTTAAGCCGCCCACTGACGATGGAGGCAGTCCAATTTCCAAATATGTGATCGAACGACAGGATTTAAGTAAAAAACAAGGCTGGGAGCCTGTCGTTGACGTTCTGCCTTCTGAACCGTGTAAAAAGAAAATCGACGATTTGGTCCCAAAAAAACAGTACAGATTCCGAATTCGTGCTGTTAACAAAATTGGCCCCTCTGATCCAGCAACATTCAAAAATACAATATTAGCGAAAGATCCATGGGATGAGCCTGGAAAGCCCAGGGAAGTTGACCTTACTGATTGGGATAAAGACCATGCGGATCTGAAGTGGGAAGCCCCCGAGAGTGACGGCGGAGATCCCATAACTGCTTATATTGTAGAATACAAAGAAAAGTTCTCCAACGATTGGGTAAAGGGAAAGGAAGTGGACGGCGATGCAAGAGCTGCTACCGTTGATGGACTGAAAGAGGGCCAACAGTACGAATTCCGAGTCCGTGCTGTAAATAAGGCAGGCCCAGGTGAACCTAGCGACAAAACTAAATCCATTATTGCAAAATGTCGTTTCGTAAAGCCCTTCCTTGTCGGGGATGGCCTCAAAAACATAACAGTAAAGAAGGGACAAACTATTCGATTCGATGTCAAATATGACGGTGAGCCGGAACCTACCGCAACTTGGCTAAAGGGAACTGATAACCTAAAGTTCGACAACCAGCGAATTTGCTTAGATCAATTGGAAAGAAATTCATCAATAACTATTAAAAAATCCGTCCGAAAGGATACAGGCAAATACAAATTAGTACTGTCGAACAGTTCAGGCACAATTGAGTCAGAAGCCAATGTTGTGGTCCTCGATCGACCTCTTGCACCTGGGGGGACCATTTGAACCTGAAGAGGTTCGAGCCAGCCATATTAAAATGAAATGGAAGCGTCCAGAGGATGACGGTGGTTGTGAAATAACTGGATATGCTTTAGAACGCATGGACGAAGAGACGGGCCGCTGGATTCCTGCCGGTGAAGTGGGTCCAAACGAAACCTCTTTCGACTTTAAGGGACTGACGCCTAACAAGAAATACAAGTTCCGCGTCAAAGCTATTAACAAAGAAGGCGAATCAGAGCCACTAGAGACATCGGATTCCATCTTGGCAAAGAACCCCTATGACCCTCCAAGTCCACCCAGCCAACCAGTTATTGATGATTACGATAACAAGAGTGTTCTTTTAAAATGGAAGCGACCTCCTTCAGATGGCGGCCGTCCAATAACCCACTACGTTGTTGAAATTAAAGATAAATTTTCACCCACTTGGAGTGAAGTGGCGAAAACTGAGGACCCCACCCCAGAGTGTACGGTGGATGGCCTAAAAGAAAAAATGGTCTATCAGTTCCGAGTGAGGGCAGTAAACAAGGCAGGTCCATCGGAGCCTTCCCAGCCCACCGACAATCACCTTTGCAAGCACAAAAATCGTAAGTCCGCAAAAAATCATTTTATTTTATTTGTATACTTGCTTTGGCTTAACATTTATACACAAGTCGCATAGCATTTCATAAACTATTAAGTATTATTGTTGTCAGACATATTTTTATTAGAATTGTTAAAGTATTGTTTGTAAATTGCAGTGTTCTTTTTTTAATTAAAATAGTTTAAGATCGTACCGATCATTTCATTATCATCGCTACAGAGTCACTTTTTCTGTCCCTATGTACGCTTTAAAAAATTAGGTATAAAACATAAAATTACACCTTTTCTCAAGTATATTATAACAAAAAGTAGACTTTTAATTGTAAGCGTATATTAGCATCGGCTTACCAAAGTTTTCTTCTTTCTCCATATATAATCACATTTATGCATGTGCAATTTAAATTCTTATCAATGCTGCCAATAGGAAACCACGTCGCAAAAACTTGCATCAGCTTTACTTGCAACGCTTTTACTAAGTATCTAATATTGGAAAACAAATATTTGGATTGGCACCAAAGTTAATATAAATGAAACAAATTTTGTGTATTCATAAAACATATAGTTAAACCGCAAATCGATCGATCTACCTTTAAACGAGTAACAATTAAAAGTGGACGTACACATAAATGGTCAGTTGATGTCATCGGGGAACCAATACCAGAACTTCACTGGAGTTGGAGGGATGATGTCCCATTAACCAACGGAGACCGAATAAAGATAGTAAACGTAGACTATCACACTGACTTCAGCATAACAAATGCTTTGCGTAAGGACAGCGGGTTCTATACTTTAAAGGCAGAAAACCGTAATGGCGTTGACAAAGAGACCGTGGAACTAGTTGTGCTGGGAAAACCTAGTGCACCAAAGGGTCCTCTTGCAGTAAGCGACGTCACTGCAAATGGGTGCCAGCTGCAATGGAAGAAACCTGAAGATGATGGTGGAGTACCGATTAAGGAATATGTAGTAGAGAAAATGGACACAGCAACGGGAAAATGGGTTCGAGTTGGAAGATCTGCTGGCGATAAGGAGCCACCGAGCTTTGCGGTGACCGGCTTGAATCCTGGATCAGAGTATATGTTCCGCGTCTCTGCCGTAAATGAGGAAGGGGAGTCGGAACCACTTACCACGTTGGTAGGCGTCGTAGCAAAGGATCCGTTTGATGAGCCCAACAAACCAGGAACTCCTGAGGTTACTGATTATGATAATCAAAGTGTGAGTTTGAAATGGTCAGCACCTAGTAATGACGGAGGAGCCCCGATTCAGAAATACATAATCGAAAAGAAAGATAAAAATAAGCCTGATTGGGAAAAGGCTTTAGAAATACCGGGAGACCAACTGGAAGCCACAGTCGCGGGTCTTCAGGAATATGGTGAATATCAGTTCCGTGTAATAGCAGTAAACAAAGCCGGACTATCACCTCCATCAGATGCTAGTGTCCCTCAGATTGTGAAATATAAAAAATGTGAGTTTAGACTTTGTTATATCGATGTTGCGCAAGTAATAGTTCATTGACCAAAAAAATCTAATATATTTTTATTTTATTTACAGTAAAACCTCGCATCGACCGAACAAACTTAAAACCCTTGTTGATTCGCGCCGGAAAACCTATCAAATACGATGTTAATGTTCGTGGTGAGCCCGCACCTACAATAACATGGTATCAAAATGATACAGAGCTTAAGCCGGAGGAATTACCAAGCAGCAGTGAAATTAAGAACATCCCATACAATACAAAGATTTCTATAATTGATACTGTTCGTAAACATACGGGCATTTATAAAATAGTTGCTGTAAATGAACACGGCCAGGATGAAGCTACTGTTGAGGTCAACATTCTAGCACCACCAGGAAAACCCAAGGGACCTTTGGATGTTAAGGATGTAACAAAAGACAGCTGTAAACTAAAATGGAAAAAACCTGATGACGATGGTGGGAAACCAATTTCAGCATATCAGGTTGAAAAGTTTGATAAAAAACAAGGTCGATGGGTACCGGTCGGACGCACCTCAGGCAATGATACCGAATTTGATGTACGTGGTCTTCAAGAAGGGCACGAATATCAGTTTCGGGTCAAGGCAATAAATGAGGAGGGAGAATCTGAACCTCTGGAAACAGATGGCAGTATTATAGCGAAAAATCCCTATGATGCTGCCACTAAGCCAGGTACACCCAAAATTGAGGATTACAACGAGCATATGGTAAAGTTGAGCTGGGAACCACCCAAGTCTGATGGAGGTGCTCCAATCATTAATTACATAATTGAAAAGAAAGATAAATTCTCACCCATTTGGGATGAAGTGCTTGTCACCAATGTAAGTAATTTTATTTCCGCTTCACAAGCCCTGCGAATGCAAATTGAATCCTAGCAAATTTATTTTAAAAAAATTGTATACTTAGACTTCCGCCCCTGAAGCAACTGTTGAAGGTCTTATTGAAGGCAATGTATACCAATTTCGAGTAAGGGCAGTAAATAAAGCCGGCCCCAGCGAACCCAGCGATGCAACCGAACCTCATTTGGCTAAGCCGAAAAATCGTAAGACTGTTTACTTTAATTTGTCTACAACCAAATTGATGCTATATATATATAAATATATATTGTTTTTATTTTTATATATATCTCGACTGCTTTCATTTAAAAGTTAAGCCAAAAGCATATCTTCTACAATTTCATCGACCGGCTTAGTCCATTTCATTTTACAGCCTTTTGTTATGACATTAAAAATAAAATTTGAACTTTCTTTTTTTAGTTAAGCCATGTATAAACAGAGAAAAAATGAAGCCCATCAAAGTTCGTGCTGGTCAAACGGTTAAATTTGATGTAGACGTTAAGGGAGAGCCGGCGCCTACCTTGACTTGGTTCTTTAAAGAGACCGAACTATCGCCCACGGGGCAAGTACGGTTAGAAAATGAAGACTACAATACCAAACTTACATTACTAGATCCAACTCGCAAGCAAAGTGGAGAGTATAAGCTACGTGCTGAAAATATAAATGGCATAGACGAAGCTGTGGTCGAAGTCATTATATTAGATAAGCCCTTAAAGCCGGAAGGTCCGTTGGAGGTTTCTGATATTCACAAGGAAGGCTGCAAGCTTAAATGGAAAAAGCCAAAGGATGATGGAGGCTTACCCATCACAGGCTATGTAGTAGAAAAAATGGATACAGCCACTGGTAAATGGGTTCCAGCCGGTTCGGTTGATCCAGAAAAGACTGATATTGAAATAAAGGGTTTGGAACCAAATCATCGCTATCAGTTCAGAGTTAAGGCTGTTAACGAGGAGGGTGACTCAGAACCCCTGGAAACTGAGTCAGCTATTACTGCCAAAAATCCATTCGATGTGTCTGCTCCCCCTGGGCTACCGGAGCTTGAGGACTGGGATGAGCACCATGTTAAACTGAAATGGGAGCCCCCCATTCGAGATGGTGGCTCTCCTATTACCAGTTATGTGATTGAAATAATGGATAAAGATTCGGGAGAATTTGTAAAAGCTATCGAAACAGATAGTCCAGTTTGTAAGGGCGTAGTCAAAAAGCTTGAAGAAGGACAGCAGTACAAATTCAGAGTTCGTGCGGTCAACAAGGCGGGTCTATCTGACCCATCGGAGCAAACTAATTGGCACATAGCAAAGCCTCGATTCTGTAAGTTATTTATACTATCATTGCCATACATATTTTAATATTTATTATATCATTATCATTTAGTGAAACCATATATTGACCGAACAAATTTAAAACCCCTGGTCGTTAAAACTGGTTTATCAATTAGCTTGGATATTAACATAAAGGGGGAGCCAGCTCCGAAAGTGGAATGGTTCTTCAATGGTTTGCCCTTAGAAAGCATCGAGGGAAGTCTAAAAATCGATAACGTTGATTACAATACAAAATTCTTTGTTATGCGCGCTCAGAGATCTCAAAGCGGGAAGTATACCATAAAAGCTACAAACGAAGTTGGTGAAGACGAAGCTGAACTGAATGTTACAGTCCTGGGCAAGCCAGGGAAACCAAAAGGTCCTCTGCAAACCAATGATATAACCAAACACAGCTGCAAGCTTAAGTGGGAAAAACCAGATGATGATGGCGGTACGCCTATTGACTACTACGAAATAGAAAAACTTGATCCCCACACTGGTCAGTGGTTACCATGTGGAAAAAGTACTGAACCTGAGGCGAAGGTGATTGGCCTTCAGGAAGGAAAGCCATATAAGTTCCGTGTAAGAGCCGTTAACAAAGAAGGGGAATCTGAAGACTTGGAAACAGAAAAACCAATTATTGCGAAAAATCCCTTTGATGAACCAGACAAGCCTGGCAGACCCGAACCCACTAATTGGGATAAAGATTTCGTCGACTTGTCGTGGGATCCGCCGAAGAACGATGGTGGGGCACCAATCCAAAAATATATTATACAGATGAGAGATAAGTCTGGCCGTGCTTGGGTGGACGCTGCTACAGTTCCTGGAGATAAAAATAATGGTACTGTTACCGGTGTAGAAGAAGGACATGAATACGAGTTTCGAATTGTGGCCGTTAACAAGGCAGGACCAAGTGACCCTAGCGATGTTTCAAAAACAGTTGTAGCCAAACCTCGATTCCTGAAACCACATATTGATCGAAAGAATCTCAGTAAAAAAATTATGCGCAGCGGGCAAATGCTGCATATGGAGGCCGCAGTGAAAGCAGAGCCTCCGGCTAAAATAACATGGACTTATAATGGAACTGAAATAAAATCTTCTGAACACATAAAAATAGAAAACGAAGACTATAAAACTACATTCATTATGCCAAAAGTGAAAAGAGTTGATCGAGGCATTTATATCGTCACTGCTAAAAATGATTCTGGTACCGACACGGTAGAAGTGGAGCTGGAGGTGCTATGCAAGCCAAGTAAGCCCAAGGGCCCGCTAGCTGTATCTGATGTAACGGCCGATAGTGTGCACCTTAAATGGGAGAAGCCTGAAGATGATGGCGGAGAGCCCATAGAGCAGTATGTCGTCGAACGCATGGATACGGAAACTGGTCGTTGGGTTCCTGTTCTTACAACTAAGTCCCCTGAAGCCGATGTGACAGGTCTAACGGAAGGCAAGGAATATCTGTTTAGAGTAAAAGCTATTAATTCTGAGGGCGAATCAGAACCTTTAGTAACTGAAACTCCGACGAAAGCCAAGAATCCGTTCGATGCTGCCGACACCCCTGGTAAGCCGCAAATCATTGATTGGTCAGCTAACCACTGTGATATTAAGTGGAGGGCTCCAGAAGACGATGGCGGAGCTCCGATCACCGGCTATATCGTCGAAAGAAAAGACCCCAATACAGGAAAGTGGCAAAAAGCTCTTGAAACTAATACGCCTGAATGTAAAGCCCGTGTTAACGACCTAATCTCAGGCAACAAGTACCAGTTTAGAGTTCAAGCAGTTAACAAGGCAGGGAAAAGCAAGCCCTCCGAACCTTCAGACCAGATGACAGCAAAGGATAGATTTGCCCCACCCAAAATTGATAGAACCAACATCAAGGATATTACGATTAAGGCTGGACAACACATTCGGTACGACATTAAAGTGTCCGGAGAACCTCCTGCTACAAAAGTTTGGTTGCATAACAAAGTTCGACTTGAAAATGACGATGATGACTACAATATTGATATGGAGTCCTATCGAACTAAACTAGCAGTGCCATTTTCAAAGCGATTCCATTCTGGAAAATACACTCTTAAAGCCGAAAATGATTCTGGACGCGACGAGGCTTCATTTGAAATCATTGTGTTGGACAAGCCAGCGCCACCAGATGGACCTCTGAGAGTTTCAGATGTACACAGTGAAGGATGCAAGCTAAAATGGAACCCTCCCCTAGACGATGGAGGGTTGCCGATAGAACACTATATTGTTGAAAAAATGGACGTCGAGAATGGGCGATGGCTGCCATCTGGTCGCTTTAAGGAACCCTTCGCTGAGTTAAACAATTTAGAGCCTGGTCATGAATACAAGTTCCGGGTACTCGCAGTTAACACTGAAGGTGAATCGGAACCTTTGAATGGAGATCATTCCATTATAGCTAAAAATCCTTTCGACGAGCCTGGAAAGCCAGGAACTCCAGAAGCTGTAGACTGGGATAAAGATCATGTGGACTTGGTGTGGAAGCCACCAATTAACGATGGTGGATCCCCTATCACTGACTACGTAGTTGAAAAACGCGAAAAGGGTACTGACAAATGGATAAAAGGAGCAGAAGTTAAAGCTCCTGGCCTTGGCGATGAGTGCAAAGCGACTGTGCCAAATCTAAACGAAAACTGTGAATATGAATTTCGAATTAAAGCAGTTAATGCAGCAGGGCCCGGCAAACCATCTGACGCAAGCAAACCTGTTATTACCAAGCCAAGAAAATGTAAGCGAATAATAAACTTTTTGTTGTTTTCTTTGTTTGATTGTTATTATTTATTTGCTTTTTTTATTATTTGTTTTTGCTAAATTATTCTTAAATATTAAATTATTTCTTTATAAATTTAAAAGACAGTTTTCAAAGTTCAGATTATTCTTGAATCTGCTTCCCCTCATTGTAAAAAGAATAAAGACATGATTTTGAGACACGACTGGAATAGAAAAACTAATAATTTTTCATTTGTATTCTATTTTTAAAATATGGTATTAATACTATAAATATTATAATGATTTTAAAACGATCCGGTTTCCGTATGATCCAAAAACCTACCATGATCCTTATCCTTAAAGATCCTAGAATTGTATAAGTAACTAGCTAAAACTAAAGTTGTATTTTTAATGTATGCTTATCTTATTTAATAGTGGCTCCGAAAATTGACCGGAAAAATATTCGAACATATAACATGAAGGCTGGAGAACCAATATTCTTGGATATTAATGTCAGTGGCGAACCCGCCCCGGATGTTACTTGGAATCAAAACAACAAATCTATTCATAACACTAGTTATGTGCAGAATATTCCCTATAACACCAAATACGTAAATAACAAACCAGAAAGGAAAGATACAGGACTCTACAAAATCTCTGCACACAACCTTTATGGTCAGGACCAAGTAGAATTCCAAATAAATATTATTAGTAAGTTCTTAAATTCCTTGTTTATATTATAAAACACGTTGTTGTAACTAATTTGAATTTTTACGACTAGCTAAACCTGGCCAGCCTGAAGGTCCTTTAGAAGTTTCAGATGTACACAAGGATGGTTGTAAGCTAAAGTGGAAAAAACCAAAGGACGATGGAGGTGAACCAATAGAGGGTTACCTAGTAGAAAAATTCGACCCAGATACGGGTATTTGGTTGCAAATTGGCAAATCCGATGTACCAGATTTCAACGTTGACGGCCTAGTCCCAGGACACGAGTACAAATTCCGAGTAAAGGCTATTAACAAGGAGGGTGAATCAGAACCATTAGAAACTTTGAGTTCAATTATTGCTAAAGATCCCTTTAGTAAGTATTAAAATTATCAACGTCTTAAATCCTTATTTAACATGTAACATTGAAACTTACTTATAGCTGTTCCATCGAAGCCTGGTATTCCAGAACCTACTGATTGGACTGCAAATAAAGTAGACCTCGCGTGGCCAGAACCTGCCAGTGATGGAGGATCGCCAATTACAGGCTATATAATTGAGGTAAAAGACAAGTACAGCCCTCTTTGGGAAAAGGCGTTAGAAACAGATTCTCCAACACCCATAGCAACTGTTCAAGGTCTGATTGAAGGAAATGAATACCAGTTTCGGGTTGTTGCTTTAAATAAAGGTGGTCAATCAGAGCCCTCAGATCCAAGCAAAGTCTTTATAGCCAAGCCGCGCTACTTGGCTCCCAAAATAGACCGTAGAAATCTCCGTGATATTACTCTATCGTCGGGAACCGCTCTTAAACTAGATGCAACCATAACAGGAGAGCCAGCTCCAAAAGTTGAGTGGAAATTTTCCAATTATCATTTGCAATCAGGCAAAAATGTTACAATCGAGACTCCTGACTACTACACGAAATTAGTTATTCGACCAACGCAGCGTAGTGACTCAGGAGAATATTTGGTCACAGCAACAAACAGTTCCGGAAAGGACAGTGTGCTTATAAATGTGGTTATTACAGACAAACCTACCCCTCCCAATGGACCCCTACAAATATCCGATATACACAAAGAGGGTTGCCACCTTAAATGGAAGCGTCCCAGTGACGATGGAGGTACTCCAATTGAGTATTTCCAAATCGACAAATTAGATCCCGAAACTGGATGCTGGATTCCTTCCTGTCGCTCAACCGAACCACAAGTAAATGTTACTGGTCTTACTCCTGGAAACGAATACAAGTTTCGTGTATCAGCTGTAAATGCTGAAGGTGTATCACAGCCTTTGGTTGGTGAGGAAGCTATAATAGCCAAAAATCCTTTCGATGAACCTGGCAAACCAGAAAATCTTAGGGCAATCGATTGGGATAAGGACCACATTGATTTGTCGTGGTCTCCACCTATTACTGACGGTGGATCTCCCATTACTGGCTATGTTGTTGAAAAGAAAGATAAGTATGGTAAGTGGGAGAAAACAATTGAGGTTCCAGCTGATCAATGTAAAGCAACTGTTCCGGATCTTGTCGAGGGTCAAGCTTATGAGTTCCGAGTTTCTGCTGTCAACGCTGCTGGACTTGGAGAGCCATCTGACGCCACACCACCGATAATTGCAAAGGCTCGAAACAAGCCTCCTCTTATAGATAGGACTAACCTTATCGAAGTACGCATTAAAGCTGGACAAGCATTCGCATTCGATTGCAAGGTGTCTGGGGAGCCAGCTCCTAAAACAAAATGGATTTTAAAGAAAAAAGAAGTGTATACAAAAGACAACATTAAAGTTACCCATGTTGACTACAACACAAAATTAAAGGTTACTGCAGCAACCCGATCAAATTCAGGTGTATACACAGTGCATGCAGAAAATGCCAATGGAGAAGACAGTGCCGAAGTTAGTGTAACTGTTATAGACAAGCCTTCACCGCCGAATGGTCCTCTCAAGATTGATGACATAAATGCAGAGTCTTGTGTTCTGAGCTGGAGCCCACCAGATGATGACGGAGGACAACCAATAGATAATTACGTTGTTGAAAAATTAGATGAAGTAAATGGTCGTTGGGTACCAGCTGGGGAAACCGACGGACCAACCCCGAGTCTTAAAGTTAAGGGTCTTACCCCAGGTCATAAATACAAGTTTAGAGTGCGCGCCAAAAATCGGCAAGGAACATCCGATCCTCTAACAGCACCACACGCGATTGAGGCCAAAAATCCATATGATGAACCGGAAAAACCTGGCACACCAACAATAAAAGACTTTGACAAAGACTTCGTAGACTTAGAATGGAGCAGACCACAGAGTGATGGTGGATCTCCTATCACCGGATACATAATTGAGAAACGCGACAAGTATTCCCCCGATTGGGAGAAATGCGCAGAGATTTTTGATGATGTCCCCAATGGTCACGTTCCAGATCTAATTGAAGGCGTTAAATATGAGTTCCGTGTCAGAGCAGTGAATAAGGCCGGACCTGGAACTCCCAGTGATCCAACTGAACCACACATTGCTCGCCCCAAAAATTTACCACCCAAGATTGATCGTAATTTTATGTCAGATATCAAAATCAAAGCAGGTCACGTATTGGAATTTGATGTCCCAGTTACTGGGGAGCCTTTGCCAAGTAAGGAATGGACACACGAAGGCAATATGGTAATCAATACAGACCGAGTGAAAGTTTCGAATTCCGATGACCGCACCAAGTTACGAATACTTGATGCTAAACGGTCAGATACAGGGGATTATTCATTAATTGCTCGTAACATAAACGGGACAGATAGACATACAGTCAAGGTTACTGTCCTGGATGTACCAAGCGTGCCTGAAGGCCCGTTGCGCAATGGTGATGTAACCAAAAACTCTATGGTTCTGCGATGGCGGCCACCCAAGGATGATGGTGGGTCAGAGATAACGCATTATGTTGTGGAAAAAATGGATAATGAGGCCATGCGCTGGGTGCCTGTTGGTGAATGCGCTGATACCGAGATCCGGGCTGATAATCTAATCGAAAATCATGACTACAGTTTTAGGGTGAGAGCTGTCAACAAACAGGGACAATCCCAACCACTAACAACTTCTCAGCCCATTACTGCCAAGGATCCCTTCTCTCATCCCGACAAGCCTGGGCAACCTCAAGCTGTCGACTGGGGTAAAGATTTCGTGGACTTGGAATGGGCTGCCCCCAAGAGAGATGGCGGTGCCCCCGTTTCTTCATATATCATTGAAAAAAGACCAAAGTTTGGTCAGTGGGAACGCGCTGCCGTTGTTCCAGGAGATGACTGTAAGGCTCACATACCGGATCTTACAGACGGTGGAGAATACGAATTCCGGGTAATTGCCGTGAACCGAGGTGGGCCTAGTGATCCATCTGATCCATCAAGCACTATTATTTGCAAGCCCCGATTCCTTGCTCCATTCTTTGATATGTCACTTTTCAATGACATAACAGTTCATGCCGGAAAGCCTTTGGGATGGACTTTGCCAATCGAGGCATCTCCAAAACCATCTATAAAATGGCTGTTCAATGGAAAAGAAATCGGCACAAACTCGCGTGGAGAGTCAAATCTTTTCCAAAATGAACTTTCATTTGAAATTCCATCATCACTTAGAAGTGACGAAGGACGGTACACGTTAATTCTAAAGAATGAGCACGGATCTTTCGATGCCTCTGCTCACGCCACTGTTTTGGATCGACCATCGCCTCCTAAGGGCCCTCTGGATATAACAAAGATTACCAGAGATGGATGCCACCTTTCTTGGAATGTTCCAGAAGATGACGGTGGTTCACCTATTTTGCATTATATTATCGAAAAAATGGACTTGTCTCGGGGCACATGGTCTGATGCTGGCATGAGTACACATACAGTTCATGACGTAACTCGACTTGTTCACCGCAAAGAATACTTGTTCCGCGTCAAAGCTGTCAATGCAATCGGAGAATCTGATCCCCTAGAAGCGGCAAAGAGTATAATTGCTAAAAACGAGTTTGATGAGCCTGATGCACCTGGAAAACCAAATATTACTGATTGGGATCGTGATCATGTTGACTTACAATGGCCTGTGCCAAAGTACGATGGCGGAGCTCCCATTACGGAATACATAATTCAGAAAAAGGAAAAGGGCAGCCCTTACTGGACTAATGTATTGCATGTTCCTTCAAATAAGAACACGGCTACAGTTCCAGAGCTCACCGAGGGTCAGGAGTATGAATTTAGAGTAATTGCAGTTAATCAAGCAGGACAGTCGGAGCCTTCAGAGCCGTCCGATATGATAATGGCAAAACCACGGTTCCTGCCACCAAAAATAATTTCTCCTCTTAATGAAATTCGTATAAAATGTGGGCTTATATTCCATACAGATATTGATTTTATCGGTGAGCCAGCACCAGAAGCAATATGGACTGTTAATGGCAATGCATTAAAATCCGACGACAGGTCAACCATAACTTCGATAGGACACCACACCGTAGTACACACTGTTAACTGCCAACGGTCAGACTCCGGAATCTACCACTTACTTCTTCGAAATAGTTCAGGAGTAGATGAAGGCAGTTTCGAACTTATTGTGCTTGACCGTCCTGGGCCCCCAGATGGTCCGATGGAGTATGAAGAAATAACAGCAAACTCTGTGACCATATCATGGAAACCCCCTAAGGACAACGGAGGGTCTGAAATTTCATCCTATATTATAGAAAAGCGCGATCTTACGCATGGCGGTGGATGGGTACCGGCAGTAAATTATGTTAATGCTAAGTACAACCATGCCGTGGTTCCCAGACTACTGGAAGGAACAAAGTATGAATTTAGAGTGATGGCAGAAAACCTACAAGGTCGCTCCGATCCACTTACATCCGACCACCCTGTGGTTGCCAAAAACCAATACACTGTTCCGGGGGCACCTGGCAAACCAGAACTTAAAGATAGCGACAAAGATCATATATCAATCAAATGGAAAGAACCAATAAGTACTGGTGGATCGCCTATAATTGGTTATGATATTGAACGCCGCGACATTAACACAGGACGATGGATAAAAATAAATGGACAGCCAGTACCCAATACAGAATACCTAGACGACAGGGTAACTGCAAATCATCAATATCAATATAGAATATCGGCCGTTAATGCTGCCGGTAACGGAAAGGCTTCTGAGCCATCGGCAATACTCGATGCTCGTCCACTGCGCGAAAAGCCAAGAATTTATTTGGATGGTCTGCTAGGAAGGCGTGTTAAAGTTCGTGCAGGTGAGCCTATTAATATATCGCTTCCAATATCCGGTGCTCCTACACCTACAATTGAATGGAAACACAAAGATTTGAAGCTAGAGGAAGGAAAACGTGTATCCTATGAGACTAACTCGGAGAGAACTACATTCCGCATTGACGACTCAAACAGGCGAGATACTGGAAAATACACTGTGACCGCCTCCAATGAGTTTGGTAAAGACACAGCTGATATTGAGGTAATTGTCGTAGACAAACCATCTCCACCTGAAGGACCGTTGAGCTACACGGAGACAGCCCCAGATCACATATCCTTGCAATGGAACCCGCCCAAAGACGACGGTGGCAGCGATATAACGGGATACATTGTTGAATTCACCGAGTTTGGCGTAGATGGTTGGAAGCCAGTGCCAGGCTTTTGTCCCAAGACAAACTACACTGTGAAAGGTCTTACAGAAGGAAAAAAATATGTTTTCCGTGTAAGGGCTGAAAACATTTATGGTGCATCCGAACCTCTTGAAGGCAAGCCGGTATTAGCCAAGTCTCCTTTCGATCCTCCAGGTGCCCCATCTCAGCCAACCATTGCAGCATATTCGCCGAACTCGGCCACCTTGGAGTGGCATCCACCAGAATACTGTGGTGGTAAGCCTATATCTGGCTACATTGTCGAGCGACGAGAGCGCGGCGGTGAATGGATTAAGTGTAACAATTATCCCACACCCAACACAACATATACCGTGCCAGATCTTCGAGAAGGAGCTCGTTACGAGTTCCGCATAATCGCATTAAATGAGGCTGGACCTGGCCAACCATCAAAACCATCAGAGCCAATGACTGCTGAACTTCAGCGCTATCGTCCAGATCCACCTGAGCCACCAAAACCAGATCGTATCTTTAGGGATAGTGTAACATTGTCTTGGCGACCACCTCGCAACGATGGAAAATCTAGAATTAAAGGATATTATATCGAAATGCGACCCAAAAACAGTAAAGATTGGAAAACAGTTAACGATTTACCTATTAATTCAACCGTGTACACTGTACCAAATCTAAAGGAAAAAGAGGAGTATTCATTCCGTGTTATCGCTGAAAACGAAGTTGGCCGATCTGATCCATCCAAGCCCTCGCAACCCATCACGATTGAGGAACAGCCAAACAAACCTTGCATGGAATTAGGCGGTGTTCGAGATATAGTGTGCAGAGCTGGAGACGATTTCAGCATTCATGTTCCCTACATAGCTTTCCCCAAGCCTAGCGCCACTTGGTATTCCAACGATACTGTGCTAGATAACGACAATCGGGTTTATCAACATTTGACTGATGAAGCAGCATCGTTTGTGGTAAAGAACTCAAAACGTTCAGACTCAGGCCAATATCGACTACAGTTAAAAAATCCATCCGGGTTTGATACAGCCACCATTAATGTTAAGGTATTGGATAAACCATCCCCGCCAATGCACTTACGTGCTGATGAGTTTGCTGGAGATTCTCTTACATTGTATTGGAATCCACCAAAGGATGACGGCGGCTCCCCTATTCAAAACTACATTATTGAAAAGAAAGAATCTCGCTCGCCCTCTTGGAGCAAGGTAAGCAGCTTCTGCACAGTTCCATTTGTTAGAGTTCGAAATCTTACAATCGGTAAAGACTATGAATTCCGCGTAATAGCTGAGAATAAATATGGGCAATCAGATCCGGCTAATACATCGGAGCCCATAAGAGCGAGACATCCGTTTGATGTTCCTAATGCTCCCGGTATACCTCATGGCATTGATTCAACAGAGGATAGTATAACAATAGCATGGGCAAAACCAAAGCATGATGGTGGTTCTCCTATAACCGGCTACGTTATAGAGAAGCGCTTGCTAAGCGATGACAAATGGACCAAAGCAGTTCATGCTCTTTGCCCAGATCTAACTTGTAAAATACCAGGCCTTATTGAAAATGCTGAATACGAGTTCAGGGTAGCTGCAGTTAATGCAGCCGGACAATCGGCTTATAGTGGCTCTAGCGACCTTATTTATTGTCGCAGGCCACCTCATGCTCCCAAGATTACTTCCGATTTATCAATTCGTGATATGACGGTAATTGCAGGAGATGAGTTCCACATAACAGTACCTTATCATGCAAATCCGCGACCTACGCCATCATGGAGTGTAAATGGTATTGATGTTGTTCCCGACGAGCGGATTAGGTTTGACACTGACGATTATAGTTCGGTTTATTACAACAAATCAGCAAAACGAAGTGAGTCTGGCTCGTACACTATTACACTTACGAACAATAAGGGATCAGATACTGCCTCATGTCATGTTACTGTGGTGGACAGGCCAGGACCTCCTCAGGGTCCTTTAAATGCCTACGACATTACCCCAGATTCTTGCACCCTATGTTGGAAAACGCCACTCGATGATGGTGGTTCACCGATCACAAACTATGTCGTTGAAAAACTGGACAATAGTGGCACTTGGGTTAAGGTAAGCAGTTTTGTTCGTAATACTCACTACGATGTTATGGGCTTGGAACCTCAACACAAGTATCACTTCCGCGTGAGAGCAGAAAATCAATATGGCTTGTCCGATCCTGTGGACATTGACGAGCCCATCGTTGCCAAGCATCAATTCACAGTCCCAGATGAGCCTGGTCAACCAAAGGTTATCGACTGGGACTCTGGAAACGTTACACTAATCTGGACTCGACCAGCCAGTGATGGCGGGTCTCGCATTCAAGGTTACCAAATTGAATATCGAGACATTGTAAACGACTCTTCTTGGAATACTTATGACTATCTGATAAAAGACACTAAATACCAGCTCTATAATTTAGTCAACGGTAGCGAATACGAGTTCCGTATAAGGGCGAAGAACGTTGCCGGCTTAAGCAAGCCTTCACCCCCATCGTTGAGATTTAAGCTAAAGGGAAAATTCAGTGTACCCTCGCCACCTGGTACCCCGCAAGTGACAAGAGTCGGTAAAAATTATGTGGATTTGAAATGGGAAAAACCTATACGTGATGGAGGCTCTCGGATTACGGGCTACATTATTGAACGAAGGGACATAGGTGGAGCCGTATGGGTGAAATGTAATGATTACAATGTTTTGGATACTGAATACACCGTTATAAACCTGATCGAGATGGGAGACTATGAGTTCCGTATATTTGCTGTCAATGCCGCTGGGCGCTCGGAAGCAAGTTTGGGTACGATGCCGATCAAGGTTTGCGAGGTTCTTGGTGGTGAAAAACCAGAATGGGTTTCACGACTTCAAGACAGAGTCGCACCCTATGGAAAGGATTATACATTGCAATGTGCCGCCTCAGGTAAACCCAGTCCAACCGCTAGGTGGCTTCGCAATGGAAAGGAAATTCAAATGGGTGGTGACCGTATTACTTGCGATAGTAAGGAAGGTGTTTTCCGACTGCACATATCTAATGTGCAAGCTGGAGACGATGGTGACTACACATGTGAGGCAATGAATTCTCTGGGTTTTGTGCACACCTCAGGTTATCTGAAAATTGGATCACCACCAATTATTAACAGATGTCCCAACGAACTCTACTTACCTGAAGGAGACAATACAAAGATAAAAGTCTACTATTCTGGCGACCAGCCAATTACTGTGATATTAAAAAGAAACAATGAAGTCATATCTGATAGCAACGATGAAACGCATATAAAGGTAAACTTATTTGACGATTATATAGCGATTTGTATTCGTGATATTGTTAAAAGTGATGCCGGCCAATATCAAATTGAAATTTCAAATGACTCTGGTAACGCGACCGCTCAATTTGATGTACACATAACTGGCTTACCCTCAGCGCCCACAGGGCCTATGGGAATATCTTACATTACCAAAAACTCCTGTTCGTTGGCTTGGCGTCCACCTTCCTACGATGGTGGTCTTAAAGTGACTCACTACGTAGTCGAGCGGAAGGATGTGGCGTCACCACATTGGATTACAGTTTCAAGCACCTGCAAAGATACCGCCTTCAATGTCCAAGGTCTTATCGAGAACCAAGAATATATCTTCCGTGTAATGGCTGTTAATGAGAACGGAATGGGTCCACCCCTTGAGGGCTTAAATCCTATCCGAGCCAAGGCACCAATTGATCCACCCTCACCACCAGGCATTCCTCAAATTACTGAGATTGGAGGAGACTTTGTGCATTTGGAGTGGAGTAAGCCGGAATCGGATGGCGGTGCTCACATTCAAGGCTACTGGATCGACAAACGGGAAGTTGGTATGGATACGTGGCAGCGTGTTAACGCTACTATTTGTGCAGCCAATCAAGCAAACTGTATCAATCTAATCGAAGGCCGGCAATACGAGTTCCGAGTCTTTGCTCAGAATGTCGCAGGTCTTTCAAAAGAATCTTCCGCTTCCCAAGCGGTCAAAATAATTGATCCAAAAGCGGCTTCGCCTCCATTGATTGTGAAACCGCTACGCGACGCCAATTGCATTCAAAATCACAACGCACAGTTCACATGTACGATAAGTGGTGTTCCTAGGCCAACTATAACATGGTATAAGGGTGCTCGCGAAATCAGTAATGGAGCACGATATCACATGTACTCAGAAGGTGACAATCACTTCTTAAATATCAATGATATATTTGGCGAAGATGCTGACGAATATGTTTGCCGCGCAGTGAACAAGGCTGGAGCGAAATCAACACGAGCGGCTTTGGCCATTATGAGTAAGTATATTAAAAACATTTTTTTTATCTATAATATTATTTTTTTAATTTTTTAGCTGCCCCTAAATTAAATGTTCCACCGCGATTCAGAGATACGGCTTACTTCGATAAGGGCGAAAATGTTGTAATCAAAATACCCTTCACTGGCTTCCCAAAGCCACGCATACATTGGGTTAGGGAAGGTGAAAACATCGAGTCCGGTGGTCATTACAATGTGGAAATCAAGGAGAGACATGCTGTTCTCGTAATTCGTGACGGATCACGTTTGGACTCGGGACCATATAGGATAACAGCAGAAAATGAGCTGGGTTCGGATGCAGCAATAATACAAGTGCAAATAAGTGATCGTCCAGATCCGCCGCGATTCCCCACAATTGAAAGTATTGGTGCTGATTCATTGTCTCTCAGCTGGAAAGCACCTGTCTGGGACGGTGGCAGCGACATAACAAATTATTACGTTGAGCGTCGTGAACATCCGCTATCTTCATGGATACGTGTGGGAAATACTCGATTTACATCCATGGCTGTTAGCGGATTAACTCCAGGAAAAGAGTATGATTTCCGCATATTTGCTGATAATGTCTATGGACGCTCAGAACCTTCTGAACCTAGTACTCTGATCAAAACTAAGTCTATTATTAAAAAGAAACAGGAAGAACGTAAATGGGAGCTAGATGCAAATGGCAAAAAAGTACGCGGCAAAGCAGACGGCCCAATTAAAGACTACGATTCGTATGTGTTTGACATTTACTCCAAATTTGTGCCGCAACCAGTTGAAATATCTCAGCAAAGTGTCTACGACAAATATGATATCCTTGAAGAAATCGGTACAGGCGCTTTTGGGGTGGTGCACCGCTGTCGTGAAAGAAGCACTGGAAATATTTTTGCTGCCAAGTTCATTCCAGTATCTCATTCAGTCGAAAAGGATTTGATTCGTCGAGAAATAGATATAATGAATCAACTGCACCATCAAAAGCTTATTAATCTGCACGACGCTTTTGAAGATGATGATGAAATGGTTTTAATCTTGGAATTGTAAGCGAATTTAGAAATTAGAATTACTAAAATTCCTCTTAATTATAAAATTTTAATTTATTTTTGTCGTAGCTTATCTGGTGGTGAATTATTTGAACGCATCACTGCCGAAGGATACGTAATGACTGAAGCTGAAGTTATAAACTATATGAGGCAAATTTGCGAGGGAATCAGACATATGCACGAGAAGAATATTATTCACTTGGATATAAAGCCAGAGAATATTATGTGTCAAACTCGCTTAAGCACAAATGTTAAGCTCATAGATTTTGGATTAGCGACAAGACTAGATCCGAATGAAGTTGTCAAAATTACAACAGGTACAGCGGAGTTCGCTGCTCCGGAAATCGTCAACAGGGAGCCTGTGGGCTTCTATACTGATATGTGGGCTACTGGAGTATTGGCTTATGTTTTGTAAGTTTGTCTTCTAGATCGTTGCCAACTTTATTTTAAACACTAAAAAAAATATTCACACAAATCTTATTTTACTTTAGGCTAAGCGGATTATCACCATTCGCTGGCGACAATGATGTCCAAACATTAAAGAACGTAAAAGCATGCGATTGGGATTTCGATGCAGAATCATTTAAGTACATATCTGAAGAGGCGAAGGATTTCATAAGGAAGTTGCTTATTGCCAACAAAGAAAAGCGTATGACCGCACATGAATGCCTTATACATCCTTGGCTTACTGGAGATCACAGTGGTATTACACAGGCAATTAACCGCGATCGTTACCTAGCCTACCGTCAACAATTAAGAAAGAAATACGAAGACTTTGAAAGGTATCTGCTACCAATAGGACGGCTGTCAGAATACTCATCTCTTAGAAAATTGCTGATAGAGAAATATAAGATACACGATGCTGTTTTTGATAGACGTCAGGCGGCTCCACGCTTTGTGATTCGACCATCGTCTCAGTTCTGCTATGAGGGCCAAAGCGTCAAGTTCTACACACGATGCATTGCGATTGCTACACCTACTCTTACCTGGTCACATAACAATATTGAGTTACGGCAGAGTGTCAAGTTTATGAAACGATACACTGGAGATGACTATTACTTTATAATCAACCGAGTGAAGTTGGACGACCGAGGAGAGTATATTATTCGTGCAGAGAATCATTATGGTTCCAGAGAAGAAGTCGTTTTCCTGAATGTTCAGCCGTTGCCGAAGGAACAGCCAAGGTATCGAACGGAATCAACTCCGGTTCGCAGACGTGAGCCCTTGCCATACACCTTCTGGCAAGAAGAGTCAGAGACGGCACCCAGTTTTACATTCCTTTTGCGGCCACGCGTTATGCAGGCCCGCGACACATGCAAACTTCTTTGTTGCTTAAGCGGAAAACCAGTGCCAACTGTCAAGTGGTACAAAGACGGTCGAGAGCTTAGCAAATACGAGTATGCGATGACCCACTCTGATGGAGTTGTTACCATGGAAATAATTGACTGCAAGCCATCCGACTCAGGAAAATACAGCTGTAAGGCAACAAATTGTCACGGAACAGACGAAACCGAGTGTGTCGTTATTGTTGAAGGTAAGTTAAAAAAAATGTTTCGGTTATAAGTTAGTTAGTTATAGAAAATTCACTGTTTATTTAGGTATATTTTTCATGCGAAAGGTTGGAATTTTTTTAAATTAATTTGTTTTATGCCTAGTAATGTTTATTGCATACTCTTGCAGTCATAAAATGACAGCTGTTGTCGTCCGATTTTAATGAAATTGAATTCAAAATTCGAGCTGTTATCATTTATTCCCGTCAATAACTGTTAATTTTATATCGATTTTTTCGATATCGATTTGTCCGATTTTTAAAAATTTTTTCTCTATTCAAGGGTAATCAAAACAGGCGTTAAAACGACTTATCATTTTTTCAGTTATTTATGTTAGTTATCTTTAATTCTAGTATAATGCGTCTTTATTTTTTATACCTGCTTACATTTTGCTATACTATATTTTATAATTTAACTTTTCCCAGGAGAATGGGTTACGCCTGAGCAGGCTCGCCTTGCCCACAATTTCCTTTACTCAGGAGGTAATTTTGATAACAATGAAATGAAACAAATATAAACACACATTACCTTTAGCATGACGTTAAAACTTTAATTCAACTTTATTGTTCTTAAAACAAATAATTATTAAAAATGTTATAGCTTAGTTTTAGTATCACCAAATTGTTGTTTACGTGTAGTATTTTATAGTAAACTAGATGACTTATACATATTTACGTTTTATAAATAATAATGGCAAACGAATCTGAGTACTAAAAATCGAGTTAATGTGATTTTAGAGTAATACTATATTTAGAAAAATTTGGTTTTTTTGTCTTAGGGCTTATCCGATTGTTTTAAGATAGAAGATCTTTTTTAAATCGGTTAAAATATGAATACATTTTTAGTTATGTTCACGCTTTTAAAGTCAATAAATTTGAATCGATTATACGTAATATAATACCTAAATTCTGGACCTGTTGTGCAAGAAAATCTAAATATAATATATGTACACAGTATAGGCTTTTTTAAAATAATTTTATTAATTAAAGTGCATATAGGAAAGTCAACCAAAATGCCACCCTTGGTAAATAAGTTAGCGCACGAATAGGTTTAAATTTTTTTCTTAGATAAACCAAATACAGCTTGATATATAAATACTAATGCACAATTTTCCCAAAATAATAAATTAATGTGACCCATTATTAGACCATACAAAATTAATTTTAAGCACATTGTAAACGTAATATTAATTATTTTTATTTTCCAAAAACAGACAGGAAATATATAGAGCAACCAATCAAGCCGGCCCCGCCCCCAATAGTAACAGCCCGCCAAATAACTTCTACTTCAACACCTGAATCTACGGCAAGTATTGAAAATAATGTGTCCTTATTCCATACTTATTTATAAACTTTAGGCCAACAAAATAACTTCAACCCCGCAAAGTAGCAATTCAAGCAAAAAGAAATATGCGTCCAACAGTTTACAAGCTCCTGGTAGCCCATCTCGATCAAGAAGTGCGACCAAAGAACTTATACGTAAGTATTGGCATTATTAATTTTATTTTGTATATCAATATACATATTTGTATTTTTATATAACATTGGCCATTTCCCTTTACAAACATAGTTCCCCCCGATGATTCGTTAATGTGCAAGCCCGAGTTCACCAAGCCTCTTCACGATCTTACTGTCCGCGATGGCGAGCAGTTGATACTTACCTGCCATGTTAAGGGCGATCCAGAGCCTCAAATCACTTGGTCGAAGAATGGAAAGTCTATATCGTCTTCTGATATTATGGACTTGAAGTATAAAAACGGAATCGCAACTTTAACCATCAACGAAGTTTTCCCAGAAGACGAGGGAGTGTTCACTTGCACGGCCACAAATTCCATACGAGCTGTGGAAACTAAATGCAGGCTAACAATTAAGCGTAAGTAGTAACATAACATTTTTCCTCAGTGCTTGGAGAAGAAAAAATTTATTAACTCAATTCAATATCAGGTGTTGCCTGACTCACCTTAGTTTATATTAGGTTTTATGTGACACCGTGATCGGTTAATCTATCTGATTGCTTCAATTTATGGCATCGGATTTTCGGGACTATAGCTTTTTTTCTTGTTTTTTTTTTTTTTAACAAAATATATTATTTTCATGATATTTTAGATTTGTAAAAATTGATCTTATATTTATCTTATATCTAATCTGGAAAATCCTATATATAACGTGTAGATACTTGTTGGCATTTTTAAAAGCGCACCAACAATAGGAAAACATCTATTTGTCAAGGATTTCAGAAACAGCTGATATCTATTTAAACAGTGATGATCTCTGTTTAAATTTTGGTTTGGTAACTTTTTAGATTAATGATAAAAAAAAGTACAAACACTTCAACTTATGACTATAAAAACCCAAACAACAGAAAGGGCATTGATACAGTTACCTAAAGTTATGCTCTGTTACCTGCTCTTACTTAAAAACTAAAAATAAATCTTTTTTTTATTTTAGCACTTGATAAAAGCTCTACCAAACGACAAATGGTTGCCGGCGACAAAGCACCTAAAATAGTTAGTCATTTGGAGTCGAGATCCGTTAAAGATGGCGATGCTGTTACTCTGGCTTGCCGCATAATAGGAGCGGAACACTTCGATGTGGTGTGGTTGCACAACAACAAGGAGATAAAGCCAAGCAAGGACTTCCAATATACCAGCGAGGCTAATATATATCGTTTGCAAATCGCCGAGATCTTCCCCGAAGACGGCGGCACCTACACGTGCGAGGCATTTAATGATGTTGGCGAATCGTTCAGTACCTGCACCATAAACGTAATAGTGCCCGGGGACGAGCCTAAGCACCCAGTCTTTGTGAAATTCCCCCTATCAGCATCGATACTGGAAGGCGAGAGTGCCACATTTGAATGTGAATTGGACTCTGAACTGCTCAATTTGGTGTGGGTGAAGGATGGAAAGCCCATTGACGAGACCCTTTCGCGATACTCATTCACCAAGGAGGCGAACCGATACGCTTTCTCAGTTGCCAAATGTAACATGGACGATGTTGGCCAATACCAGGCTAAGGCAGTGACCAGAAAAGGCGAAAGTATATGCGCATTTTCAATGAATGTTATCAACGCCGAATGCTAAGCCAATTTCGACTATTCTACTTTATTGGACAAACTATAAAAAGCATAAAAATATATATTACAAATACAATACAATACAATGTATTAAAAGCGTGCCAAAATTAGACTGCTCATTAAAAGTTGTAATTGTCATTAAAGTTTTAATGCGGTATATGTACATAAGCGTTTATGTATATAAAAATATATAAAGTTTATGCATTTCAACCATATCATGTATTCATAATTCTGCAATATCAGATTTTCACGTGCACATACATAACTTACGCTTTATATGTAGAAATACTTTTAATCGAACAAATAATTTCTAAGAAAAATGTAATTTAATTGGCTGCAAAACGTTTATATGAATGGCAACGAACTCAAGATACCAATCGAAATTTAGGAGACCTCCGCTGCTTGGTTGACTGCTGGCATCCTCAACAAAAACATCTTAAACTCATTAGCCAATCAAGTAGTTGAAAATTCCTTCTTTTCGATTGTATTTTGTTTAACTTACAAATAATAAAGACAAATGTATAGTTTGCGGGCAGTAATTGGTTTCAAAATAAATACAATATTTAAAAAAAAAACGTTGTTTTTCTGAAAAAGTTTGAATTAAAATGCTAGGTAAGTTCAAATCAATTTTCTGGTTGTAATTAATTTGATTGTTTAATTATTTTTAAGCAAGCTTATCATAAAATTGAAACTGCTGGTTTTTCCTTCTTTTCATTACACCTACAATTTTTATTCTCTTACGAAGGATGGACAAAAGGAATGGCAAATATGCGCAGCAGCTTTAACTGTTTCCTTGATCAAAGCTCTCTCGTAGGATTTGCCTCTCTCTCTCTCTTTTTGTCAGTCAGTTTTCATCCCTTGCAAGGAGCATCACTTAGCCTCCGTTAATTCAATTTCCGCTCATTTTTGTGTAAAAAAGTTATAAAAAAAAAGAATATTCAGTGCAAGTGAAACTTATACTCGGTTTGGGTAATAACTTTTATTAAATTCCAATCGTTTTAAACGTGAAAATAAGTGTTTTTCGGCAATTCAGGCCAATATCTGTTCTTCTTCTTCTTATTGCAAAGCATCCGCCATTTTGTGACGCGCCCCCACGGAATTAAGTCTTTTAATTTATTTAAATCGATCTCTGCAAATGCAAAAAAGGCAATAAAGATTGTAATTTCAAGTAAAACTCGGGAGTTAAATACATTTCGGTCAATGTTTCGCGTTTAAACCAACATTTTCGGTGTTTCGATGCAAAGGTGCTCCTCGGGACAAGTGTATGTATGTATGTACATAGGTGCATATGTGTGCACTTGTTGATTCCCTGCAAGCCTTTGGAAGATAAATTTATCCCCTATCGTCTAGAAGACACTTCTTAGTCACTTCTGGAAGATAGAAAGACGATAGAACACATTTTACAAAAACAAAATACACATCTATCGCCTAGAAGTCACTTCTTAGACACTTCTGGAAGATAGAAAGACGATAGAAATTTTTGGAAAAAAAAAGAAGAGTTTTTTATCGCCTAGAAGTCACTTATAAGTCACTTCTGGAAGATACACATCTATCCCGAAGAAGACACTTCTGAGTCACTTCTGGAAGATAGAAAGACGATAGCACACATTTTACAACAACAAATATACAAAAAAAACTATCTCCCAATTCACTTCTGGAAGTTGATAGGAAGATAGTAAAGCAAAGGTCCCAAAAATTTACCGATATTCTGGTTTTACTGAACATTTTTTTGTATTTTCCTTTAACCCGCGTACTGATTTTGCTGCAAAGCGTCATTCAGTTTCTAGATTGCTGACTTGCCAGTTCAAGTCTGAAAATTGTTAAGTGTTTAAAGATATTATTGCGTCTAACAACGCGTACAATGCCGGAAAAAATGCAGCTCATGTTAAGATCAACTATTTTTTATATAAAGGTAATGCACCTCAGTTTCTAAATATGCTTTTCATTTTAATAATATTATTTGTTTGTTTTCTTTTAGAGTTTACATTTGTTAAATTTCTGGATGATTCAGAGCTGAAAAATCTAAAAATCTTCCATCAACAGTTCATCGGGTGTACAAGCGTCGAAAATATACAAAATTATATTAAAAAAAATTATATTAACATATAAATTATTATATTTAAAAAAAATTAAATTTTTAATAAATATAGTAAAAATATTTTCTATTATTTTTTTCCAATTGGGAATATTCTTCTGGGTAACTTCTGGAAGTGTCGCGGAAGTCACTTCTAGAAGTGTCGCGGAAGACACTTCTGGAAGTGTCGCAGAAGTCCCTTCTGGGGGGTGACGCAGAAGTCACTTCTGGAAGTGTCGCGGAAGTCTCTTCTGGGGGGTGACGCAGAAGTCTCTTCTGGGGGGTGACGCAGAAGTGTCACAGTTCTTCCCGACGGACGTCACTTCCGCGATCCGAAAGCGATAGTCGCGGAAGATAGTTTTATCTTCCAGAAGTCACTCAGAAGTCTCTTCCGCGATAGAAAAGGCTTGCAGGGAAAGTGTTTATAAAATATATTCCATTAAAAGATGCATTTAAAAACTTTAAATCTATAAAACCAAGGGAAACAAGTGGTAAGTGAACAATAAACAAGAACTATTATCATATGTGTAATTCAATAATCATGCTTGTCTGATGAAAAACAACGATGTTATAATTTTATTTCCGTTATTTCTGTATAGTTTTTTTGATCTTTCCTATGGCAGCTATAAGATATAGATGTCCGATTTTTATGAAACTTTTTTCTCAGTATAAGACTTGATATTCAAAAAATCATGCTCGTGGGATAAAAAACAACGATGTTATCAATTTATTTCCATTAATTCTATATATATTTTTCGAACTCTCCTATGGAAGCTATGTATATGATAGAGTTATCCGATTTTGATCAAATTTAATTCGAAATTAATCCTTCTGGATGTATCCCAAACGTTCGACTGCTCTTGCGTCGACGGTTTAGTTTACAAAATCAATATCCTTCTGCCACAAAAGTTTTACCACTGCAAACAAAACACCGAAGCTGGAGTACTCTAAATAATTATTTTGTTTATTATGGCATTATTTAATGCCAGATGTCTAGTTGATTGTTTCTGTAAGTCGTCCGATTTTCATAAAATTTAGTTCGATTTTAATATCGAGTCGTTAGAAAACTCATATCTGAAAAATTATGCTTGCATTATAAAAAACAAGGATATTATAATTATTATTAAATTTTCACTATTATATCGATTTTTGGAACTTTCCTATGTCAGCTAATAGACCGACTTTTATTGATTTGACCGAACTTAAAAAATCGATATTCCGAAAATCCAATCTGAGACTGATAGAAACTGACAGACGGACATGTCTATACATGTCTAGATCGGTTCAGACGGTGATGCTAATCATGAGTATATATACTTTATGGGGTCTGAAATGTGTCCTTCACTACATTGCAAACTTTTGATTGAAATTATAATTCCCTCTGCAAGGCTATAAAAAGGCACTTTTTTCGCATTAATAAACGCTTATTTTACCTTTATTTTTCTTGTAATCAGAAATGGTGAAGCCAACCAATTTAAGGTTAAAGTAGATCTAAAAAATGTTAGTTTAGGAAGTTTAAACTGACGCAAAACATTCATATTGTAACTCTTTTAATGAATATTTAGTTTATTTACATGAATTATACATATGTAGGTATGCTTCTTATTTTTTAAAAATATAAAATTCTTCCAACAATGTAACAAAGTTTTTGATTGCAAAAAGAAATATTTCCTATAGTATCATAATATTTCTTTGATCCCGGCAAAAACTCAACATACAAAAGAGTTGTGATCGGATCAAAACTGACATAGCACACACAAGACAATATTCAAATAAATTGTATATTTATCAAATATAGTTTATTTCGCCACACGCTTTTACATTTTCATATTTTTGGTTTGGAAATGCTATCACACAGCGTGAGTAGAACGTTGAATTTGAATTTATTCAAGCAAAACGTAAGGCAGAACAATTAGGGGTTCGTTGTTGTAGGACTTTAATTGGAGAACTTGATGCCACTCTTTAAATTGTTGAATCCTTGTCAAGTCCATATCGGCTACACTGGTGGGGGGAGGACTATCTAAAACTGATCTAACCCCAGTACGATACTCTTCTTGTGAAGGCTCCATAGATTTCCGATGGATATTACTGACATTTATGTTATTATTGTTAAAATATATATTATTAGCATCAGAATTTTCATTTTCGCGTTCTGTAAGCGATGCTCTGGGCGGGGATGATTCTTGATTTGTGGCAAATATTGAATTAAAGGATTGCAGCATCCTGTTGTTTTGAAAATCGTTGAGCTCATCGTCGTCGACACTCTCATATTTTTCTGGACGAGCTTCTTTGTCATATAATGAATTTAAAAACGAATCCTCCTCGCTTTCAACTTGTACCTCGGAAATCTCTGTTGAGTCGCTTGATTCAGTCTCAATATCCATTTGATATACATCAAATGCGGAAAGCTTTGTGGGTTTCATTTCCTCCTCCGATGGAGAATTATCCGCTTCGCTATCATCGTCATAGCTCGAGGAGCTGCTGCTACTACTATAGTTAATGATTCTTTCTTCCATACCTTCGGGGTTCTCTCTGCATAGTTCGTGGTGAAAGAAAAGTTTATTGTGAATCTTTACTTTTGAGGAGGAGGCAGGTGCTGCCTCTGGGCTTAAACGGAACAAATGCTTTAATTCCAGGTCAATAGTCTTGCGTTGACCTTTGACAGGTTTTCTGGATGTACGGCGATAACAATTTTGCAATGGTCGCGGAGTTATCCTAATCTTTTTCGTTATTAAATTGTTTTTCAGTGCAACATTACTTTTGTTTTGCGATGTAGGTGAATCTTGCAGATGAGAAATGGAAATGATCTTATTGACTTTTTCCGCAGCTAATGTGTTATTTGGCGAAACTGCCATCGGCATCGAGTTAGCTGGCGAATTTATTTTACTTGGAGTTTTTTTTATTGTCAAGACAATATGATTGTTGAAAGCCACACCGTCAACTATAGGCCGTTGAACAATGGCATATTCTTCCTTATTGTTATCGTTCTCTGCTCCGTTGTCACTATCATTATCACTATTACTAGTACTATTAAAAGCCTTTTTAATTCGCTTCAGTGGAGCATCGAGTTCATAGTTTTCATATTTTTTCTTTTTCGTAACATCCCCACCATGTATTCCTTTATTTCTTTTAGAGGCCTCAGACTTTCTACTGATTGACCTATTTCTAACATTTTTCTTGTTGTTGGAGTCTTGAGTTTCATTTAAACTAGCATAACTGCAACTGCTGGAACTAGTATCCTGATATTCGTGACCAGAACTTTTATCGTTGATTTCAGCTTCTCCAAATTGGATTTCATTATCGGCCAATTTTAACAAATTATTACTGAAACCATTAACTGACGAACACGAATCCAGTACTGGTGTTGATAACGTTGTTTTTTTTAAAACGGAATTGACTTGTGTTGTTGGCACGTGGTGATGGCTGTTAATACCAGAAATTGGAACATCAATATTAACATTTAAGGGGCTTGGAATATTTACTTTAGGTTTTCGTTTTTTAGGAAACTTATCAGAAATCATTTTTGACCCAAAACATTGTCTATACATTCGCTTAGCCCGTCGACAAGTTGGCAAACACTTTGCAACGCCAAGAAACGGTGACATAATAAACTTGAAGGGTTTCGCCTTAAAAGGTTTTATAAATTTTAAGGAAGTCAGATCTTTTCTTATGCGATCTATTGTATGATGTCCATATTTGGGAACTACATCAGCTCCATCAGTCACTGAATACGAATCCAAAGTGTGAAGAAAATGGCTTTGAGATTGAAAATTAGGATTTGAATCAGCAATATCCCAGTTACCATTTATGTTTGGTATATAAAAATTATGCAACGCATTGATGTGGAAATTGGTGATTTGGTTTGTTTGAACATAAAACTGTTGCTTCGCCACACAGTTTGGATCTTCAAGAACGTTGAAAACTGGGAGGACAGCGCTGTTTGTTTCATTGTTATCTCTTTCTTGAGATTGTTGTTGATTGTTTAGTTTAGTTTCGGCACTACTATTTACTAAATGAAGCGCAACATTAACTACTTCATTTTTGGTAGCCTGAAAACTTTTTAAGTGATCAACCTTATCCATTGTCTTTCGAGTGTCATCCAGTATCGAATGCAAAGGGTCGTCGTTGTCATCAAAATCTAGATCGAATATGGACTTGACTGGTTTTGCCTGACTTTCACCTTCCTCATCAACACCATTACGTTCCAACGCAGTCAAATTTTCTTCAGTATTGTGGGAAAAAAGGTTTTCCTGATAACTTAAATTTACGTTCTGATTGTTCGTCTCAGCATCGGAATTTAAAGGATTGGACGCTCCCAATGTTCTTGGAACTTCTTCAATGACAACGCAAGTACACGGTACTAATTGAGTCTGGTATATCTTCTCAATTTCAACTGCAGTTAGTGGGCTGTTTAGGCTGTGAATCAGGTGCACTAGTTGAGTGGTAATATCATGGAAATTTGTCGGCATCAAGTTGTCCAAATTATTTGCTAAATGTAAATTGTTATTAGAATTGCTGTTGCTATCCAAAGAACTACATTCTTTGATTTCTTCTGATTTGTTACTATCGCGAGATGGTTCTGAAGTCACTGTGTCGCTATCCGTGTTTGTAGGATCTGTAACGAAAATGTTATTTGATACATTTAGTTTATATATAACAAGATTTTATTTTTCAAAATTTTTTAAAAATCTTTATTATTATTTTAAAAATGTTTTACCCTAAATTTATGTTACTTCTGGGATTACAAATGTAATATATGATAGTTTTAATTATAAAAGGAATGCCAAGCCTTCTTGGGAGAATAATTATTAAATTAGTTATTAAATTAATTATTAAATTATAAAGTATTATAAATAATTATAAATTATTAAGTATTATATTTTCAAGGCGTTTCGTTTTTCGTTGAAGGCTAATATAAAATTCATTTTATTTTATATGTGGTCTTTCGATTTTTCCTAAGGCAGCTGCTATATGCTAGAATAGCCCGATTCTTATGAAATGTAAAGCGTAATTCAACAGTCGTTAAAAAACTATATAATTTCTAGCAGTTTAGCTTTTCGACTTCAAAGAGGTAAATAGGTTAAGAATTATTTCTTTGCCGCAATCATTTCCATGTTTTGGTTTTAACGAGAGTTTTAATCTATGATAATTAACCAATTTTTAAAGATTTAAAATATCTGCTATAAAAATATTTTCAGAGCATATCAAAACCTCTTTTTCAATTTGAATTTTTTCGGACATTCTTACCTTGTGTTTGGTTAGTAAACGTTTCCAAAATTTGCGGCGAATGCATGGATGTATCTGGGATAAATAAATAAAGAACAGATAAATAAAAAATTTTAAATCATTATTTAATTAATCGAACCTGAACAAGATGACGTTGGTCTTGGGAAAATAGCACGGCCAGCCTGCTCTCGCTTTATAGACGAATTTGAACAATTGCTTGCAGACGATTGCATAGAAACGCTGAATTTTCTGCTCTGAATTTCATTGAAGAGCTCCTTGGTGGTCTTCACCTTTTTAACAGTTGAACCGCCAAAGAAAATCTGCTGAGACAGGCTAGAGGACTCCTTGGCAATAACTGCGTCCACGCCTTTTGATCCTTTTTTCCTGCCACGCCTTTTTGGAATTTGAGACTGAGAGGCGTTTTCTAAATATCTATGCCTACTATTTGGATCACAACCCGTTCCGGGATCAGGCATGGATGCACTGTGTAGCTTTAAATCAATTACATTATCCATTTTTTTTATGTCCTCGACAGTTGAAGGAGATAGACGGCTACAGGATGCACTTGAATCATAAGCGTTATATTCATCCAATTTTGGTTTTCCTGACTCTAGCAAATTGCTACGAGCCAATACACCATTTTGTTCGGCCAAAAAGCTAGAGTTACTCTGCGTTGTTAAGTCATTTTGATTTAATGACTTAAATCTGCCCGTAAATGTTAACTCGCTTGAGCTCAGCCGAGTTTTCTTTGAATTGCCCAACGTAGCAGCTTCCCCAGATAAAATTGAGCTCATCGAGCTGTTGGATAAGGAAAAAATTTCTGAAAATAAAATAAAATTAATTAATTAATCGCAATATTTATGTACCACGTGACTTGACTTTCTTGTTTTTTTTTTTTTTTTATCCCACGAGCATTATTTTTAGAACATCGAATTTTTACCCTTACAGTCGAGTCCCGATAATTCGAAATGGCAAGGGGATCACTTTTTTTTACGAATTAGACGGGAATTCGATTTATCGAGATTTTTTTCAAGGGAACAGAATTTTTTACGAATTATCGCGATTTTCGATTTATCGGGAATTATCGGGATTCGACTGTATATCAAGAAAAATCAAGCATTAAGCATTTAAGCACCATTGATATTCAATTTTACTGCTTTTCGGATCTCGCCTTTCGTATAGACTGTTTACAATTTAATATGACTCTTTGTAATAAATTTATTTTTAAATGAAATTTAGTTAGGTGTAGACTAAACAAAGTAATTTTTTGCCAAATAAGTTACAAGTATTTATTTTTACCTGAATCTGTGGCAAGTGCTGACTGCAGTAGTTTTATGTTTTGTGCCGCCTGCCCTTCTTTTTGTTTAATTCTTTTTTCTTTTTTTTGTTTTTTCTGTCGTGAGCTCGGAGTTGAGGGGATTGCAATGGGATCAGAGACAATTGAATTGTATATTTCTGGCTTTGAGCCACAGTTGTTGTCATTCTCATCAGAATCAGAGACGATGTCAATAACAACTGAGGCGACGTCGGTCAACTTTTCGGCGGTGCTGTTGCCAGTTAAGTTTAAAACTGAATTTAAAGGCTGTTCAATAATGACTCCTGGCTGAGGAGAGCCAGTAGGTAGGCATTGGTCTCTGCAATTGAGCACTGCTGTTGTTATAGAGTTGCTTTCGTCTGGCATATTATAAACATGGTTTGAGAAGTTCGTGTTTAGCTGGGTGTTCAGACCCAATGGTGCCAGCTCGGAAGCCTCAATATTTGACTGTACGTTTGATATAATTTGCTGATCGGCCAATGATTGGGAGAATGACAAATGGTTAACTGATTCGCCCAAGTGCTCTGGTGGTGCTATCATGGTGGATTTTGATAGATCTGCTAAAGGTTTGGGGGGAAGGGTAGGCACTACTTCCGTAGCCGTTTGCTGAATTCCCACCATTTCTCGCCACTTTTTTAGCAAGGACTTTGCTCTGCGAGCAAGGGTTTCATTCTTGGTCCTTCGTCTGAGTTGATTTATGTATTTGGCCAGTCTGGTGGCCTCCAGTTGCTCCTTGGTGATTGTTGTGCCTTCCAGTGCGCAAATAACAGAAAGCACTGCTTCCATATTAACAACCTGGGAAAACATTTTCATTATTATAACAATTATAACATTATGAACAAACAATATACTGCTTCTTACATCGTAGTTTTGATCAAGAGCCTGTGATAGGTGAGTAGTAAGTTGCTGGATTTGGTTTTGGTTCATTTATATATTCCGAAATGACAAGCTTCTGATCCAGATTCTGGCTCAATTTTCTATATAAAAAATATAAGTCATTTGCTGTTTAGATGTACTTATTTACTCTGGAGTTAGATATATTTTTAATTATTTAAAACAATATGTATATTATAAATACAGAATATCATATGCAATAAATATCTGTAAAACACACACACACAAGCACACAATGTAACAAGATTCAACATTACGCTTACAACTTAAATGCCCGCTTTAAATTTACAGATTTCTATTTTGTCCACAAACTGTATTTAATTTGAGAATGTATATATTCCCAGAAAAGTAGTTAATTAATAATTTATGTTCAATTCCCCGATTTTATCACAATTCGCTTTTTTCACCATTGACAATTAAGGGTGAGAGCAAACCGATAACCAGGAAAATCGATATTCCGCTAGTCAATATAAGTATCGTATTTTTTTATTGTACTGTCCGTATGAAATATACTATTTACACTAATGAGTTTTTTTTTTTTTTCAAAATTTGTTACTACAAACACTTGAGGCAGGTTCTCGGTAATTGTTTACAAGTGCGGTGCACGGTAAATACAGCTTAAAAAAATAAAGTAAAATATGAAAACGATGTGTTTTTTTTCTAAAACTTCGAAATTCGTTGGCGGAGAGTGAAAATGTTGCACCGTTTTTTTGTTATTAACAATTAAAGATGCGATTTATAGTACAAATTAGGATCTGAGTGACCGTATTTGCATGTGATGTGCCGATTATTGCAGTCGTCTGGTGGCGGATTATTGCCAATACGGTCACTCAGATCCGAATGACATTGCTGAGGCGCGCAGGAAGTGTCTCGAGGTAGGCCGAACTTCGCCTAACTCCAACGCCTCTACAAATCCTTGCGGTCGTTTCTTAAAAATGAGATTTCCGCGAGTAAAAAACGCTGCTTCGCAAAACTATGCGATTACGCAGATGCACGTCCCAGGGATACAGCGTACAAGCTGGTAATGGGGAAATTGGCAGCCTTCAGCCAGCCCACCCCAACATGTCCTGAGCAGCTTAGCAGCATAGTGGCGCACCTCTTCCCGCCATGTGAAGCACTGCAGCCACAGAAAGAGCCCTTCCCGCTTCAAAGTGATAATACTTCCATGTTCACAAATGCTGCGGAAGTCTTGGCTGAAGTTAGGAGAATCAAAGGCGAAAGGCCCCTGGCCCAGATATGATTCCTAACAAGGCATTAAACATCTTAATGACGGAGAGATTAGAGATCTTCGTCAGGCTCTTCTATGCCTGTTTCGCTCAGAGAATGTTCCCTGATGATTGGAAAATGCAGAGATTGGTACTGTTACCCAAGGGCAATCAAAATGATAACCTTGCGGCCGATAGACCACTCTGCATGCTTGATACAGTAGCAAAGGTATATGAGAGGCTCATCTGCAACCTTATCGAAGTTGCTCTTTCTGAGGGTCCGGGCTTATCCCATAATCAATTTGGATTTAGAAAGAAGCGCTCCACAATAGACGCGATCGGGGGATCCAGGGAGCATGTTGGCGAGCTGATAGCAAAAAATACTGCCTTGTGACTACTCTGGACGTAAAGAACGCATTTAAAACAGCAAACTGGGTGCGGATGCTTTTGGCCCTGAGACGTTTACGGGTCCACAGCTACCTGGTGGACATAGTCTCAGAGTATCCTAGCAACAGGCAGCTTCTATACGACACTGAGGAGGGCCGTCGAAGCTATAATATAAAGTTTCAGCAGGGGTTCCTCAGAGCTCGGTCCTGGGCCCTACCCTCTGGAACTGCATGTACGACGGAATACTCAACCTACAGCTCCCTGAAGGAGCTACGATCATTGGCTTCGCAGACCATATTGTCGTCGTCACAGTAGCAAAGCATGTAAATGAAGCCGAAGCAGTGACAAATGCGTCTATCGAACAGGCTTCCCACTGGTTATGTGCTAATGGCTTGAAGCTCGCCGAGCACAAGACGGAATCCGTCTTGATTAGTAGCAGAAAGGCGGTAGAAACCGATCAAATAATTGTGGGTAGGACTACTATACGGTCCAAGCCCTTCATTAGGTACCTTGGCGTAGTGCTGGATCACCGGCTTACGTACAAATTCCATATAGAAGTGACGGGCAACTCGAAAGGTAGGTGGACGTACAAGCTGCTGCGCGATGTGGAGCGTTGGGCAGAAAGAAAGCACGGACAGGTTGACTTCTACATGACGCAACTATTGACAGGACATGGGTGCTTCAAAAACTATCTTCATAGGGTTGGGCACGAGACAGACCCGTTCTGCACACAGTGTACTGGGGCAATCGAAGACGCAGAACATGTTTTCGTTGTCTGTCCGAGATTTGAAGCTATAAGGCATGAGCTCAGCTTAGCAATTGGGAAGCCGTTCACGGTCTCTGACCTGATGGATACGCCACTGGGCTCACAAAACAATTGGGATGCCGTAAGCAAAATGACAGTCTTTGTCATGAAACGCAAGCGCAAGCGCAACCGTCTTCTAACCTAGTTTAATTACTAGTTGCTGCTTTTCAGGCCATCTCCCCCCTCGCGAAGTAATACCCATCAGATAGTGATGCTGACCCCATATTTAAAGGCAAAAAATCCTCCTTTTCTATAATATCCACTTCAAATATTTAAAAACAGTTTATGTGCAAAAACATAACAGTTCAACACCAGTTTAGTACAGTTTTTTGCATACTCTGTCCATTACCGGTTGAAAATACCATTAGTTTTAAATTATTATTACATTTATTTTTCAGATTATTCGCATTTTGATTTTATTGCATTCTTAAATGTAAAAATTAATTGGGTTAGCGGGAAATGATATTCAGATTGATTGTTGATTTTGTCATATTTTCGTGTACAAAATGTTTTGAAGTTTTGTTTGAATATGTATTTTTTATACTATTTCCAGCGTAATTGACACAACTGCTTTATGAAGAAGCACGGCAAGACGGCTCGTGACCGAAATAGGAATACTATTATGAAGTTTCTATAACAACATAGTAATGTGTTCACCAAGTACGCCTACTCGGCGTTTTATTTAATTTGAAATCATGAAAATCTACAGCTGTGGATATATTTATGTAGGTATGTACCTATTTTTTCTATTCAACTACGTTTGAGTATTTGGACGCATACAAATTTGACATTTACACATGAACCTAATTAGGCATATAGTATATATTTTACAATATTAAACGATACTAACTACCACTATTTGTTTATGCCTTATTTTTCTGGCTACAGCATTGGTGCATAAATGGCACAAAAATTGCAATGTTCCCAAGACCGAGTGCCTCGAGAACTATATTTTCACAAATTAATTATATATATATTTATAATGGCACTTGAACTGAAACTTAAATGGCTAATCAAACGTAACTAATCTAGCTGTCTTGTATTTACAAAGCTGTATATATTGGTATTATTTCTTAAATGTTATCTGGAAAGACAAGTCTTGCCAGCGTTACTATTGCGATTGTGGTTTCTAATCATCCATCTCGCGTTGGGATGCAAACTCGACATCATCGGAAGAAAAGCCAGAGGGGGATAAGCTTTCCGGAGGATAAAAGAACTGATGTGAAGTTGTGTGCCCACAGTCACTTCCATGAACCGTAGATGCTGCTTTACCTCCTGACATATCTTGCAAATGGAAAGCAGCTGCAGCGGCTGAGACTGGCTGAGCATTCGGTCCTCCGTCCTGTCCCTTCGGACAGGTGTCAGTGCACCTATTTGCCAAACCACCACTGACCCCTCCTGTACGGCACCACAATTGTCTCATTTCGGCCCGCCGATTACGCATCAGAACTTTGTATTCAGAAATACGCATCTTTTTACCATCCACGATGCAGGTCCGCTTGGGTCGTGGTCGATACCGGTAATCTGGATGCTGTTCCATGTGAAGTTTTGATAGCCGAGACTGTTCCTCATAGTAGGGCTGCTTGTCGGTATTCGACATTGCTTTCCAGCGAGCGCCCAGAATTTTAGATATATTCGAGTTGTGCATGTCCGGGCAGGCCTTCAATATCTTTCTTCGCTCGTCTTTCGCCCACACCATAAACGCATTCATGGGCCTCTTGATGTGCGGCTTGCTGTGCCCGTGCCCATGGCTATGGCCATGAGCGTTCCCATGAACATGGCCGTTTCCCTGCCTCAATCCGTGGGACGATGGGCCAAGTGGTCCTCCTCCTGTGTTGATAATGTCTGGGTCCAGTGCCGCCGATCTTTCTGAGTTTGTACCACAACTATTAACCGAGTCTCGGCTCATTCGAGTTGTTCTCGATCCAACAGAATCAGCAGCGGTTGTGCTCCATATTCTGCCCTAAAAGAGATAAAAAGAAAAAATTATTAGAAATAAGAAGGTAGCTCGCAGTTAGAACATAAATCTGAGAAGCGACTAGACCTATTATAAAATCATTGGTAACAAAAATTGTTCATATTGTTAGTCACAACCTTCCATTTTCATTTATGGTAACGATATTATATAACAGTCCTATCTGTATTACTTCTTGTAATAGCTACAAGGTTTTGGTAGAATTTGAGCGATATTGCTTTAAATTAAGAGACTAGAGAGAGAGTGCGAGTCGATGTAATAAATCCATTTACAATCTATAAATCTATAATTTATAATTTCTTCCAAACCACAGAACGATGCATGGTACTGTGTTAATTTTTAACCTAATACCTCGTGAGATTTACTTCCTTACTTGTTAGGTTGCCTAAAATCTCGGTGGAAAGCAGATTAACTAAACATTGTGTTCCTTTAGTTTTAAACATTTTATATCTAAAACCTGCATGAGCCGTGGAATTACCTGCGTTTATTTGTTAAAAAAAATATATACTCACATGACTCTTTATAAGAGGCGACTCTATATCACCATATTGATGTTGCCCATGGTGCCAGCTCAGAGGTGGACTGGATACGACAGGAGTAAGGCTTTCACTTTGATCCTTTTGATTGGAGCTGTTGGGCGAAGAGCTGGGGGATCTCTTTGGCTTGGTGAGATTCAGAGGAGCATCCATTTCAGACTCTTGGGCCTCAGATAAGCTTGCCATACTATGGTTATCGACCGGCGGTGGTGAAAAGTTTTTCGAGTTTTCGCATTGCCGACCATGTGGGGACTCCGGGGGTGTATTATGGCTATAGGAAAGGATTTCGTAAGGTGTGTTCTCGTATGCTGGACTCTCTGGCCTTGATAAGCAAGCTCCCCCATTTCCGGCTCTTCTGAATTCTCCAATCTCCATGAACGGGAGATAAGCCGAGGAATCTGCGCTCGATGGTTTATTAAAACTGGTCGGTGTAGCGAGTATATTGTTGTTATTTGAACAATTGTTGTTCGATTTACTATTATTTACAGCTGCTACAGCAGCAGCTGCCAGAGCGGCCTGAATATGCGCAGCCGCCACCGCTGCAGTGGACCACATGGGGGCTAACGCCATTTTTTGTGCGCTGGAGGGCTCATTTTGCATAGTTACTTGACTTTGACTTAGGTGGCCGGCAGTTTGGGAACTCACTTGGCCAGGAATGAGATGTAGAAGCTGTTGTGCTGGCATTGGGGGTTGTAGGAAGGCCGGAAGGAATGGTATCAAGCCTCCGGATGTTACGGAAACTTCTTGCTGCTGCTGGTGATGGGAGCTTGGTGCTGCGAATCGTGCTCCAAACTGGCTGCTCAGTTGATTGTGCAATTCTCGAACGCAGTCTCCGGCCTGCAGCCTTCGATCGTTCTGAAGGTGTTGTTGCTGTTGAGAGCTTGAATCAATGTCGGTCATGCTAACGTAGTGGCCCTGAAAGGAACAATATTTAAAAATGTAATGCAGAAGCCAAAGAAAATTGTTTGTTTTAAAAGGAACAAGAAAGGAAGGTAGCCTCGGCGAGCCGAAGTTTATATAATATACCCTTGCAGTCGGGCCGGTGAAAAGTCTCGATTTCAGGTGGCTCATTTTCCGGAAAGGCGATGAGCGTGGGTAGTTACTTATTATAATTTTCTAATAACCCCAAACATTCATTTTATATTTTTCACATGTTCCGTGAGTTTTTGAGCTTACTTCAAGGTTTTCATCTCTGTTTTTCAGGTGGGTACCCACCTTCCGAATTTTCAAGAGGGTAGTACTACCCATAGTACTCACGCCAGTCATCGAATATATCGAACAAAATACATAAAGGCTAAACAATATCGAAGCTAATTCGATTTTCTTATTAAGTTTCCATATTTCCGACAATTGTTCATATGACAGCTATATGATATATTTTTTTTTTTTTTTTTTTTAGTATTCCGATTTTAATGCAATTTAATTCGAAACTCGAGAGTCATTAGAAAACTATATATTCTAAGAAGTATGCTTATATGACGAAAAACAACGATATTATCATTCAAGGGCTTTAACTCACTCTTCATGAAAAATCTTATCTATTTTTGACAATTTGATGCCTTCTTGATCACCTTGATTTAACCTCTTCAACAAAATGCACATTTTCTTTTCTATCCTCTCTTCGCCAAAAAAAAATACTCAAAGTTTTTTAAAATTCACCTTTTTGGTTCACTTGGGAGTCAGTTATTCCTGGGGAACCAGTTCCAGAGGCTTAAAATAGTCGCATTCCTGCCAGAATCGATAACTTGTTATCGGCGGCCGTTGATAAACATATATTGTTTGCATTTTATTTGGTGTTCAATTTCTTCGTTTGGCCGCGCACATAACAAAAAGAAACAAAGAAATCTCGCTAAACCTTTACCAACAGATTTATATTTTGCACGTCAACTACATGATATATATAGTTGGAATCATATTCAGCAAGACACTAAAAAACTGAGAGACTACTTTGCTGATCAAGATAATATACAGTTTATAAGGCTGAAACAAAATGTACTAAAAGTTTTTATAACTAACCCTAGCTTAAGCGAAGACATGATAACTAAGAATACTCACAAATTCGATGTTTTTTAAATTCCCAAAAACAAGAAAGGAAACTAGCTTTTTCATAAAACTTCCCACTTCTATGGAAGCTCTACAATATTGTATACTATATATATATACTATATACAGTAGAATCCGGTTATAACGACTTCCAAGGGACCGACCATTTTTCGTCGTTATAACCGGAAGACGCACGAAGCAAAATGAGGAAAAAATTTTTTTTTTTTATTTTATGGTTGCTGAGTTTGTTATAGGTTTTTAAAATAAATCAAATTAATTTTTTAATTAAAAGGAAAAATTTAATAAATTAAATTCAAAAACATAGGTTTTTCTAAATACTGAAAACTGAATGAGCTTATTACACTGTGCGACAAAATTTAACGAAATGTTTGTTTTAGTTACTTTTTTGATTGTTTTCGGTTAAGGGGCATAAGTTATGCACAAAAATATTTATGCCACCTTCTAAGTGATAGGATTTCTTTTTTTATGATAAATTTTATGAAATTATTATTATGAAAATATTTAACACAAAATATTATTTTTTTTTTTACTTCCAATAAACTATTATTTTTTTTAAAAGTGAAATTTTTTTCTGATTTTTTTGGATTTTTTAGAGGTATCCTCGCGTAACAAGTTCCATACGTACTCGCCCAGAGTATAGAGCTGGGAGAAAAAAATTTTAAAGCATTGTTATAAAAGCCTAATGGTATATTTGCTTAATATATTTTAATTAATAGATATTAAACTTGCATAAAACGCTTATAACGGTGAAAAAATATTTTCCCAATATGGTATTATAAGGCTGTGAAATATGCAAAAACATGCGTTTTTGGGACCTTTGAGTGTGCGTAGAAGCTGATTGGCTATTGATATTAACAAATCCAAAAACTTGTATTCTTATTTTGACTAGTAGAAGTGAAAAATAAGAAAAAATCAACTCAAACATTTTTTTGTCGCACAGTGTTATTGCACATATTGCATTTGGCAAATTAAAACATTCAGTTTTACTCGGAAAAAAGCAGAAAAAACTAGAAATATAACGGGACATCTCATGGAATTGACTATGAGGTCTGCACACACAGTGTGACGTCGGAATTGCACTTCGACTCTCTCTCTCTCTCTCTCGCAGCAGCGTTGTTAAGGCGACAGCTAAAACTAACAGAGTTGTGCCAGTGCAAGATCCTTCGTGTCGCTGCTACGCACACAAGCAAGGGTGCCGATCACTGACAAATACATACATTTCTAACAGCGTGTTTTGATGCTTAAATTTTTGAACTATGGCACTGTATTTTTTCCGGCACGACGCAATATCCGGTTAAATTTTCCAATTTTCCTGAAAAATTTCATTCTTATAAGCGGTTTGTCGCTAAAAGCGGAAACGCTTTAAGCGGAGGCCCTTTCATATAACTTTGTATGGGGACCAACCAAACCATCGAGTTTTCGACGCACAACCCGGACGGACACTATAAGCGGAGTCGTTATAACAGGATTCTACTGTAGTAGTAGTTCGTACTTTCTAAAAATGAACATTTAATATCTATTGTCAAAACGAATTGCTTAGTCGTCAAATATGTCGAACAAAATGCATAAAGGCTAAACAACATCGAAGCTATAACGATTTTTCTATTCATTTTCCATATTTCCGACTATAGATCATATGGGAGCTATATGATTAGTCGTCCGATTTCGATGAAATTTTATTTGTTATTCAAGAGTCGTTAGAAAACTCTATATTCCAAAAATCATGATTTTCTGATGAGAAATAACGATGTTATCATTTTATTTCCGTTGATTCTATATAGATTTTTATACCCTTGCAGAGCAAAAGGGTATATAATTTCAGTCAGAAGTTTGCAACGCAGTGAAGGAGACACCACAGACCCCATAAAGTATATATATTCTTGATCAGCATCACCATCTGAATCGAAATATGTATGTACGTCTGTCCGTCTGTCCGTTTCCGCGCAAACTAGTCTCTCAGTTTTAAAGCTATCTTGCTGAAACTTTCCCAAAAGGTGTGTAGTTATTGCACGCAGTATATAAGTCGGAACGGGCCGGATCGGCCGACTATATCGGATAGCTCCTATACGAGAGAATGAAATAAAAAATTCTCACGCCGTTGTTTTTGATCAGATAGACTTGAATTCTTCAAGATGGCGTTTTCTAACTGTTATTGAATTTCGGATTAAATTTGAACAAAATCGGATAACTCCATCATATAGCTGTCATAGGAGAGATCGAAAAATATATATAGGATTAATGGAAATAAATTGATAGCATAGTTGTTTTTTATCCCACGAGCATGATTTTTTGAGTATCAAGTTTTTTAACTAGCCTTGATTTATAAAAAAAAATTTCATAAAAATCGGACAACTATATCATATAGCTGCCATAGGAAAGATCGAAAAATCTATTTAGAATTAACGGAAATAAAATGATAACATCGTTATTTCTCATCAGAAAATCAAGATTTTTGGAATATAAAGTTTTCTAACGACTCTTGAATAACAAATAAAATTTCATCAAAATCGGACAACTATATCATATAGCGGCGATATGAACAATAGTCAAAAATATGGAAAACTAATAGAAAAGTCGTCGTAGCTTCGATGTTTTTTACTTTGTGTATTCTGTTCGAAATATTTGATGACTGCAAGGGTATATAAGCTTCGGCTTGCCGAAGCTAGCTTCCTTTCTTGTTCGATCTTTCCTATGGCAGCTATATGATATAGTTGTCCGAAAGAAAGGAAGCTAGCTTCAGCAACCCGAAGCTTATATACCCTTGCAGTCATCAAATATGTCGATCAAAATGCATAAGGGCTAATCAGCATTGAAACTATGACGATTTTTCTTTTAATTTTCCATATTTTCGACCATTATTCGGATATAGTTATATGATATATGATATAGTTGTCGGATTTTAATAAATTTTTTTCTTGATTCAAGTGTTATTACAAAACTCCATGTTTTGAAAATCATGCTCCTGGGATTAAAAACAACGACGTTATATTTTTTTTGAATTGTTTATATATATATTTTTTGATCTTTTGTATGGCAGCTATATGATGGAGTTAGCCGATTTTGATAAAATTTTATGCGAAATTCAATAGTGGTTAGAAAACGCCATCTGGAAGATATCAATCGATATGATCTGGTCTGATATGATCGATCTGATGAAAAACAATGGAGTTAGAATTTTTTATTTCGTTCTCTCGTACGGGAGCAATCCGATATAGTCGGCCGATCCGGCTCGTTCCGTTATATACTGTGTGCGATAACTACACAACTTTTGGGAAGGTTTCAGCTCAATAGCTTTAATCCTGATCAAGAATATATATACTTTATGGGGTCTGAGGTGTCTCCTTCACTGCGTTGCAAACTTCTGGCCAAAATTATAATACCCTTTGCTCTGGAAGGGTTTTCATAACAAATTACTAATAAAAGGGCAAGTAAGAAGTAACCCATTATTTTAAGAATAGATGGCTCAGCTTTTTGCAAATAAGGACGAATAATTTTATGAGAGGCGTATCATGAAATTGCCATCAAAATGGCAATCGATTGTACGAAAAGTTATGCTTATTTGAAATAAAGCGGATAATTCTAACCATCAAATTTTTTTTTGAATTTCATGTACAAATAATGGATTACTTTTTACTCGACCTTTTATTTCGAGTGCAATCAACTTCGGCATTGACCTAATTCACTAAACAAATGACTTATTCTTCGAGGATTTTGTTCCGTTCCTTAGAAACTGTTTTAATTAAATGGGTCTGATTATGATAATATATTATTATTAATAAAAAAGACAACAAAGTTACAAAACTATCCGGCTTCAGGTTGTTACTCTAATATTGAACAAGAAATAATGGGAC